GTTTGTCTGATTTGCTGCAGAATCAACCTCAGTGCTGAACAGAGCCTCTGTGTTGTAATTCTAACCATTTCCAACTTTTCAAGGCTGATGGAGAAGAAGAAGAAGGGGAAACTGAGGCAGCAGGTGGCAGCAAAGCGCAGCTAATCACCCGCCCACCAGAGGGCGCTGCTCCACAGCACAAACCGTGCCTGACTACATGCGAAGCGACTTTCTGCCTCCACAGACGCGACATGCAGTCCAAACCTTGTAACTAGGAGAACAATCCAAACTCCCACCTCAGAAAACATGGGAGACAGCAGAAAGCATTAGGATGAAGAGAAGCTTCTGGTGGACTACAGACACTAAACTTAAGCTGTAAACAACCAGGAAGGAGGCTGGAACACATTCAGAGCAAACTGTGGCCATGTTTTCATTTTACTCAGTGGGAACTTAAGCAGAAATTTCACATTTACAAATGTGTTGTGTGTGTGTGTGTGTGTGTGTGTGTGTGTGTGTGTGTGTGTGTGTGTGTGTGTGTGTGTGTGTGTGTGAGAGAGAGAGAGAGAGAGAGAGAGAGAGAGAGAGTAAAACGGCTTTAGTCAGAGGCTCGTTAGCTCCTCAGCATCCAGAATGATAATGAATCGAGCGTGCAGGAAGACCCACGGGCTGATTCTATCCCCTAAATCGGAGGCTCCCCCAATGGTTGGTGTGATTTTGAGCCGGCCAATCAGCCGGCAGTGGGTGTGTTAGACCTGTCTGGCTACAGGTAGACCTCCTCCAGAAGAGGGCTGAAAAGACGTCCGGTTGCATGAGGGAAAATTCAACGCCACCTAAACGAGGACACTCCCAACCCGGTCCTGATGCTAGCGTGTAAGTGCCACTAGAGTCCTACACTCCACCCCTAGGTGCTTTAACACAACCTGTCATTCATTCTCACACACACACACTCACACACACATCTAAACACTGGTCAGGATACAGCTTCACTGAACAATGGTGCCACTGGTACCTCCGGCCACCACCAGCAGATGAAGTGCCTTGCCCAAGGACACGACTGCTACAGACGTGGTAGGGCTCCAACCTGAAACCCCGTTACGGGGCAGGCACTAAGCTCCTCTGCCACCGTTGCCCCTGTGCAATAAATACAAGTGTGTGTGTGTGTGTGTGTGTGTGTGTGTGTGTGTGTGTGTGCGCGCGCGCGCGCATCCAACGGTGTCTAAGTCTTAAAATGTAGCTTAAATTCACCATCTCACCTGTAAAGTTTTCGTCGTAAAGGTTGCGTAGAAAGTGACGTCCGTGTGCTTCGGGAGACTGACTCTTTGTGCACACTCGGCTTTATTAATGAGGCCCTTGGTTTAGTTGCCTTTTTGCTCCGACTTGTGTTCCAGACTTGACCAGGAGAAAACTCAGGTTACACACAAGAATCAAGCCAGTTAAAGCCTGGATGAACAGGGAGCCGTGGGCAGCAAAGAGGAAATATCCTGTTTGTGCCTTTAGTTGTTTTTTAAGGACAGCTTTAAAAGCTGCTTTTCATAACTGGAAAGGAAAACCGCTGAAACTGGAAGTGAATCGGCTCAGAGCACTCTAATCGTTACAGGGTGGAGGCCTGCTCGCTTTAGCCCGCCTCTTTTGGGGCGATCCTGTGAACTTTGCCCTCAGGTGTCCTTGTTCTGCCTGGAAGAGCACAACTCCTCATGAGAAGGTCTTCTTCTAAGGGCTCTATGTGAATCCACACTACCTTCAGAGAGAGGGCGCTCCCTGGAGGTCACCAGTCTCACTTTCAGAAAAGGGCTAACGCAGAAAACTAGCAGAAATGATGTAAACCTGCAGGCTCTGTTTGCTTCAGCTGGTCCCAGATCTGCCAAAAGCAGCTTTGATCACTGCATGGCTTCGTGTCGCCCACCTCCCTTCACCCCTAGTTTCTCCTCATGTATATATTTTTTATTTAATACACAGATGTAGATCCTGTTTTATGGTAACCCACCCAGGATGAATATGCTGGAACTTTATGTAGATTTCATTATGAGTTCCCTTTAAAGCGCCCCATAGATACAACCCCCTCACTCTCCCTACTTCTATGCAAAACTCCTCGTATCGGCCACGGCCGTTGTGTATTAAAGGAATCTGAGTGGAGATGTGTTTTCTCTCTACTTCTGCTTATTGTTCAGCATTATTACTCTGCATTACCAACCCTGTACACGTTTCCAGTTAATAAAACTATTTCATGTACTCCTGAGTGTGTTCTCATCTGTTCAAAGACATTAATAAGTCAGAGACTCTCTTGGTCAGCTTGCTTCTAACTTCAAACCTTCTGTCAAGAATCTTGGCGTGACCTTTGACCCAGCTCTCACCCTGGATTCTCCTGCCAGTTCTCTTGTTCGCTCTTCCTTCTTCCATCTCAGGAACGTTGCTAGGCTGAGTCTCATTCTGTCCCGCTCTGAACTTGAGACAGTTCTCCACGCCTTCATCTCCTCACGCTTAGACTACTGTAACTCTCTTTTCACGTGTCTGAGCAGAACCTCCCTGAACCGTCTACAGGTGGTTCAGAATACCTGTGCTCAGCTTCTGACCAAGTCCTCCAAACACACCCACATCACCCCGCTTCTCCTCCAGCTTCACTGGCTGCCAGTCAACTTCAGGGTTCATTTCAAGATCCTGGTTCTGGTCTATAGGGCCTTACATGGACAAGCACCATCTTACATTGGTGATCTTCTTAGTCCCTACACCCCCAGCAGGTCCCTGAGGTCCAGTGATCAAAGCCTACTGGTTGTGCAGCACCAGGCTAAAGGTCAAAGGTGACAGATCATCTGCTGCTGTGGCCCCCAGACTCTGGAACTCTCTCCCCCTGAGCCTGAGATCAGTGGACTCAGTGAACTCCTTTAAAAGCAGCTGAAGACTCACTTGTTCAAGCTGGCTTTTGTATGACCTTCTTCACCTCTCTCTCTTTATTCTGCTCTCCCCACCTATTCCACCTTCCTCAGGATCCACTGATTTCCCTCTTTCCTGTTCACTCTCTCTCTCTTTCTTAACATTTTTTAATCACAATTGTCTATTTTTTGCTCATTTTAAATATATTTTTAACCATTTTCTAAATTCTTTTTTATATTTTTACATTTTTTGTTACATTTTAGGATGACTAGTTGATGCTCTAAAAATTTTAGACAAAGCAGCAATAAATGTAAATGTATTTAAAATAACTGTTTGTTTAAAAGTTGCTAATAAAGGTTTTTGAAAAAAGGATCACAGCGACCAGCCCTCCCGCCATGCGTTGCGATTGATGACACAATGCTCCCTGTCTCAACTCTGCAATTATTTGCACATGTGTGTGTGCTCTACACACTCGAACCCTACTGCACACTTTCTCCAAATGCACTTTGCTGAAGTCTGCAGGGCGCAGTGTGAGCATTGCGATTGGGCCTCGAGTGCATCTCTCTTCTTTCCAGAAGTCTTTTGTGTTATTAAGGAGTTTCAGAGACCCAGCTCTCATTGATCATTTTTACTAATAAACCACACTGCATATTTCTATTTAGCATTTGTAGCCCTTTTACGCACAAACGCAGGCCCATGGCTAGGTCTCCCATCTAGCGCTCACTCTTTGGAGGCCTGGCGTGCTTCACCATGGTACTCAGACACATACTCTCTCCAGCCTGGTCTTATCTTTGTTTTAGTTTCATGTTATCCAGAGTTATCTCTGTAGTTATGCTGCTATAGGCTTAGACTGCTGGAGGACACACTGACCACTTTCCACACTCGACTACTTTCTTCTACAATCTGCTCATTAACTGTATTATTTCCTGCTATTTCAGCTGTTGACTTTATTTTCTCTCTAAGTGTTTTTCTCCCCAGAAGAAGCGACAATGACGTTCTGCTGAGCTGTGGGGGCCTCATGGAGGGGGCCATCGTCTAGCACACTGCTGCTAACCACTTAAACATTCTCCCTCTCCTGATAATAACATTTTACTTTCTTTGACATTGAATGTGCTACTACTAGTTTATCCGTTTAATTATAGATTCACTAGGATAAATACAATAAAGTTTATCTTTCGCCAAATAGAATATTTACTAAGAAATCACAATGTAACCATAGAAACACTACTTGGTGTGTGTTTGTGTGTGTGTGTGTGTGTGTGTGTGTGTGTGTGTCGTTATTCGTCCTGTTTCTCTGCTGTTCCTGCTATTCTTGCTAATAGAAAGCACTTTGAATTGCCTCTGGGTATGAAATGTGCTACATAAATAAAGCTGCATTGCCTTGCTTACCTTTCTAGAAAAAAATCCCAAAGCACAATAAATAAAATTTTTAATTAAGCTATAACTATTTCTTGCCTATGTTTACATTGGTGTTTGGACATTTAAAACCTTAGAAAAATATAGAAAAAAAAATGTTTAAAAGCAACGTTTGTCACCCATCTGTGACACTTGTTACTACGTTAGGACACCACCAGGGGGCACTCTGGTAAGACCATAAGGGTTAACAGATTTGCGCATGCGTAGTAACGGCCGATCCGAGCGCTTCCAACGGACGGATGAAAGCGTAGGCAGAACTTTGGATGGTGTGGAGACAACAACTAAACGTTTCACGGTGACAGTTCGAAGGAAATCCGGAATAAGCCAGGGCATTCAAACAGATGGCCACTCACGGTAAGAAAATGGAGACCAAAATATGCTCACGAACTGATGTCATTAGCAAAACCGCTACCAAAGCTATCGATCAACGGCTACATGGGTTCAGGACTCAAAATGTATTTAAAAGCCTTTGGTCGTAGACAATATTTGGACAACGTGCTGACAAATATAGCTGTCGTTATTTTACCGTAGTTTTCTTTATTAAAATGTAGAAAACAGTTTAGCTAATGTTACCGTGATTTTAAGCGCCTCGTGATTTTTATCCTGAGAGGCGCTATAGAAACCATTCCACTTGGTTAAAGTTGGAAAAAGATGGACAGATTCGACTTTTAGGACTAAAAATGTCTGATTCAAACATATGCCGTGTCTTTTATGTCATATTATTGAGGTACAGTAGTCTCGTTTTCATAAAAAATAATAAAACATCTTCTGCTGTGGAGGCGTTAGTGACGTCTGGTCTCACACAGCCTGAGCTACCAGAGCCCTAACGGCTCCGGCGGACGGATGGCCGCAGCAGCGACGATACGAAGGAAATGTGCTCTGCTAAATAAGCCAGGCCACATTTTAAAATGATGGCCACTTTCGGTTGCCGGTTAGAAAACTAATATGCGACCGTTATCATTAGCAAACTGCTACACAGCCAGGGCCAATAGCTATAGAGGGGTTTAGGGGCTTCTAATGTTTATTTAAAAGCTTTTGTTCCTTGGAACAAATCCATATTTGGTTTCAAAAAACAGCTCATATTTCAATATCTTTTTGTTTTTTTGAGAGGTTGAATTACTAGAGCATTTTATTTTAGTGTAATGTTTTATTTTGGAAATTACAAACTCAATGTATAATTCTGTTTTTCTTTCTAGAGAGAAAAAGCAGAAGAATTAACTTCTGACAGACGAGGACATTTTAACAATGGAAGGCTCTAAAGTCGACAAGCGTGCGTCCCATGTAAGTAAACGTTTAAATGTTGGTTTGTAGCTTCAGGCACACTGTTGAACCCCTTTTCCAAGATGAAGGACAATTAACTATTTACAAGAACATGTCCACCTCCCTCTTTTTCAGGCTTGTTATGAAGAAGCAAGGGCAGAGCGGAAAAAGCTGCTGACTCCTGCACATATGTACATGATCAGGAGACTGGCTATCGTCCTGAATTTGACACCAACAGAAGTCGAGGACTTCATTTTAGACTCACCATCAGTAAGTTCTTTTTCACAAAGGAGTGTTCGTTACATTAAATTGTAAAAATGCAAGCATTTCAAACATATTCTTATACATTCTTGAGACTATTAGAACAAATAAATGAAAGTCAATGCAGCTTAATTCTATTAAAAAAAAAATCCCATCTGACCCTCCGCGGGTGGTCTCTTCCTTCCAAGCTCGGGTCTTCTACCAGAGGCCTGGGAGTTTGAGGGTTCTGCAGTATCTCAGCTGTTTCTAGAACTGCTCTTTTCTGGACTGAGATGTCGGTTGTTTTTCCTGGGATCTGCTTTAGCCACTCCTCCAGTTTGGGGGTTACTGCCCCGAGTGTCCCGACGATCACGGGTACTACCGATGTCTTCACTCTCCAGGCTTTCTCAAGTTCTTCTTTGAGGCCCTGGTGCTTCTCTAGATGTTGCATCACTTGGTATCGCCACATCAACCACAACGGTTGTCCTCTGTTGTCTGTCCACCACCACAATGTCCGGTTGGTTCACCGTCACCATATCGTCAGTCTGGATCTGGAAGTCCCACAGGAGCCTGGCTCTCTTGTTCTCAACCACCTTAGGGGGTGTTACTCACTTTGACCTTGGGGCTTCCAGTCCATACTCTGCACAGATGTTCCTGTACACCAGGGGTGGAGAAGCCTGGTCCATCGAGGGCTGGTATCCAGCATATTTTAGTTTCAACCCTGCTTCAACACACCTGATTTCAATCAGCAGGTGATTAACAGGCTTCTGTAGAGCCTGATGAGCTGCTGAACAGGTGAATCAACTGCTGAATCAGAAGGGTTGGAGCAAAGACGTGCAGCACACCGTCCCTCCAGGACCAGGGTTCCCCACTCGTGCTGTACACGATGCCAGCCACTTGGTTGTGGCGTCCCATGGATGCTTTCGGGCCTCTTTGCATTTTTTCGGGTTGTCAGCTTTTCATTTAAACAGGTCAAATGTACCGAGAAAAAAAAAAAAATGAATTACATGGTTTGAACTACTTTGGACAATGCAGAAGCCAGAAAACAATGCAGGAAATAAGTTTTATAAATAAATAAAAGATACTGTCAGTTTTTCTACAGTTGGCTTCAGGGCTGGGTGATATGGCCTAAAATCAATATCACGATATATTGAGGATTTCACCTCGATAGCGATAAATGGGCGATAACTACAGGTATGCGCAGAAACAAAAGTCCTCCACTAGATGGCGCTGTCACATGTATTAAGCTGAGTCACATTTTTACGAGACTCCGTGTGGTACAGCTTCTTAAAGGAACATGAATGTTGCCAACCTACACACATCTTTTCATTTTTTATTCATCAAATTTATTGGCGTAGATAAAATGATCGCAATAAGAGTCACAAATTTTGATAACGATACATTTTTGATTTATTGCCCAGCCCTAGTTTGCTTTTAGTATACTGTTGGTGTAGCTTTTAAATATCTGTCTTTATTATATATATTTTTTAAATGCTTCTTTCTAACGTCACTGCATAAAAATAATTATTTCTTTTTGTTATTTTTTTAAATGCTGAATAGCTGGATGCATTTGATCATTTCTTGGCTGCTGGAGGTGGTCGAACAATCTCCTTCGTGTATCAGGAGTCTGGAGTCCCAGGAGAAGGTAGGATCACATCAGGAAACGATACCTTTCTGGACTTTTTTCTTTTCTCAAAGAGGTCCTTCACCGATGTTCTTAATACAGGGAGTGCAGAATTATTAGGCAAATGAGTATTTTGTCCACATCATCCTCTTCATGCTTGTTGTCTTACTCCAAGCTGTATAGGCTCGAAAGCCTACTACCAATTAAGCATATTAGGTGATGTGCATCTCTGTAATGAGAAGGGGTGTGGTCTAATGACATCAACACCCTATATCAGGTGTGCATAATTGTTAGGCAACTTCCTTTCCTTTGGCAAAATGGGTCAAAAGAAGGACTTGGCAGGCTCAGAAAAGTCAAAGATAGTGAGATATCTTGCAGAGGGATGCAGCAGTCTTAAAACTGCAAAGCTTCTGAAGCGTGATCATCGAAAAATCAAGTGTTTCATTCAAAATAGTCAACAGGGTCGCAAGAAGCGTGTGGACAAACCAAGGTGCAAAATAACTGCCCATGAAGTGAGAAAAGTCGAGCGTGCAGCTGCCAAGATGCCACTTGCCACCAGTTTGGCCATATTTCAGAGCTGCAACATCACTGGAGTGCCCAAAAGCACAAGGTGTGCAATACTCAGAGACATGGCCAAGGTAAGAAAGGCTGAAAGACGACCACCACTGAACAAGACACACAAGCTGAAATGTCAAGACTGGGCCAAAAAATATCTCAAGACTGATTTTTCTAAGGTTTTATGGACTGATGAAAGGAGAGTGAGTCTTGATGGGCCAGATGGATGGGCCCGTGGCTGGACTGGTAAAGGGCAGAGAGCTCCAGTCCGACTCAGACGCCAGCAAGGTGGAGGTGGAGTAATGGTTTGGGCTGGTATCATCAAAGATGAGCTTGTGGGGCCTTTTCGGGTTGAGGATGGAGTCGAGCTCAACTCCCAGTCCTACTGCCAGTTTCTGGAAGACACCTTCAGCAGTGGTACAGGAAGAAGTCTGCATCCTTCAAGATAAACATGATGTTCATGCAGGACAATGCTCCATCACACGCGTCCAAGTACTCCACAGCGTGGCTGACAAGAAAGGGTATAAAAGAAGAAAAACTAATGACATGGCCTCGTTCACCTGATCTGAACCCCATTGAGAACCTGTGGTCCATCATCAAATGTGAGATTTACAAGGAGGGAAAACAGTACACCTCTCTGAACAGTGTCTGGTTAGGGTTAACTCCCCATTAGGGTTAGGTAAACCATAACCCTAACCCTGTTTCAGCACAGAGAAATCAACCAGAGAAGATTGTAGCTTCAGACAACATGTTTGGGCTCTTATTTCCTGACATTGGGGCACCTTTCCTCTGATTGGCTAACTACAACTCGACTCTACCACTGTCTCCATTTGCGTTGATGTTTTATCTCCACAAATAACACAAGTCTGAAGGAGTTCTGCTGTGTGGTGGAGTTGCTAATGCTAACGGTTAGCTTCTAGTAGTCGAGACGTTCTCTGCTGTTTCCTGGACGCTAACCCAACAACAGCCTGCCCCGTCGTGAGTCCAGATGGGTGAGTCCATGAATGTTAGTGACAGGGTGACGTAGATCTGTCAGGATTTTCTAATCCTAGAGTTTCACCGTCTGTTTTCTATCAGAAGCTAATGCAGGAGATAGGTGTAGGAGACTATTTTCATGTTCAGCGTGCATGTTAATTCACCGATCATTTAAAAAAATAATAGATAAACAATTGTTTCTCAGTGGAAGACCCCTTTAATATTCGTTTTGGGCTTCATGGTTGTTGTTGGCAATGTTGCTTCTAGTGTGGTTCAAATTAGGGATGTCCTGGTCTGTTTTTTTGCCTCCGAGTCATTTGATTTAGAGAATCTGCTGATACCGAGTCCCGATCCGATACTTTTGATACATAAAAAAAAAAAATAAGAAAAGGAATAAATAATTCCAGAATGTTCCTTATTTTTTATTTAATTACCTTTTTATTTGAATTTTTAACAACAGATCACTTCTGTGAGGTAGCTTGAACAATCAAGTAATAAATAAATTCTTCACTTTTGGACTTTATTGCAGATATAAAAAGTCTAATATAAAAACAGAGAGCACTTCAACTTAAAATACCTGGCAGGGGTCTATTTTGCCTCGGCCCCCAAAATGCTTAGATACGTCCCTGGGCATGGGACGGAGTTTTGAAGATGATCTGAATCGTATCAACTACATAAATACTACATGCTGATAAATTATTGCTTTATACAGGCACAAACGTGTAGTGGGATAAATCTTCCTACACTTAATTTTTTTAAGAACTTTGTTTTGTTTTCTTGGTTTTTATTAGCCCCCCCCCCCCCCCCCCCCCAAGCCTGATTATTGCCACACCTGTTTCAATCCAGAAATCACTTAAATATGAGCTGCCTGACACAGAGAAGTAGACCAAAAGCACCTCAAAAGCTAGACATCATGCCAAGATCCAAAGAAATTCAAGAACAAATGAGAACAAAAGTAACTGAGGTCTATCAGTCTGGTAAAGGTTAAAAAGCCATTTCTAAAGCTTTGGGACTCCAGCGAACCACGGTGAGAGCCATTATCCACAAATGGCAACAACATGGAACAGTGGTGAACCTTCCCAGGAGTGGGCGGCCGACCAAAATTACCCCAAGAGCGCAGAGACAACTCATCCGAGAGGTCACAAAAGACCCCAGGACAACCTTTAAAGAACTGCAGGCCTCACTTGCCTCAATTAAGGTCAGTGTTCCCGACTCCACCATAAGAAAGAGACTGGGCAAAAATGGCCTGCATGGCAGATTTCCAAGACGCAAACCACTGTTAAGCAAAAAGAACATTAGGGCTCGTCTCAATTTTGCTAAGAAACATCTCAATGATTGCCAAGACTTTTGAGAAAATACCTCGTGGACTGATGAGACAACAGTTGAACTTTTTGGAAGGCAAATGTCCCGTTACAGCTGGCGTAGAAGTAACACAGCATTTCAGACAGAGAGCATCATACCAACAATAAAATATGGTGGTGGTAGTGTGATGGTCTGGGGTTGTTTTGCTGCTTCAGGAACTGGAAGGCTTGCTGTGATAAATGGAACCATGAATTCTACCGTCTACCAAAACATCCTGAAGGAGAACGTCCGGCCATCTGTTGGTCAACTAAAGCTGAAGTCATCTTGGGTGCTGCAGCAGGACAATGACCCAAAACACACCAGCAAATCCACCTCTGAACGGCTGAAGAACAACAAAATGAAGACTTTGGAGTGACCTAGTCAAAATCCTGACCTGAATCCTATTGAGATGCTATGGCATGACCTTAAAAAGGTGGTTCATGCTAGAAAACCCTCAAATAAAGCTGAATTACAACAATTCTGCAAAGATGAGTGGGCCAAAATTCCTCCAGAGCGCTGTAAAAGACTCGTAGCAAGTTATCACAAACGCTTGATTGCAGTTATTGCTGCTAAGGGAGGCCCAACCAGTTATTAGGTTCAGGGGGCAATAACTTTTTCACACAGGGCAATGTAGGTTTGGATTTTCTCTCCCTAAATAATAAAAACCATCATTTCAAAACTGCATTTTGTGTTTACTTGTGTTATCTTTGACTAACGGTTAAATGTGTTTATGATCAGAAACATTTTGTGTGACAAACATGCAAAAGAATAAGAAATCAGGAAGGGGGCAAAGAGTTTTTCACACCACTGTAAGTAGTGTGAGTGTATTCTTCTCATTTCCTTTGCAGCATGCCAGAAAACCTGTGGTGATCCATCAGAAACATGCAAAAGAACCCCGTTTGGTTGTAGGGAGTTCTGGAACAAGAATCTAAGACCTCCTTTAACTCTGGGAATCTTAAACCCCTCGGAAAAGTCCAGACTGGCGGATCTAGTCCTCAGTCTAGAAGCTTGGCTTTTTGAGAGTTAATTGAGGGCGCTGGACACATTTTCTTGTTCTTGCTCCATCAGCCATCAGTAACAGGCAGAGCTGTGGATTAAAGGTATAGACTGTAAGCACTGCTGCTTTGTTTTAAAATATTAACAATGATTTAGAGCACAATTTTGAAAGGGCCGACCTTTCAAAGGGGACTTATGGAGGGCCAGACCCACAACCGAGCAAGCTGTCTGCTCGTTACAAGTAGTTATGTTATTAACCTTAATTTCATGTTGTGGAGCTAAACAAGTGTTCAATGAAACACAGCCTTGTGGAAATAGTTCTTATGTTTACTGAGCTACTGATTAAATTCGTACTTTTTAATGGGCTCGACACACGGGAGGCGACATCGCCTCTCCTCCATTCATTTTCAATGAGACATGCACGACAAAGCGATAATCGCGGGTCTGCCTCCTACTAAGCGAAACGCGAAAAACGTGCGTGTGAAAGTTAGCACTCGTGCACGTGTCATGCACGGACGACCCAGCGACGCAATCCCAGAAAGTTGAAACATTTTCAACTTTTCATCGCTGTCGCTCGGACGAGGACCAATCAACGGAGGTTTCATTCACTGACCAATGAGCAGACAGGATGCTCCGTGCACCTCCGAGCAAACATGGAGGAGAAGTTGATTATTATTATATTTTATAGTAAAATCACAAGTAAGATTTCACATAACTCTAGCAGCACCTTGTGAAACATCATATCTACCACTTTATTTAACTCTGAACCGCTTAAATAACCTTAATTCCCTCCAACCTGACACAGCCAATCAAAACAACGGAAGTTTCGATTTCGCCATGGAACAGAACGTGTAGACGGCTTTGCCGCTGGCCGCTGCCGTGGATCGCCTCCCGTGTGACGGGTAATAAAAGCGACAAATTTCGCTGATCGCGGTCGTTTGTCGCCTCCCGTGTGTCGAGCCCACAACTCATTCACTGCCAGACGTTTCCTGATCAGTAAAGCCCTTCGCTGCCAGCGTTTTTCAACATTTGGATTTAAAATGACGACTTTTGTCGTCAGTGGTAGTGAATGAGTTAAAAGGGGTGTACTTATTTATGCTGAGCACTGCCTGGCTCTGTGTTGTTGATTGGTTGAAAGTAAGTTATGACTAGTGTTTAACCAATAGGCCGTAATGAAAAAGGAAAGAAAACTTTTTTAATCAAAGTTTTTATCTACCTGATTTTTTTCCCCTTCCACCACATGTCTATAAATAGATATGTCATTGAATTATTATCCAGCCCTAATATGAGCGAGGCTTTCAGCAAAGATGATCTCCCCAGGTCAAGAGTCTGGGTGTCATCCTCGACAGCACACTATCTTTCCAATCTCATATCAGTAGCATCACACAGTCAGCTTATTTCCATCTTCGTAATATGGGTGGGCAGTCTAAACGACATAAGGTAAAAACGATATAAAATTGGGTAATGATAGAGTTTTTGGCTATATCGCAATACCGCGATATCGCGATAACACATGACATCACTAAGATGTGTACCCTGCTGACATTGGGGCAACAGAATGGCGGTGAATGCAAGCATGGAGTGGGCGGAGGAGGATGCCTTTATGCCTCAAGTGGCATATTTGCCACATGAGGATATTTAAAAGCATGTCATTGTCACATATATAAACAGAGTAAAAAATATATCGCAATATACATCGTTACCGCACATGCTTCAGATTATGTCGCAATATAGATTTGAGGCCATATCGCCCAGCCTTACTTCGTAGCATTAATCGTCTTCGCCCCTCCCTTGATGTCCACTCTACTTCTATTCTTGTCCATAGTCTGGTTACATCACGTATCGATTATTGCAACTCTCTTCTCTCAGGCCTCCCTCAGAAAACCCTCCATAAGCTCCAGTTGGTTCAGAATGCAGCAGCACGTATCGTCTCTAAAACTCCCATCTCTCATCACATCACCCCCATCCTCAAACAACTCCACTGGCTACCAGTGCACACCAGGATTAACTACCAAGATTCTCCTTCTCACCTTCAAGGCCATCCATAACCTCGCCCCTCACTACCTCACAGATCTCGTTCACATCGCCACCTCGTCCAGTTCCCTCAGGTCCTCCTCCTCCATTCATCTCTCTGTGCCCTCCTTCCGTCTCAGCACCATGGGGAGTAGAGGCTTCAGCTGCACCGCTCCCAAACTCTGGAACTCCCTTCCCCCTCTCATCAAGAACATTAACTCATTCACAGAATTCAAAAAACAACTCAAAACTCACTTCTTCATAACCACATATCAACTTTGAATTTTAGAGTGCCTTGTTTGCTGATGTTTACGTATGTTTACTTTGTTTTATTGAATGATTTGTGTTTTTATTCTGTACAGTGTCCTTGAGTGACTAGAAAGGCGCTTTTAAGTAAAATGTAATATTGTTATTATTATTATTATTATTATTATTGTTATTATAAGTGATGTTAAAGCAACAACTGGTGCGTTTATAGTTCAGTTTTCATTTCAAACAAACTGTTTTTGTTTTTCAGAATGTGGGCGCACATACCTTGGGCCAACCAAAGATGGGAAAATCCAGAGGCTGTTGTTAGCTAACTTAGCTGACACGCGCCTCACAGGCCTGTGCTGTGTTTTCACACGAACAAAAACGGACGTTCCTGTGAATCCAGAAAAAATACACGAGGTAGGTTAAGTTAGTGTTTGTAAATGTAGCAACTGCCTCACTTTGGCTAAACTGCTTACCTTGCTCTGTTTATTTTTATAGAGCTAACTGATCAAAATCTACAGTTGTGTTTTATTTGATAAACCTAAATGATTGTTTTTTGTTAGCTTAAGTTGTAATGAAAGTGCTAGAAGTGACAGAAAACATAAAAGTGTACAAGAGTGTACGGTACTTGTCAAAAGTTTGTACACCTGAGCTGCACGTCCGTTTGGAATGAGTAGCCGTGTCCGTATGTCGGACTGGAGCAGCATCTGAATGCAACAACATGTTTCTCAGCATTTCTGGAGACAGCACTGCAGACATTAGTATGTAGATGTGCTACTTCTGTTGTTTTTTAACTTCATGTGTTGTTGCATTGTTGAATATTGTTGTCTGAACTGCAGTTTTGGAACATTCGTGCTCCTTTGTGAAGCACTTTAGTCGACTGTCATGCTGTTTTTAAATGTGCAAAATAGGGCTGCAACAACGAATCGATAAATTCGATGTAAATCGATTACTGCTGCGAACCGGTTCTGCCGTCACATTCCCGCAGAAACTGGTTGATCACACCAGGTCCAGACTACTAGCATGTGGTTTTACAACCACTATGTCCTCAGAAGCGAAAACGCTTTTAAAAGGGAGGGAGAAGTACTAACTGTTGCTGCAGGCGTGTTGTGTGTGAGTGCAGTTATATACTGGTTAATATATTTTTGGGTTCAGTTGCTTTCATGTGGCCTAATGTGAGTCTATTTGGGATCATTGGAATGATCAGCAGCATTTCTTGATGTGACTTTATGGCAGTTGCCCAGGGCATCATCGCAAGGAGGATGGCATTCATTTACTTTTGTTTTATTTGGTATTTTTTCAGTCATTTTTGGAAATCGTGATCAATTTTGATTAATTCACAGCCTATGTTTAATTACATTTAAAAGTTAGTTGTTTGACATCCCCAATTATAATAAATGTCTACAGATGAGATCAATCAAAACAGATGAGAATTGCCCTTAAAGAGCAAGTCACCCCCAAATAAACTTTTTTTTGCTGATAAACAAAATAAACAAGTGTCTAATCGTGCTGCAGACACGTGTCGTCAATAATTTGGCACTTCAGTGCATCTTAGTTAAAATTTAAATATTCTGCCTAAAACTGGCAGTGTTGTGCCGTTGTCAGGTAAAAACTCTGCATTGTATTTTAATTTAAATCTGCCACCGCTATTGGCTAAGAGGTATGATATGATGTAAACTGGTACATTATGATGTCACAATGCTGTTGTGAGCCTGAGTGTGTGTGTATTTGTTAGCGGCTCCGCCCTCTCGGTCTGCCAGGCAACAGCATGTGTTGCATTTTTCAAACATGAAGTGGGAGTGGAGTTAGACTCTGGTAGGGGGTGACTTGCTCTTTAAGCTGTTTAACTTCAATCAATCAATCAATCAATCAAAGCTTTATTTATAAAGCGCCTTCCGCAACCCTGTCAGGAAGCCCAAAGCGCTGAACATGGTTCAGTTGTAAGTAAATATATTGAAAAAATCAACAATAAAAGAAATTCAAATTACAAAATACAAATTACAAAATACAAAATGGAAATTATAAGATAGATGAAACATTCGGGCAAAGGACAAATGTGTGAAACACATTTGGATTGAGTGGATGGATTGAGTGTCCAATGAAAACTGTGGAATGGATTCAACATAAAAGAGGGCCAAAATCAAACATGTTCTGGAAACGCCAAGCGGAGGAGGTGTGTTTTTAGGTGATTCTTAAAGACTGGCAGAGAAGGGGACAGCCTAACTGAGGGTGGCAACTGGTTCCAGAGTAACAGTGCTAGGACTTAGAAAGCCCGGTCCCCACGGGTACGACACCTAGACCGAGGGACAGCGAGCAGGCCTTGATCAGAGGAGCGCAGAGCGCGTGATGGGGAATGTTTGTTCAGGAGAGTGGCTAGATAGGGGGGACCACCACCCTGGAAGAAATGATAAACAAAGACGAGTATTTTGAATTGTGAGCGATAGCAAATCGGAAGCCAGTGCAGAGAGGCCAGAACTGGACTGATGTGGTCCCGTTTCCTGGTCCCAGTCAGGAACCTGGCAGCGCTGTTCTGCACAACCTGTAGGCGACGCAGTGATGACTGACACAACCCTGCATAGAGAGAGTTGCAGTAATCAAGCCTAGAAATTACAAAGGCATGCAGTACAGGTGGGCTCTCGACAGCATATGCTTGATTTTAGCAAGGCGTCTCAGGTGAAAGAAACTGGACCGGATCACAGAATTGATGTGAGCATCAAATTTAAGTCCTACATCAAGTTTCACCCCCAAACTGGTAACAACTGGTTTTGAGTATGGAGAAAGAGGGCCAAGATCAGCATAACGATCCACATTCCTGCTGTTGGGGTGAAAAACAATGAGCTCTGTCTTTCCCTCATTCAGATGTAGATAGTTGGACATTAGCCAAGACTTCACCTCATTAACACAGGAGACAAAGGACTGAATAGATTGACCTTTCTCCTGACACAATGGAGAGTAAATCTGGCAATCGTCAGCATACAGATGGAATGATAGGCCATGTTTACGAAAGATTGACCCCAAAGGTAGCAGATAAATGGCAAACAAAAGTGGACCAAGGATCGACCCCTGCGGGACCCCCCAGCAGAGCCCCTCCCAAGAAGAAAAAAACATCACCCAGTTTAACACAGAATGTCCTGTTTTGGAGATATGATCTAAACCAATCCAGAGCTGACCCTTTGATCCCAACACATCGTTCCAAGCGATCGAGTAGAATCGCGTGGTCAACTGTGTCGAAGGCTGCTGTCAGGTCTAACAACAGAAGCAGCACAGATGTTCCCTGATCTAGTGATAGATAGATGTCATTTAGGACCCTCAGTAGAGCCGACTCTGTGCTATGGCCAGACCTGAACCCAGATTGGAAAACCTCAAACAGATCAGAGTCAGCTAAATGTGAGAACAGCTGCTGATAAACGACTTTCTCAAGCAGTTTAGATGTAAAAGGCAGGGTAGAGATAGGCCTGTAATTTTCTATCACAGAGACATCAGCACCAGGTTTCTTCAGGGTCGGCCGAATAACTGCTGCTTTCAAAGCAGCTGGGACCACACCTGTGCTGAGGCTCCCATTGATAATCTGACCAATCAATCAATCAATCAATCAAAGCTTTATTTATAAAGCGCCTTCCGCAGCCCTGTCAGGAAGCCCAAAGCGCTGAGAGCGACTTGATCGCTGATTCAGGTCAGCTGCGGTCTTCGCTGGCGTGCCTCTCTCCGAGGTCCTGAACTGGCGCTGTGCGTTGGAGAGTGAGCAGGCCGCTCCTGGCGCTGTCCCTGGTGCTGGATCCTTTTCAGTGGGGACAACGGCTCAGGGGAAGATGAGATGACGGACCGAAGGGACGAGGTTCGTCACGCTAGTTTTAAGTACAGATAGTTCATAAAGATCAAAAACAGGAGTCTGTTATTGGCTCAATATTAATCTTTTTAATAATTATTCCTATGAGACTTGGTTAAAGAGATATGTAGTTCCTTGTGTTGCCATGGTAACAGATAACGCATTTAAAATTGAATACAAGATTCCTGAGACCAAACTGGTCGATTTGATGCGTCATATGTGTGGATGCTGGATCCTGATTGGACAGAAAATGGTTGAACACTCTCAACCAATCAGAGAGCAGCACTGTTTTCCCGCCTTTTCCCCTGGCTGTTGGAGGCCTGCAGCTGTACCCCTGTTAATGAGAGAAGCCTGTCCTTCAGAAGTGAAATTGGACCTGTCAAACTTCTCATCACCATTCGAAAAGTACTGCACCAAATTGAAAAATTCAAAAAGCGTGAGCAGCAGAAGGCTTTGTCATCTGTTTGTATTTTGATGTGCCTACCATGAATTGTCTAGAATCTATGACGAGAAACTTTTAGCTGTCTGAAGCTACCCGTCACATTTAGTGAAGTGGACCCAAGCTTTAGCGTGCGTTCTTTCTACCATGCTGCTCTGCTTACAACTCGCTCGCAGCGACCGACGACATAACGCTCTTGCGCATGCGCAGCTGTCTAGGCAAGTTCTCATTATGAAGGACGGGTACCGAAACGAGGCACCGTTTCAAATGACGTGAATCGGTGCTCAGTCGGTACTATGGAATTCGGTCGGTACCTTAAAAAGTACCGAATTCGGTACCCATCGCTAATCACCATTTGAGAGAGCTGTAAGGAAAGCAGGGTTAAACTAAATGAGCCCAGATAATAAACACCAGACTGAATAACTGCTGTGACTCATTCATCAAGTTTAAAACCATTTTCTCAGAACACACCAAGAAGGGAAAGCAGTTCTGCAACAAAGTTCACTGTGTCCCTGAACAAAGTAGATGTTCAGGCACTGGTCTTTTCCCAGGGATGGAAACCCACCTGCTAATGGGTGAAAGGCTGTTGACTAGGATGCAGATCCGCTATGGCTGAAGCTAAAGCTGATTCTTATACATTCTGAAACTTTTTTACATTTCTTTTTGTCTGAATACTTTTTAGGACATTTTTTTCTCAGTTATTGATACCAGAGACGACCGCTTGAAAGGGCTAAAGGATGCCAACAGTTTTCTGCTACTAGCTGTGGAAGCACAGGAAGATTGGGGAGCCGTCGGCACGTCGGTACAGAGAGACGAGATCAAACACAACTTCCTGGATGAATTTAAAGGTTTTCTACAGTCTCTGAATGGTAGGTGTGTGTGTGTGTGTGTGTGTGTGTGTGTGTGTGTGTGTGTGTGTGTGTGTGTGTGTGTGTGTGTGTGTGTGTACTTGTGTAACTGTCCAGCTTAGAACCAAAACTTGCATTTTCACTAATTTTCTGAAGACCAATGGGCCTTATTAGGACCAAAACCTAGTGCTAATACGGTGGACCCCCGTTTTAGGCTAGGGCTGTGCGATATGGCCTAAAATCACGATATATTGAGGATTTCACCTTGATAACGATAAATGAACGATAACTACAGGTATGCGCAGAAACAAAAGTTGTCCACTAGATGGGGCTGTCACATGTATTACATTGAGTGACTAACGGTGGTACAGCTTCTTAAAGGGACATGAACACTGCCAACTAAAGCCGGGCATACACTGTGTGACTTTTTCACTTTTTTGAGCCGATTTTCCACTCGTGCGAGAATCCATGAGATCGGGGCGAGTTTTGCGCTGAGCGTCGTGTAGCGTACAGGGGGTTACGAGAGGCAATTAACACCACGTGACCAGCTACCGATCAGCAATCGTGAGCTCGCATGAACTTCTGGCGTGTTTAATATTTTGCTCGTCCCTCGTGAGGGTATCGCACTGTTGAAGCGGCGCTGCGAGCAGCTGCGACCCAAAAAGTATCAGAACCGCTCACGGCGCATGCGCAATCCTGCATCAACACCGCTCCCCGCTATTTCCCTAATAACACACGCTGTTCGTTTTTATTTCTACGTTTTTTTTTACTCACAAAGATTGTCAAGAAAGCGTGTTTGTCGTGTTCATGTCAAATTAAACTGATCACAAAACACAGATTTACTTTCTTTATTCCGTTTTCCTCACCCAACCCCCATAAATCCCTGTGTGTCCTCCTGCAGCACTCCCGAAGGACAACAGGCAAAACAAAAAAGTCTGACGTGTTGAGTAAAAACTGCTATTTTTAGCATATTTTGGGGCCGACGTGTTGCTACCAGACGTACAGTGTGAGCAGTCAGGTCGCATCCGAGAACTGGGTCGTACAGACTCGGGAGATCTGCCCTGCCAGGAAGTCGTACAGTTTGAGCTGAAGCTGAGTGCTACGAGTGAAAAAGTCACACAGTGTCCGCCCAGCTTTACACACATCTTTTCATTTTTTTAATATTAAATTTATAGATATGGGAAAAATTAATCTTGAGTCAGAAATTTCGATAACGATAAATTCTCGATTTACTGCCCAGCCCTATCTTAGGCTTAGGGGCTAGGTTTATGGTAAGAGGTGAGTTTTTGATTAGGATTAGGAATATGCTGGTTAGAGTTACCCCGGCTTTCCACAGGAGCCGTCAGCAGCACGTTACTGCAGCAGCACGTCATAGCTGCTGATAGGAACCGCTGTGGTCAACAGAACCTTTTCCACCAGAGCCGTCAGCAGCGCGAGTCGGCCGCGTCTCAGGAGCAGCATGTCGCAGCCTTTACGCGCCGGTTATATTTTCTACGCGCGACGCCTCTGAAACGGGTCAAGTTCGACATTTTTGGGGAAGGAAAGACAGGAAATCGGACGCGGAAACGGAGAGAAGCTCCCGAGATTTTCAGAATAAAGAGCGTACTGCCTTCCGGTTGCTTTATTTTTAAAAAAGTTACTAACTGTGCGTCCCCGTGAGAAGTTATCAGCTAGCTAGCGGTCTCCTTTGTTTTTCAGGTCCGTATTGGCGATTATAAAACGGACAGAACATAAAACACAAACCATGTTGTAGTTTTCTCCTGCTTGTTGTTGTGTTTACTGACGAAGTCACTCGTGTGACTTCGTGCTCGGTCGGTGACAGCTGCTCCCCTGCTGCTTCGCGTCTCGTGGGAAGGGCCAAGCAGCAGCTTACGCCAGCAAGACGTGCTGCTGACGGCTCCCGTGGAAACCCGGGGTTAGGCATAAATGCAGTTACTAAAATGAATAAAAGTCAATATAAAGTCCTAATAAGGATAGAAAAACAAACCTGTGTGTTTACATCTTTTCACCTAAATACATTTCTGCATAATTTGAGCTTGGATCATTCAGAGAAGTGTTCTGTTTAGTAAATATTCAACATTTTTCACACTGGGTTGTAACATTTTTATTTTCGCATCATTTTTTGTGCGTCAGACCTCCAGGCAAGAGAACAGAGCTGTGATCATCTGACTGCAGTCACAGATGTTGACTTTTCTAAACTGGCTAGTCCTGACGACATAAAACCTGCAGCTTCTAACCCGGACACGGTCGAACAAATGGAAGAAATGCTGATCCAGTGGTTCAAACAGATACTGAAGGTTAGTAGCTGGCACACCTGTGTCAGTCTGTTACGTTATCTGTTAATGTGCAGCCCCGGGGAGCATCAGGCTAAACACACATGGACAAAAAGTTAGTAGTTTGTAATAGTGATTGTTAAATGAATGATGAGAAACATGCTGGCGATTTAAAAAATAAACTAACTGGAAAGTCAGATAAAAATACAAGTGGAGGATAAAACTTTATTGGTGACACACTGAGTGTTTATAAAAGGTCAGCTTGTTTATGTCAGTTTGGTCAAAAATATGAACGTTTAACTAATTGTATTAAGTCTTGTTTTCATTCCCATCAGGCTACGAGAAAGCTCAATGTCGAAGATGTACCAAGTTTCACAGGAAGTCTCCAGGAGATGGAATACTGGCAAAAGCTGGACAAAAAGTACAGCTCCATCATCAGCCACATGAAGAGTCCGCAGTGTAAGGCAGTGGTGGACGTGCTCCGATTCAAACCCTGCATGATACTGAAGGTATTAGGGCTGAACGTGTAGGAATATTACTCTGTGAAACGGATAATATAATGTTTGTGTTTATTGTGCAAAAAACTGTCTTAACTGGTGCTGTCAAGAGATTAAAACATCAGGGTCTGTAATTAACAAATCTAATCTCACCTTTCAAAATTCAAAATAGCAGAGAAAAGTATCTTAAAGTCTCATCAGTCATCACACACTGGTGACTTTACATCTCCACATTTGACCCGTCTCCGTGATGATCTGCAGTTGTGGCTGTGCTCGGGAACTATTTGGTGGCTAATTAATGAAATAATGTGGTTCTGTACCTTTCTCTTCAGCACAGCCAACAAAGGTTTATGATGGGTCAGTCCTCCTGCATGCTCAGATCATTCCCTTCCCTTGCTTGAAAAATTGTTCCAAAATGAAAGTTGAACCCACATCTTTTTTATCTGTGAATTCAATGCCGTTCGGCGAGTCTCAAATAAAAATTGGGCGTCTTATTAATGTAAAAAAATTATCATTAATGTAAAAAAGACTCCAAATAACAAACTATGTTCCCTCTTTAAAACACAGAAAGGTTTTATTTACCTGCAACGTTTCGTTTGCGGCTGCAAAAAAAAGATGGAAAAATGTACAAAATGGCCTAGATAAATAATTTAACCAATAAAAAAATGAGAAAAAGCCTATTAATCAGGACAGTCGGCAGTATTTCTTGAGCCCGTGAAGTAAACGGCATCATCGATGATATTTTCACCTTTTCTATATAGAAATGGCTGGAAAAGGAAAACGAGATCTCACACCGTGCTAATGTAGCTAAAGAACATGTGAAGTTCCTGAGCCTGCAGGAGACCTTCTTCAGCAGTAATCCGGTAAGTGCACTCGGTAACTTCCTTTGTGTAATATTAGATAATAAATTCAGTAGATTGTTTGTGATGCGTCAAGATTCATTGGTCAGACACAGCATTCATATTGAAGTTTCACAGACTGCTCTGCAGCTAGAAATAAAGCTTCTCAAATGCCTGCACAAAATAATGCTAATTCAAGTTTAGCAAGAGGCTACAAAAATGTATTCAAGTGACTTGCTTGTTTGAATGGATTTCAGGTCTCGATGACGAATACCGTGCAGAGTCTCGTCAGTACCTTTTCTAGGATTTACTGTGAATCACAGAACTACAGAACAGATGAGATGACTCCATTCTTTAGCAAAGTAAGGAAAGCCTGTTCAGTTTAAGAAGGAATTAAGTTGTAATGTAACTAAAAGTTAGCGTTCATATAAAGACAGAATGTAAAGGTTTACATTTGAGTAAACGTGTTGCACGTGCCTAACATTTCCAGGTCACACATCAGATGATCGTAGCTTGCAGAGCGTATATTACAGACAACAAAAGCTTTATGTGGGACCAAGATCCTGAAGACCTCCACAGAAAAATACAGGTAATGTACCATCGTCCCTGCTTTTCTTAACTAAAATTGGAAGGGACCATATTTTAATATCAGCAAATGGAAACTAATGTCATTCTGTTTGTATCTTGGGCAGGAATGCCTGTGCTTGTTTCAGGAATATCAATCCTGCATTCAGAAAGCAGCCTTGCCAACGGTGGAAAGCCCTGGGGAAAAGCCCGTTGAAGCTCTACAGTGGTTCATTGCTGCAGACCTTAAGAAGTTTACCAAGAAACTTGAAAAGGTGTCGTCATTGTTAACGTATTAGCAGTTATTGCTTTACTTTATTCAGACCCCGTTGCCTGATATAGACTGGCATTTCCTTTCTTTAGATCAATCAAATAATTTCAATGTTGAAGACTTTTGCAACCCTTGAAAAATCAAGAATTGAAGGCATTGAGATTATAGCCAGACTATTCCAGACTGCTATCACCGGTATTAAAAAGGGAGACGACATCCTATCACCAGAAGAAAATGAGTTTGAAGCTGATTACGAAAAATTTATGGCTGACATCTGCTACATTGAGGTACGTATGTGGTCTGCTGTTCTTACAACCTTTCAACCGGCCTCGCTAGCTTCTTTGATTCAAATAAAATCCGATTTAAACAACTATTTATTCATTTATAAATCCTCAATGAAAAGATCAAAATTTCCTTTGGCAGAGATTTACACAGGGTATCCGCAGGTCCTTAAAGTCTTAAATTAGCTTTTCCAAATTTAAGGCCTTAAAAATCCTTAAAAATGACTAATAATCCTTAAAAACAGTTTCCAACGGTCTTGAATTACCAAAGACCCAATAAACAAGATTATTTCATTTCTATGAAATTTTGTGAATTTCTAGTTAGTGTTCAGTATTTTTTTGTGTACGATGTTGGCGTAAGCGGAACCGTACACATTCAGCTGGTTGTGAATGGGGCTATTTTTAGATGAGCACATTAGGTGGTTAAGCTAGCGGGAGCTTGCGCCATGGGGAAGTGCAAGTTTAATGGTAACTGGATGGCTAATCCCACGATCGCGACGTGGTTAGCACCGGTTCCAGGCAATAGCTGGAAATTTTAGCTTAAATTTAATTTTAAAAATTTGCTTACATTTGTTCAAAGTGGCCTAAAAAAAAGGTCTTAAAAAGTCTTAAATCTGGCTCCCTTAAACCTGCAGATACCCTGGATACAGCAAAATCCTAGCCTAGTGAACTAGACCAAATTCTTGCTTTGCAAAGAATGGTCTAGGCATGCTCCATTGGAACCTCAGGAGCTCCTACCAGGACTCTGGCTAGCCAATCACAGGTCTCTAGAGGGGTTTCAAACACATAAAGAGCTGTGATTGGTCCATAATGGTGGGCCAATCATAGTGCTCTATCTGCTTAGTGAACAAATCACAGAGCTTTAACCGCTTTGTGGGCCAATCAGGGCCCTCTATATGCCTGGTGGGTGGGATGATGCAACAGAGTGAAACAAGAGTATGTCACATTCATTGTCCAGTGGAATGCGGAGATCATTTGAAAGACAACGGTAGAACCCGCCCCACAACCGAGAGCCGTCAATGGAGCGTTGCCAGACTAAATAATACATTTATTTAGTCTGGCTTGCCAGGCTAGCAAAATCCCAGAATGTATAGAAATAAAATGAACTAAACACTTTTGTTGTGCTTTACCACAGGAACAACTCCAGATATTAATGACTTCCATCTTCACAAAGTTCACCTCATCAAAAGTCACCTCATCCCAAACATGTATTTCTTTCATAGAAGGGTTTGTAAAATTCATTGTTGTTTAATTGAAAATGTTCCACACGTGTCAGAGTAAATAAGGAGAATCTTAATGGGTTTCTAAAATTTTTTTCCATAGCTTTAAGAAGCTGAACATTCCCTGTGTTGACAACAAGATTCCTGAAGTTTCTAAACTTATTCTTCAGCATCATATCCAAAAGTTGGAGTTTGTAAAAAAGGTATCTGGTTGGCTTCACCTTGTTTATCCAATAAACGCTGATAATATAGAGTATTTAATGATGAGTGACACCTAAGCTTCGATGCTTTTACTTTGTCAACGTTTTTGTAGGACTTTTTCCAAAACCAGGATCATCCAGTTTGTTATTCTACCTCATCTTCGGTGGCGAGCAGGATTCCTTGGGACAGAGATCTCTGTAAGAACACTGAGGACATTTTGTTATACCTGAAAGTGAGTCACTAAAATAACCCAAACTAAACCATTAACAAAGATTCTGTAGTGTTGACTGAGTTTGTCTTCCTTAACAGGAAAACACAGACTTTTTGTCCCACCCTGACGTACAATATAAGGTCAGAGAGTGCAGCAGCATTGCAGACATGCTGAAGGAGTTTGAGACTTCTGAACACCAAAGATGGATGAAGAAGGCTTCTGATCTAACTGATGGTTGGTTTTCTTTTAATATGCTAATATCAACATGTTGGACTAGGGCTGCACGATATTAGGAAAACCTGCGATAACAGTGAGTAATATTGCGACGACGATACTACATGTGATAAATAAAAACTTAACTCGGGAATAAAAATAATCATAAACGAAGAAATAAAAAATAAGACAAAAGTAACCATAAAAATGAGAAAAGCAAACGATGTGAGGAAAGGCAAAAGAAAATGAACAAGTAAAGGCAATCAGTGGATCCCGGGAAAAGCTAAATCAGCAGAAAGCTAACTCGGGTGTTTGCTAACCATCAAAATTAAGTGCCGTCCGCCTCGGGGGCGGGCATCTAACCTATGAGAACCCACCCAATTGGCCAAATGGGTAAAGAACTCTATTTGATTTGTTGCTTCTGTTTGATTGACAGAATGAGTTATGTGTAGTAAGGTTGGGCGATTAGCATAGTTTCTCCCACTGCCATTCGTCAGTCCAAAAAAAGACTATTTGGACTGCTTTGCGAACACAAAAAAATCCCAGAACATAGATTATTTTTAGACAAGCGCAGCGCATATGTTTGCTGGAAGAGAAAAACATGTTGTTAGTTTTGTTTAATTTTGTATTTGTAGTTTGGTAGAGTGACGTATAAACGGCCGTATTAAACATGGTTAAAATGTTAAAAAGAAGCCTCGTCTTTGTTTCCCTGTGGCTCCCACTGTTTTGGTACTTTATTTAAGCTAAATGTTTCTTTCTGAACAAAAACTTCTGGGGTTCTTTCTTTTATAAGTGCGGGATGAAATGAATCGCTGCTGCGTTTGGACGCACCCTGAGGAGGCAGCTTGCTGCCAGAGGTCACGTGATCCATTTATCCCCATCACTTTCATTTTTTAAATTCTGAATAATCATTCATTAAATTTCCATTCATTGTCATTAATATTTAGTCCAACCAAGCCTATCAGAATGCCCCAGAAACACGAGCAATGCAATTAAACAATTTCACATTTCACCTGCTGCGGCTCGAACGCACATTCCTCCTGCGCTGCGTAAACATGAACTGGTCACCTGCAGCTTGTGTGTTATCAAATGTCTCTATCAAAATATTTGTCAATAAAAACAAATAAATAAATAAACAAATCGCCTCCTGTAAAAAAAACAACCGTAACGGCTCAGACCATCATCGATGGTCGATTCATTCGCCCCATCGCCCAACCTTGATGTGTAGCAAACATTTGAGCTGACCATTCATTGCGATATTTATCTGTCCTTTGCGATATGCATATTGCGTGTGCTGATATTGCGATAACGATATATTTGTGATATATTATGCAGCCCTATGTTGGACTTTTGGTTTAAAATCTCATGTTGATATTTACTTGCATGACCTGTCTAAAACAGTGATGAACAGCCCAGTGCTGATTCGTGACCCAAAGGCAGGAACAATGGTTGTGAACTTTGACCTGAGAGTTATGGAGGTCGTTATGGAAGCAAAATATTATTCACAAATGGGTCTGGAGATTCCGGAGCAAGCTTTAGTCCTTGTTCAGATGGAGAAGACACTAAATGGCTATTTAAGGCGATTGAAGGTACACATTCAAGCATTTTTTGATTAGTGTGGCTTATAGAAGACATTAATGTAATTGACATTTGTGCTTTTTAATAGACTATTTTGGAAGATTTTAAATCCACATGTGAAAGCATACCCACAGAACAAAGGATCATTTTCTCTTCAAAAATGGAAAATGTAAGCAAACACGGTTGAAGGTACTTTCTGTAGAATAAAATATGAAAGTTGGATAAATAAACGCTCCCTTCATGCAGTAAATAAAGGTCTTGCTGTTGTTTATAAATGAAGATTTTTAATCCTGTTTGTCTATAGTTTTCTTTTTGAATGATTTTATACTGTTTATAATCGTAAGGTTGATTCTGCACTCGGCCCTGGGTCGGAACTGCTAACCTGGTCATCTGATCTCAACGACTTCCTCCAAAATGCTGAAGTAGCTTTGCTTAAGCTAAAAAATGAGGCAAAGAAGGTAAGTTACTAAATGTTGTGGCCGATTAAACTGGAACCTGTCATTTTTACATGTAGAAATGTTTTTGGAACAGCTCACACAAAAGTATCATTTAAATGTAAAAGTAAAAGTACAATGGACTGGAGTGCTGTCCAGGGTGTACCCGGCATTTAAGGGGTCAAAGAAGATAAATTCATGTGTGTGTGTGTGTGTGTGTGTGTGTGTGTGTGTGTGTGTGTGTGTGTTAGATACATGATATTTGTGAGGCGAACGTCGACGATGTCCTTGATGCAATATCGAAGACTGAGCTGATTGAGCTCCCAGAGAAAGAGACATCACTGCTGGATTTTGTTGACCATAATAAGGTCTGAAAATTCCATTTTCATTTTCCCAATAAACATGTGAATTAATTAAATTAAAGAACTATGATAATTGATTATTACTGTCGCTTTAAAATTGAGGGTTTATTTTTGCCAAGTTCTTTGTCCTTTAAATGAACACAGAAAAGTGCGTGATTGAAAAAGTTAATTTTTTCTTCGTTATAAATTACCGTATTTTCCGGAGTATAAGTCGCACCAGCCATAAACTGTATAATGAAGAAGAAAAAAACATAAGTCGCATTTTGGGGGGAAACTTTATTATTTTTCTTACAAAATCTGAGACCAAACATTTCGCATTGCAAGACAAATACTAGTAACAATAACAGAATAAACAATGCAGGCGCAGCAGCGCGCCACGGTCTCCAGCAGAGGATGGCAGTGTTTGAAACCTTTCCAGCGGGCGGGGAGAGCTCATTCCTGGGTCGGAGCCGCCCGGCCCGCAGCAGCGCGCCACAGGCTCCAGCAGGTGATGACGGGGCAGAGGAGCTGAAACCTGGACCGGAGCCAGCCCACAGCAGTGTGGTATACATCATTTTGTATATAAGTCACTTTGGTATATAAGCCGCGGGACCAGCCAGACCACGATAAAAAGTGCGACTTATAGTCCGGAAAATACGGTACTCGATTTTCTGTTTTTAAGGCAAACGTTTAGCTGCTTTAAAGATGTTTGTCTCATACCTGCTGACAGCTTCGACTGAAGGCTTCAGTCTTCCTCAGACCGTCATCCGACTTTCCGCCGTTGTGTCATTTATCAGCTGGTCTGAGAGCGTCGTTGAACGCCAACTACAAAAAGAAAATTGAGTAATTAAATACAAAAGTGCATTCTCACTACATGATCTATTTTCTGTCTCCCTTAAGAATCGCTGCAAAGAGTGGGCAAAGACATTTGACCTCAAATGTGTTCATGTTAAATATGCACTCCACGAGCTGGGTTATATGTTGGGTGACATCCATCAACCAAAAGACTCAAAGATGGAGGAGGACGCTGTCCTAGGTGTGTAACACAATTGAAAATGTGATCAAGTTTTAACATCTTATTTGCTTCTCATTTAAATTATATTTGTTTTAGCAACCAGTATAAGACTTGAGAGCCAGAAAACAAAGATAAGAAAGGATGAAGTGGTTTCGGAAAACCAATTAAAGAAGAAACAAAAGAAAAAGGTACATTTGCCCCCCGTAGAAAAGGGTTTCTGTTATTTACCACACCAGTATACCAAGATGTGTAAATGTGCCAAATAAAAATCTTTATTTCAGGTGTTTAAGAATCTATGCAGTTTGTTCAGTGAAAAAGTGTGTGAAGCTCTTGTCAAAACCACACTATTATCCCTGGAGACCCTCGCAAACAGAACTCAGTGGGTCACGTAAGTATATCTGTTTCAAAACACCAGTATCAGTGACCAGTGTTGGGCAAGTTACTTCAAAACTGTAATGCATTATTTATTACTTGTTACCCTCAATTTAAAGTAATTAATAACATTACAATATTACTGATTTTAAAATGTAAGGCATTACACTACTTTTGCATTACTTGAAGTTACTTTCACCAAAACAACTTCAGTATGAATCTGGTAATCTGACGCTCAGTGAACTCATGACATATATGTGGAAGGTGATGTGGTGTCTGAGCTAGGGTTGCTGTTAAAAACAGTCCGATATAATAACAGTGCTTTAAAATGATTGTTTATTAAATAAAAGCAACAACAATCTGTACTCTCAACATGCTGCCATCTTATATTATCTGAGCAGGGAGTGAGGTGGTGGGGGCTCCAAGCCTATATTTGCCTTGGTCCCCAAATGCCTTGATACGGCCCTGGATGTGGGACTGACTTCTGGGGTGATCTGATTCTATCACATGTATAAATATTAAATGCTTATATGTTATTGCTTTTCACGGTAAAAATGTGTATCGGGGATAAATCTACCTACTTTTGTCTTTTCAAGCACTTTGTTTTGTTTTCTTGATTTTGAATAACTTCCTGCCCTTTCTCGCTCTAACCTTCCTGCATGCTGCATGTTTTCTCCGTCTTCCAGAAAAACTGTTTCCTAGATTTCCTACTTTCTAACTAATCAGCCAAAGGGATCTACCCAACGCAAAAAAATAAATAAAAAAGCTTTGCGCTGCGCTCCAGCAGCAATGAGTTGAAATCACCGGGGCACAGATTATGAACTCAGCTGAAAAGTACATGAAGTACCAGAGAATATGGGCTGATATAAATGATCGCAAACGAATGACTTTGTTTTGGTGGAGCGATTTTGTGAATATAACAGCGGCCGCGCGCAGGACGCAGCTGGAGTATTTGAGCCATCACCGCTGCGTCCTCTCTGCTCGTAGAATGCCCGCAAAGCTGAGTCCATAAATGACGTCATATATGTGCATACTGGATTGTTTTTCAGGCTTCCCGCAATTTGAATTTTTAGGAAACCCACATCTTGATTCTGGATTTAAAAATGCATTGTAATTACCGCGTTACTGACAATTGTACCGAGTAAATATTACCATTTTCTTTCCCTGTAATGCCTTACATTACCACATTACAGCAAAAAGCAATGCATCACAGTAGTTAATTACTTTTGTGCCGCGTTACTCCCAACACTGTCAGTGAAATAATGATTACTTAGACTGACACCACTAAATGTACTTTACAGGGCTCATAAGACGTCACAAAGCCAGTGCAAGTTGGCCCCACTGATAAAAGCTGAAGTCCAGCTGGAGAAACCTGTAGTGGTGAGTTAGCTCGACTTTTTGATCCATCATCTTTACTTCGACACAGTGATGTTGCTGACACTAAGAAATTAGGCAGGATTGGTTGTTGGTCTCGTACAAACAGAAAACATTGTTGTGTCTGATGATTGTTGTGATCAGGTGATGAGCCCCAGTGTAGAGGAGATCCAGGAGGCCATCAATGGGCTCATCTCCTCTGTGTTGGAAGTCAGCAAGGCTATAGTGTGGGAGGAGGAGTACAGCTGGGATGCCATTCAGGGCAGAGGTAATCTTCAAATGAAAATAAGACGCATAATGAATAATAATGTGTGCAGGTTAAGTTAATGACCATTTTTACAGTTCTTATCTCGTTTAAACTTAAAATTCATAAAAGAAGATTAGGCTGAATGAGACATACATTCGTTGTTTGTGGTCTCTAATATGACTGAATGCCTTGTGAGTCTTTTTCTGTGGAAAACCCTGCACACCTGTTTCTCCTGGGATGAGAGGGTGGTTTGCTAGTCACCACAGTGTCCATTGCCACATCCTTGGTTTGGTTGACAGTCACTCATGCAAATGCTTCACTGTACATGCCAAAAGTATCGGTCAGCCATCAATTCTGCCTAGCCCACTCCTTACAACTTCTGCACATGTCCACAGAGCAGTGCGGTTTTCCTCAGCGAAGACAACCGCTGACTAGAACCGGAAACGACAACCGTTACCACCCGCTGAAATACCCTTCAAAATAAAACACTTAACATTACTCTCATATCATTACCTCTTTATTATCTCACAACAAGCAAAGCTGAGAGATAGTTTTTGCTTTTCTGCACTATTTAGACTTTTGAGAGCTTTTAATTAGTTAAATCTGTTAGATAGTGTCTGATATCAGCTACACTGAACCTTCAGTTTTCCTTTTGACAGAATCGTTACTTTGTGCTGCAGCGTGTTGCTGTGCACTCTCATTCTTCCTGGACTTGATCTTGAGAGATTTAACTGAAAACAACTGGGCTTTTCTGGTTGAAGATGTTTGGCCTCTTATCCAAAGCCCGTTTTAGAAAACAATGTCGCCAATTAGCCGCAATGCCGAGCCGGCATCAGGGTGCTTTAGGTCGTTTATAAGTGGTCAGACCGTGGCGGCATAGTGGCGCAATCGTGTCCTTTTTAACAAAAGATTATGCGATGGCGATAAAAAGGGGGGAGGCGGGCGGTCTCTGCGCTGCGGCGGACTTCTGTTTATCTTGGACATAACTTGTTTTTTTATTGCCATCAAGGCAATTACATTTTTTTAACAATCTGCTCCTAAAGGCGTCTGTCTCTCTCAGTCCCTGTGCAGTCTTTGGTGATCTGAGCGAAAAGCAAAACTTATGCCTGTGTTTACTTTCATTGTCATACTGATTCCATCAAGAGCTCGGCAGTTTTTCCCCCACGTGATCAGGACACCTCCCTCTGTTGCACCAAGTTGTAATATTCATTCACAAGTCAGGCGTTGCAGTAATATTACTACCAAGCAGGGCAGCATGTGTGCCGTAAAATTCCCGCCTGACCGTGCCACCGCTGCTCGTTCATAAGACACAGCGTGGCGGCAGTATTACACTGATTCGCCGGCATGGTGTGTCTTCTAAAATGTGCTCAAGAGACTCCTACAGTTCTAACCATGGGGTTGTGAGTAGGTGGTTTAGTTGGGGTCAGAAACAAACACTTTATGTGCTGCAAGTCTTTTTCTGTCTTGAAAAAGTAAAAACATGTTTTTGTCTAAATGAATACAGGCCTTTTAAGGTGATGTTATTCTTCCTTTATCCACAGAAGTTGTAGTCTGTAGCACTCATAACTACACAAAATATTTATGTCCAATCCGTGTGATCAGCTGCAAAAAACCTGATTGCAGCATCCCTACTTGCAAATACTGTTTTGCTCACTCACAGTACAGAAATGCCTTCTTGAAGTCTCTTTCTGCAGTATTTCTCTTACTTGATAGCACCAGCTGACAAGCATATCACACAAATAGTCTCTGGACCCCTTTTTTTAAACTCATTCACTGCCAGCCGTTTCCTGATCTTTAAAGCCCATCGATGCCAGAGTTTCTCACCGTTTTTACTGTTTTTTTAAGAGTCACAGAACGTTGCGCGCTAGGATAATGTCGACACCAAAACAAAACGGAGACTCACCGCTTGCATCAGGAAGAATCCGCGTGTAATCCGCGTAAACATGATAACAGAAGAAAGAGACCGAAAACAAGAGGACAAATACATACAACATGCTTTAAAGACCTGCGGAAACCCAACATGGGCAATAAACAAAGGAAAACAACAAACAACAACAGAAAGAAAAGAACAACCAAAGCAAAGAACCAGAAACCCAGAAAGACAAGAACCAAAACCAGTGATAACGCTACCATACATCAGAGGCATAACAGAAAAAATAAGAGCAACAATGAAAAAACACAACATAAACACACCAACAAAACCATACACAACAGTTAGAAACAGACTAGTACACCCAAAAGTCAAGATACCAGCTGGACATAATTGTGGAGTCATTACGAAATCCCATGCAAACTCTTCAATAAAACAGACATAGGAGAAACCGGACGCCAACTCAACACACGAACACTAGAACATAGAAAGGAGTGCGAGAAAGAGGCAAGTCGAAAACACACAAGAGCAGCAAAACAAGAAGCAGAAAGTACAATAAAGAAGTCAGCCGTAACAGATCACTACACAAGAGAAAACCATGTAACGGACTGGGACAACACAAGGATCATAAACACCGAACAACAGAAATACAAAAGATGGATAAAAGAAGCTATAGAAATGAGGAGACGTGGATGTGGGACCATGAACAGGGACGATGGAGTTTACACTTTGGACCGCGCATGGGACTGCATCGTCGGAGAGGGGAGAGCGGGCAGCAGAGGGCGACAACGTCCTCAGCTGCCCGCGGATAAACGAAGAAGGAAGTGACGCGCCACCATCAGCGTTAACCTGAGGAAGTCTGCAGCCGCAAACAAAACGTAGCGGGAAAACAGGTAACAAAACTGTTCTGTGTTTTAAACAGAACTACAGCATGGAATGAAGACTCACCTGTTCAGGCTGGTTTTAGTTTGACCTTCATCACCCTCTCCTTGTTCTGCCTTTCCCGAGACCCACCGATAACCTCTTTCTTATGTATTTTCTCTTTTCCTTTGCTTATGTTTTGTATCACAATTTTTTTTCTAACTTAATATTTTAATTGTTTTATTTTTTATGATCTTTATTTCTTTATATTTTATTTTTGATCTTGTGAAGTGCCTTGTGATTTTTATCCTATGAGGCTCTATGTAAGATTGTTTCTTCTTGTTCTTCATTCATCACTAAAATATTAATGTGCTAACTTCGTCAACCCTAGTAGTCATAATTTGTTCAGCAAACGTGGTCAGATTTTCTATTGGACTGTTGAATGTATGCACACGATATTCAAATATCTACATCCTGTAAAAATGTCAAAACACACGTTTTAAAAAGAAAAATGATTATTTTCATACAAAAACTGTTTTACAGATGGATTTCTGTGCTGACTGTCCATTTTATTTCTGTGTTGGATGCAGAGAAAGACTATTTCTATCAGCAAGTCATTAATCACAATGACATTCTGAGATTGGTGGACCTTCTAAAATCCACATTTAGCAGCAAGAAGAGTGAAGTCCTGGATGTTCTGAAGCAGTTCTACACTTTCAGTGGACTATGGGAAGATAATAATCTCAAAATTGAGGTCTGTTTCAATTTATAAACATAACATGTTCCATGAGGACTTTTAACTCAGTGAAATGGCTTTTAGAGAAACGTCATTGTTGTCTTACAGGAATTTATGAACAGCAACCCACCCCTGACCCAAATTGAGTCTTTGATCCAACACTACGTCTCATTTGAGCAACAAATCGATGACATTGAGTCTGAGATTGCCTTTGGGCCAGTTAAACTGTCAACAGGTAAAGTAGCTGTGATGTTTCGGGGTTTTACCTCATCTAAAGATTTTGTTCTGATTTCTATCTACATTTTGGCAAATTTAACCTCAGCTAAAGTTGAATCAACTTCCAAACACGAAGGCTTCTTATCAAACACAAATAAAAACCGAATATATCCATGTTGTTTTTTAAGATCCCCATTAGATACTGTTAAAACAGTCACTAGTCTTCCTGAGGTCTAACAATCATTAACTAATTTACATCATGCATTAACACAGAGCAAACACAATATTTACATCAAGCATGCAGAAAAATAAGTTACAAACATACCAAACAAAACCAAAACACAAACAAAAATTTATATATCCATAGCAAATGAAATGTAAAATCATGTATAGTCAACTATAACCAAAAATATGACACCTGTGTAATATTTCTCCCATTACAGTACAGCAATATTTACTATTACTCCCATAGCGTTTGTCACCCAAATACACATTCACTTTCCTGCTGATAGAACAAAAATATACCATCTAATCCTTTTAAACACTAACCCTAACCCACTCGCTGCTGCTCTGGCGTTAAAACTCGTGTGAAAATGGCTGTTACAGAAGGATAAAACAAAAAACATAAACACCATTTTAACTGATGAAATGATAGATGAGACTGGGGTGTTGCTAAAAATTGCAAGCATAGCCTATAAATGAAGAAACAACTTAAACATGTTTCTAGATCCCTAGATCATCCTGACCTGGATAACTAGGAGATGAATAGATAACTAAAGTCTTGTCTTGTGAAAGCAGGTCCTCTACAAAATGCTCTGAAAGCTGAGATGAAAGCCTGGAAAGAACTGATCTGCAGATACCTGCAGCAGACATACAGAAGGAAACTGGTTGACACCAGTATACAGACCAATGAACAGTGGGCACAGCTGTCGCATCCTGTTGCTGATCTGGAAGATTTTCGGCGTTCATCAGACGTTCTGCGTCAGCTCAGAGAGACTGACATAGACACTGAAATAACCCTTATTGCAATTAAGGTATGACTTTAATCTTCTGCTAAATGACTACATGAACACTTGTTCAAAGAATAAAAAAACTATATCATATATATACATATGTATATACTGTATATATACACACACACACACAGGAATACAATCCGACTAATACTGGAATACTGTATTTTACAGGATGCCTATAAAATTCTGACCACATATAAAGCAGATATAGATGAAAATGAACGAGAGGAAGTTGACAATCTGTGGAAACTCTTCACAGATCTTCTGTCCAAGGCTGTTAGTATTATTGCGTTAATCCTTGTAAGTTTTCCAGTACTTTCCTATGCACGAATGACTTACTTATGGATTCATAACTTTCACTTCCTCAGAGGTCAGTGCAAAATGAACTTTATCGTAAGGAGCCGGAGTTAAAAAAAACACTGGTGATGTCTGTTGGTGTTTTTAAAAAGGACATCAACACGTTCATGGACCAGTATGCGCGTGTAAGTAAGCTGTAGATTTCTGTGTTTCTAATAACATCGTCTGTTTAAATGTGCTTACTGGTTTCAATGGTTTTGAATGCTAGGAAGGCCCCTTGGTGGAAGGGGTTGCTCCACAGGTAGCTAGCCAGCGGCTCCAAGTATTTCAGGTAATGGTGTCACATTTAGTTCCCTAGTAAAATTTGACATTTGTGTGTTAATTAAAAGCTGTAGGTGGTCATTTTGCTCTGGTTTTAGGAACATTTAATAGATATAAAGCCTTCACTTGTGTGTTTTAATAGAAAAAACATTTTTGTTCAGGCTAAATTTGAAGACCTGTGGAAAAAGTTCATCACCTACAGGGCTGGGGAGGAGCTTCTGAGGTTGCCCGTTACAGAGTACGACTGTCTGCATCAGAAACAGTTAGTAACACAGCCAAACTATACCTTGGGTACAAATCCCAATAAAACTGTTGTAATATTTAATGTGTTTGATAAAATCATACTATAATAGGTTGATTTTGTTTCTTTTAGAAAAGAGCTAGAACTGCTCCAGAAACTCTATGGCCTGTATGACGCTGTGATGAGCAAAATAAGTGGGTACTACAAGGTCCTGTGGACGCAAGTAGACATTGAAAAGATAAATGGAGAGCTTCAGGAATTTCAGAACAGGTTGAGTATTTAAGTTTTTTTTTACAGCTGAATGTCCCAGACTTCTGTTTATGAACAGGATTGTCTGTGACTGAAGGTGTCGGAAGCTCCCTAAAGCCATGAAGGAGTGGCGAGCCTTTCTTGACCTGAAGAAGACCATTGATGATTTCAATGAGTTATGCCCTCTGCTTGAAATGATGACAAACAAATCTATGAGTCGCAGACACTGGGATCGAATCTCATCCTTAACTCAACACCAGCTTGAAGTGGAGTCCAGTACCTTTACACTGCAGGACATTATGGAAGCACATCCTTTGACCTACAAAGATGATATTGAGGTATTTATTTTATCTGCCAGTTTGCATTAATACAGATTTTTGTCAGTGGGGCCTTAACCCTCCCACTGTCCTAATGGGTGTGACCCCGCGAGGAAAGTTGACAGGGTATCCGCGGGTCCTTAAAAAGTCTTAAAAAGTCTTAAATTTGCTTTTCCAAATTTAAGGCCTTGAAAATCCTTAAAAATGACAAATAATCCTTAAATACAGTTTCCAAAGGTCTTAAATTACCAAAGACCCAATAAGCAAGATTATTTTATTTCTATAAAAATTTTCGTGAATTTCTAGTTAGTGTTCAGCATTTTTTGTGTACGATGTTGCCGTAAGCGGAACCGTACACATTCAGTTGGTTGTGAAAGGGGGCTGTTTTTAGATGAGCACATTAGCTGGTTAAGCTAGTGGGAGCTTGCGCCATGGGGAAGTGCAAGTTTAATGGTAACTGGATGGCTAATCCCACGTTCACGATGTGGTTAGCACCGGTTCCAGGCAATAGCTGGAAAGTATAGCTTAAATTTAATTTAAAAAATAGCTTAAATTTGGTCAAAGTGGCCTTAAAAAGGTCTTAAAAAGTCTTAAATTTGGCTCCCTTAAACCTGCAGATACCCTGGTTGACCATTGAGCAGGGTTGATGGACCTCAAGAGATAAACCATCAACCCTGCTCAAAGGTCAACTTTCCTCGCGGGGTCACACCCATTAGGACAGTGGGAGGGTTAAAGAAATATTTGATGAAACTTTTATGAGTTTTTACCACTTTACTCAGCCTCAGCTGCTTGACTGGGGTTCTCTTGACATGTTCCATTTTGCAGCAGATGTTTTGCACACCACGTGTTATAGCCATTAAAGGAACAATTGAAAACAAATAACCGTCTGATGCAAACATGACAAATTCTGATAGTTTGTAAAAAAGCATTAGCACAAACTAATGGGACATTTTTGAAGTCTGAGCTTTTTGAAGGTTGAAATCTGCTCTGTAAATGTTCCATTACTTTGATTTTGCAAAACTCTCTCCCTGGTTCTCTAAACTGAGAATGTTCGGACACTCGTGTACTGCTGCTAACAAGTCTATTCCATGTAACTCCACTTCAGAAAATCTAAACTTCTTTTATTAATTTAGCAACATTTCCTAATTTTCTTATATTTCTTTGTCTCCATCTTTCTACATTTGCCTGTCTGTATTTAAAGGACATTTGCATATCAGCTGTGAAGGAGAAGGATATCGAGGCCAAGTTGTCACAGGTCAAAGAGCTGTGGTCTGGTCAGACCCTGAGCCTGATGACTTTTAAGAATAGAGGAGAATTGATGCTGAAAGGGGCAGAGACATCCGAGGTTTTTACCAACCTGGAGGATAGTTTGATGGTCCTGGGTTCCTTGCTGACAAACAGGTGGGATACATCTAAATGTAGAACTCTGAGAACAACAACAAAACAAGAAAGTTCTAAAGCAGCTCATGAATGAGAGAAGATTAGCAGTCTGTCAGTTCATTTCAAAAAATGTTTGAAATAACGTTAAATCTATGATCTTTCAAATAACTTGTGTCCTTATCTTTTTACAGGTATAGTACATACTACAAACCAGATCTCCAGGATTGGGTATCCAAACTGTCGAGATCATCTGAGATCATCGAACAGTGGATTATAATTCAAAACCTGTGGATCTACTTGGAAGCTGTATTTGTTGGGGGTGACATTGCCAAAGACCTACCTCAGGTGTCATTTATGTTTTCAGTTCCCCAAATTTGAAAATTAGCTTTTGAGTGCTTCGCTTATATTTTTTCTGCCACAGGAGACAAAACAATTTCAAGATATTGACAAGTCCTGGATCAAGATCATGGAAAGAGCTCAAAAAATCCCGAATGTAGTGGAATGCTGTGCCAGTGATCCATTTCTGGAACACCGGCTGCCAGAACTTCAGAGGCAGTTAGAGCTCTGTCAGAAATCTCTTGCTGGGTAACAGAATTGGTCTGAATAAGTTTAACATCTCTAATAAACAAGATCAGGTTGAAGAAAACGTCTTCTTCCTGCCGGTATTCAGCTGTTTGTTGTGTATTCTGAATTTAACAGTTATCTCGAGAAGAAAAGGCTCCTGTTTCCACGATTCTTCTTTGTGTCTGATCCAGCTCTTTTGGAAATTCTTGGACAAGCCAGTGATTCTCACACCATTCGGGTAAGACGCTGCACATGAATGTCACTTAAAATAACAAGCTATTTCAAAAATATTGACAGATTAATATTTTTCTATTAAAAAGAATGTAAGAAAATGCTTGTTGTGCTGCTTTTTAAAGCCATACTATGCAACCATTTCATATTTTTAAAATCTTTCTTGAGCCAGTTATGTGATGATTAACTCATTCACTGCCAATGACGACTAAAGTCGTCATTTGCATTTTTTTACTGTGTGGGCGTCGGACGAGCCCCCGCGTCACACGTCACATGATCAGGAAGCAGAAAATCCATGTGTTAGATCATTTTGGGGCGTTCCTGTAAAAACAAAAGGTGAGGCGCGAACCGGAAAAGCTTCTGCCGATCACAATTCAACAACGGATTATGAAAGAACGGATAACGCTCGAAACGCGGGGATTCTTCCTGATGTAAGAGGTGAGTCTCCGCTTTGTTTTGGTTGTTTTGGCGTCAACGTCATCCTAGTGCTAGGGATGCACCGATACGATACTGGTATCGGTATCGGTAAAAGTTAACCGATACCAGGAACCGATACCAATGCAGTTGCTTGAAAATGGCTTCACTGTAACTTTTCATTTCTGTTCACCTAATATTTTAGTTTTGTGATGATTTCTATTCATATATATTACTTTTTATCTACCTCACAGTCTTCCTGTTGAAAGCAGAGAAGAAAATGAAATATGTATTCCAAATCATTGCATTTTTTTGTGTGAGAGAGGTATCGGTAATCGGTATCGGTGAATATTCAGATCCAAGTATCGTATCGGTTTGGGAAAAAGTGGTATCGTCGCATCCCTATTTACAGGGTATCTGCGGGTCCTTAAACAGTCTTAAAAGGTCTTAAATCAGCTTTTCCAAATTTAAGGCCTTAAAAATCCTTCAAAATGACAAATAATCCTTAAATACAGTTTCCAGAGGTCTTAAATTACCAAAGACCCAATAAACAAGATTCTTTCATTTCTATAAAATTTTCGTGAATGTCTAGTTTGTGTTCAGCATTTTTTGCATATGACATTGGCGTAAGCGGAACTGTACACATTCAGTTGGTTGTGAAAGGGGGCTATTTTTAGATGAGCACATTAGCTGGTTAAGCTAGTGGGAGCTTGCGCCATGGGGAAGTGCAAGTTTAATGGCAATGGCTAATCCCACGATCACCGCGTGGTTTGCACCGGTTCCAGGCAATAGCTGGAAATTACCACCACCAGTAGTAGGCAAGGTGGGTTAAGTGTCTTGCCCAAGGACACAACAGCAGAATTCTCTGTCCGGAGCCGGGATCGAACCTGCAACCTTCTGATTACTGGACTACCCGCTCAACCTGTTGAGCTACTGCTGTCCTGCTTTAATAGCTTAAATTTGGTCTAAGTGACCTTAAAAAAAGACTTAAAAAGTCTTAAATTTGGCTCCCTTAAACCTGCAGATACCCTGGATTTAGCGCACAACGTTCTGTGACTCTTAAAAAAACAGTAAAAACAGCGAGAAACGCTGGCAGCGAATGAGTTAATTAAATGTCACTCACACCCCCACCGCCCTTGCACTTGCTACTTCAGACTGGCGGGCCGCCTCCTGTTGGACTGTCTTGGTGCTGCAGTCTGCTTCCAGCAGGTTTCCTGCATGTTTTAGATCATGAACACGGCTAATTTCATTTAGTGATGAATCACTCCTGTAGACACTACTGAAGGCTGGGGAGACATTTTAGCAGTTAGATAAGGTGTTATAAAGGCGAACTCACATCGAGGAGGTAAGTTTAATCATCAGTTTAACCGCAGATGATTAATAATGGACATTAGGGGGTGCTAAAAGCAAGCTAAACTGCCAAGTCTGCCTTTTAATGTTTTTTAAAACCACTATTTTTGGTCCTGTTTTTCAGTCACATCTTCTCAAAGTGTTTGACAATGTCAACGATGTGGAGTTCGATCCAGCAGACTATGATAAGATTTTGTCTGTTATCTCACAAGAAGGGGAACAATTACTGGTATGTAAAGAACAACATGCGGTAATGTGCAATTTGATCTGCAAAGTTATAGAGCAACATTTGGTTTTTACAGAAATAAATGTGATGAAAAACTATGCAGCAGCTCTAAATGAAAAATGAAAACAAATGGTAATCTCACATTTAAATATAGCAGTGGCTGCATCCATTCTTCTGTTAATAAAGTCTTAACAAGCGGTTGTGAGGAAGACATTGATAAATTAATTACTTTACAATTATAAACTGAGTCAAAATATTTAATCTAACAAATTTGTGTCTGGTTTCAGCTGAACCAACCTGTCATGGCACAGGGACCAGTGGAGCACTGGCTTGGGCAGCTGTTGGTGGAACAACAGGCCTCGTTGCACTCGGTCGTCTCAGCCTGCCATGGGTTCATCAACAGTGAAGAGTTTAAACTTCTTTCTTTCCTCAAAACGTATCAAGCACAGGTCAGAATATTTACCAGGCTCATTTAAAATGCCCCGGCACCCTTATAAGCATCTTATTAATAACAGTTGAACTAAGATTATAAGGTTCTTCACAGATAAACTCTTATTCCACTTCTGTAATAAGGAATGTCATTCCTCCTTCTGAAGCTTGTGAGACCTAAAGAAGTCACTTGGTGGTAAAATCGTTTTACACCCAAAGTTTCACATAAAGGATAAACATGCTGGTGGGTTTCAGGTAGAGGTTTGAATTCAGAACTTTGTTTTTTGTTTGTTTGTTTTTAACAAACCTCTGGATTAAAATGTTCCGTGCAAAATGGTGGAGTTTGATCTTTTATCTCAATTTGGCCTTTTTTATCACAGCTTTCTTCAGCTGTGGTCTTTTCTCTAACTTTCTCAACAGCCTGTAGGAAGGCTACTGTTATTACCACTGAAGTGTTGGGAGATGAAGTTTGGTGTTTTAATGTGTTCTTGACTGAAAAACCATTTCTTAAATGTTTTTTCTGATTATATTGAGTCACTGATATTTTCCTGCAGTCTGAACATGAAAATAGTCTCCTACACCTATCTCCTGCAGTAGCTTCTGATAGAAAACTGACGGTGAAACTCTAGGATTAGAAAATCCTGACAGATCTACGTCACACTGTCACTAACATTCATGGACTCACCCATCTGGGCTCACGATGGTGAAGACAGTTTTAAATTCCGGTAATCAGCCGTGCAAAGACTTAGTTTGGAGGTCCGACAGACGTGGTCTAAACCAACGGACTCGATATAGACATGATCTGCACGTCCATGCGATGTTGACTGTTTGCAGGGAGTGGTTGTCTTAAGCATTATCAACTTCACTGCACGGTAGAATTCATCCAGACTTGTGGTGTTCGTGGAGATAAAAGGTCCATGTTGCAAGTCAGTGGTAGAGTTGTGTTGCTGTTACCCGATCTGGGGTCTAGGTGTCCAAATATCAGGAAATAAGATGTCCTCTGAAGCTCAGCTGTGATGTCGCAGACTTGGTCTGCTGAGACAGGTTTGTGCGCTTTTTCGTGCCCTGAGTTCTGCCTGCAAGGCATTCATTCCTTCTAGGGCACACTGTGACTAAAGTCTGTGCTGCAAGTCACAAGACTCCTGCAGAAGATGGGACTTCTAACCTTAATAAAAGAATCATATTCTATTTTACAAGGCTTGTTTTTCTCACTTTACAGATTAATTACAGTCATAGAACAATTAACGTTTCATCTAAAGTGGATTTAATAAGACCGTTATTGTCCTATGATCGTAATAATCATAAAATTCCCATCTTCTGAAGGATTCTTGTGATTTGCAGCACACGATAAGGAAGCCGAAGTGCTACTTTGTTATGATGGTTCCCCAGATGGTGAGGTCATAAACAGAGCATGTGTTCTGGTCTGGAAACCAGACAGTTGACCTTTAGCACACAGATGAAGATGGCTGGGCAGTGAAATGACCTTTGCATTCTGTGGCTTTCTTATGCTACAATTATGTTTTTGTTTACATTAGGTGGGTTTGCTTGGAATCCAGATGCTTTGGACACGAGATGCAGAAGATGCCTTGCATAATGCGAAAACTCAAAAAGAAGCTATGCCTCATGCCCAAAAGAGGTTTCTCAATCAACTCGATGTGCTTGTCAGTCAAACCACCCATGACCTCAGCAAGTTTGACAGAGTCAAATATGAGACTCTTGTCACAATTCACGTGCACCAGACTGACATTTTTAATGACCTTGTAAGTTCTTCGAATCATTTTACTAACTTGAGGTCATTTAGTAATGTTTTCTTTAGCATTTGTTTGTAATTGTCACTTTATCACTTAAAATTGTGTATTTTCTGTTGGCCAAGGTAAAGAAGAGCATAACAAGTGTTGACGACTTTGAATGGCTGAAGCAGAGCAGATTCTATTACAAGGAGATTCAGGACGACGTCACTGTGTCCATTACCAATGTTGACTTTGTTTATCAGAATGAGTTCCTGGGCTGTACTGATCGTCTGGTCATCACGCCTCTGACTGACAGGCAAGTCAGGTGGAACCTTACTCTGATTAGATGCTTTAATAAAGTTCTGCTGCTTTCAGAAACCGCTTTTAATTTGCCTAGGTGTTATATCACACTGGCCCAGGCTCTGGGCATGAACATGGGAGGAGCTCCAGCTGGCCCAGCTGGCACCGGTAAGACCGAAACCACCAAGGACATGGGTCGCTGTCTTGGCAAGTTTGTTGTCGTTTTCAACTGTTCTGATCAGATGGACTTCAGAGGACTTGGCAGGATATTTAAAGGTATTTTTGGTTAAAAAATAATTCATCAAGCAGTGGGTTAGATTTTTATTTCGATTACCGTATTTTCCGGAGTATAAGTCGCACCAGGCATAAAATGTATAATGGAGAAGAAAAAAACACATATAAGTCGCATTTTGGGAGGAAATTTTATTATTTTTCTTGCAAAATCTGAGACCAAGCATTTCACATTGTAAGACAAGTGCCGGTAACAATAACAGAATAAACAACCAGGGCGCAGCAGCGCGCCACGGTCTCCAGCAGATGATGGCGGTGTTTCAAACCCTCCCAGCGGGCGGGGAGAGCTCATTTCTGGGCCGGAGCCGGCCCGCAGCAGCACGCCACAGGCTCCAGCAGGTGGTGGCGGGGCAGAGGAGCTGAAACCTGGACCGGAACCGGCCCGCAGCAGCACGCCACAGGACCAGCCGGACTATGAAAAAAAAAGTGTGACTTATAGTCTGGAAAATACGGTATATCATTATAAATATATTTGTGTTTTATTTATTTATTTATTTCTGCAGGCCTTGCACAGTCCGGGTCCTGGGGCTGCTTTGATGAGTTCAACAGGATTGACTTGCCTGTGCTCTCGGTTGCTGCACAACAGATTTCTATCGTTCTGACTGCACGCAAATGTTTGCATCAAACTTTTGTTTTCACTGATGGAGACTGTGTGAATTTGAACCCAGAGTTTGGGCTGTTCATCACTATGGTAAGACGAGCCTAACATGGCATAAAAACTAACTGAATACAGTGTTTACAAAAGCATTGTGTCCCCCTGTCTAGAACCCTGGGTATGCAGGTCGTCAGGAACTTCCTGAAAACTTAAAGGTGCAATTCAGGACAGTGTCGATGATGGTACCAGACCGTCAAGTGAGTCGAGGGTAGAAAGGAATCATCTTCATGTTGCTTTAAGTTTTCTAATCTATTTACTTTTTTCTCTTACCATTGACAGATCATCATGAGGGTAAAACTAGCCAGTTGTGGGTTCCATGACAGTGTCATGCTGGCCCAGAAATTTTTCGTGCTTTACAAACTGTGTGAAGAACAACTCACAAAACAGGTGGGATGCTTGTAACACTGTTTGTGTGGCTGTCGGCACGCTAAAGCACGACTCCTGTCGTTTGTCAGGTCCACTATGACTTTGGACTGAGGAATATCCTCTCTGTGTTGAGAACTCTTGGAACCTGTAAAAGAGCTCGACCTACTGACACCGAGTCTAGCATTGTCATGCGAGTACTGCGTGACATGAATCTGTCCAAGCTGGTATGGAAAAAATTCTGTTGAGACTGAAAGTTGTGATGTATAACTGACACGTGTTGCAGATGCTGAGTGCATACAACGTGCACTAATGTGTACATGAACCTTTCTGTGTTTTCCAGGTGGACGAGGACGAGCCCCTGTTCCTTCGACTTATCAGTGACCTGTTCCCTGGGATCCAGTTGGACAAAAACACATACAATGAACTCCAAACTGCTGTTTCCCATCAAGTGGAACTAGCCGGTCTTGTCAACCACCCACCATGGAACCTCAAGCTCATTCAGGTAGTGCATCACCTGTTTTCATTTAGCACTTATAATGTTACGGTTTGCAAAAGCTTTTTCTGTTGTTGTGACCGTTAGCTTTATGAGACTTCCCAAGTCCGCCATGGATTGATGACTTTGGGCCCAAGTGGAGCAGGGAAAACCACAGCGATCAACATTCTGATGCAGTCCATGACGGAATGTGGAACCCCTCACAAAGAGATGCGTATGAACCCCAAAGCAATTACTGCTGCTCAGATGTTTGGCCGTCTGGATGCAGCCACCAATGATTGGACAGATGGTATATTTTCAACACTCTGGAGGAAGTCACTCAAAGCCAAAAAAGGTTTGTGACCACGTTTTGCAAATTAATGTGAAACTGTCATTAAAATGGCAAATTTATAATTAACTCATTCGCTGCCAGCGTTTCCTGATCAGTAAAGCCCTTCGCTGCCGACAATTGTTGCCGTTTTTACTGTTATTTTAAGAGCGACAGAACGTTGCGTGCTAGGATGATGTCGACGCCAAAACAACAAAACAAAGAGGAGACTCACCTCTTACATCAGGAAGAATCTGCACGTTTCGAGCGTTATCCGTTCTTTCATAATCCGTTGTTGAATTGTGATCGGCAGAAGCTTTTCCGGTTCGCGCCTCACTTTTTTTTACAGCAGCGGCCCAAAACGATCTCCTAACACATGGATGTTCTGCTTCCTGATCATGTGACGTGTGACGTATGCGGATGAAGATCGGCTTTAGAGCTGAGATGTTTGTTCTCACGGTGCGGGGGCTCGTCCGACGCCCACGCAGTAAAACATGCACATGACGACTTTAGTCGTCATTGGCAGTGAATGAGTTAAAACCATGCTATAGGTGTACATCACAATGCATCACAGTGAGGAACATAAGTATTTGAACACCCTGTGATTTAGCAAGTTCTCCCACTCAGAAATCATGGAGGGGTCGGAAATAGCTGCATTCCTGCTGAGACCAAAAAAAAAAAATCCTTTTTCTTGAATTTAATGAAACTTTAATGTGGTTTTACTCAATAGTGGAGGCAAGATGGCGCCAGCTTGTTGGGCAGCTCATCTGTCGCTCTCGCGGTTGTTATGGTTTTTCTTGTTACTGGGATGTTTTTTCTACAATATTAGCTCACTTCTTGTGTATAGCCGTGGGGCCCTGCTGCAGCTCCGACAACCGGCTAATTATTTGTCACAGCCTTATGATAATGGACAAGACACATCTGTGCTACTCTCGGGAGTCCCCGGATTCTTACCCCGACTGCCAAATCTACCTAAGTGGAGGAAGCGTCTGAGAAGGGGTAAACGGGCTGGACGGCTGGCTGTGCTCGGCATCCTCGCCTCTCATCTCCACCAGTGTATGAATGTGTGTGTGAATGGGTGAATGATACACTGTAGTGTAAAGCACTTTGGAGTCCTTACTCTGAGAGGCGCTATACAAGTGCAGGTCATTTATCATTTATGACATTCCCATCTAGTGGACAACTTGTTTCAGCGCATTCCTGTAGATATCGTCCATTTATCGTTATCAAGGCGAAGCCCTCAATATATCGTGATATTGATTTGAAGCCATTTGCCCGGCCCTAGATGGAGCTGAAACTCTGTGTTGCTCAGCGGGCCAAAATCCCTGCTGCAGTGAAGCAAACCTGGTCAAGAACTGCAGGGAACCTTTGACCTCTGTACCTGCAAACAAAAACTTCTGTACCAAATATTAACACTGATTCTCTCAGGAGTTACCTATGTGCAGCAGTGAAATACAAATACATGTTTTAAAAATCATACCGTATGATTTCCTGATTTTTAAATGCTGTCTCTCACAGTGCAGCTACAATGTGACCTTGGTTATTTTGTAGAAGTTCAAAACAAATCACAGGGTGTACAAATACTTGTGTTCCTCACTGGATATTCCTGTACAACTTTCTACATAGTAAGTCAACATACTTTTTTTACATGCAACTGTGGATGAACTGAACTTGGTTTTTAGAACCCTCTGTCCACATTAGGGCTGAACGATCTATCGTTTTTGGACCGAAATTGCGATTTCAAACTGCACGATCACGTGACAGTCAAAGCTGCGTTTTTTTGAGTTTTTGACTGATCCAGGATCAGTTGTGTAACTTTTTTTTTTTTTTTTTTTTTTTTTTTTTTTTACATCTGAGGTTTTCCCCGTGTTAAGGCGGCAAAAGCCAGCACGGGGAAGGTGGGGTGGGGTGTACCATCCAGAGCCAAGCCCAACTCCACAGCTGACAGAACGGCATGTCCAGGGTATTCCCCCTGTTATGTTTCCACCAAGCCCCCACAATGCGGGTGAAAAATTGAAGCAAACCGGGAAATGAAATAAATTGCAGTTCCACCCTCATCCACTAGGGGCTGGTGTCAGAAACGAGCAAATCCTCATTGACTCCCATGTTAAAAACACCAATTTCACAGCAGAAATAAACATGTTTACAGCCTGGTACCAAAACATGTTTTTGGTTTAAATGATCTAGTTTACACTCATGACAACTCTGAGGGGGTGAATTTTTTCCTCACTCTTCTGTTTAAGTGTATTAAAAGCCTAAAATTCTGTATAATTAATGAGCATCAGACCCACGTGACCACAGAGCTAGCTCCGTGGAAAGGCCTCAGTAGAGCCTCGGCCTGGCCTGGAAACTGCTCCGGCATTTTGAGTGTCTGTGTTTGTGTATTCTGTTTTGGATATTATTTGTGCAATTGTTGGACAAAATGACTTGCTGTGGCATTAATTGCACTAATAGAGCGTCCAAGGAGTCTCCACTTCATTTTTTTCTGTAAGTAAAATTATATTTATGTATTTTAGGTCACTGCCGAGCTGAGCTTAGATTTTAACATGTACTGTTTAACCATGACATTTAAATGTAATAGGGTAAAACCAAGTGCATTTAACATAATGCTGCACTTTAGAAAATGGGTTGAAATATAACATGTTGGTGGAGCTGGGTTCCCACTATCGGCTTGTGGAGCTCTCGGGAGACCTCTGTTTTCCACCCGTTCTCCCCTCCCCGCAGGTCGGCGCATCTCTGTCTGATCGCGGCTTCCGTCTGCTGCGCTGGCTGCTGCTTATGGAGCTCTGGGATGGAAACCTTTCCACCCGGTTCTCCCCAGCGGCAGCTCTGCGCATCTCAGATCGCAGCGGCGCTTGTCTGCTGTGCGGTTGCCGGCTTGTGGAGCTCTCGGGAGACCTCTGTGTTCCACCCGGTTTTACCCAGCGGTTAGCCCGGCGTGTCTCTGACTCAGAAGCTCTGGTGTTGTGCACAGTTAACTCCGGTTGTAGCTAGGTTGCTACCTCTGTTAGCTTAGCTCCCACCTCCGCTTTAGCTTTGGGTTAGCTTCAGGTTAGCTTGTAGCTAGTTCGACCGGGTGTCGTCAGCTGATCTCAGCCTTACAGCCACACCCTCAGCTCCACCTCTTTTCCCTTTTGTGGAAATGTCTGGGCTTGACGGAACCTGTGACACGGTCAAAATGGCGGTGGCGGCCACCTCCCATTTGGCCTCAAAAACGTGTTATTGGAGGCTATGGAAACCCATTGTCCAATATTTATATGTCGATGGTTTCCACACACAGCGCTACTAGAGCCGATAATAATGGCACCGTAGGTGAGCCCAGGACAGAGAGAGAACGTAGTTAAGTAGGGGAGCGAGAGACTCCTCCCACATCAGCAGGCTCAGGCTGACTTCTAAAGATGGTTTATGCTTCATCAGCGCGAGTGCGGAGTCGCGTACTTTAGTTGACTTGAAAGCTCAACTTCTCTTTTAAAAATGGCTTGAATGTTTCTGATGGAACACGTTAATTCAGACAAGCTAAGGTGTCAGAATGCGTGCGTCTCTCTCAGAGCTGACGTTTTAGTGAGGAAAAACTATCAAGACGGCTTCAGCCTGCCGCGGGAATGCAGGAAAACTGTGCATTTTGTTATTTAATACATTTAAAAGCTGTTTCTACCTACAGATTTCCTCCATGCATTTTTGGAGTAGAACATGTTTTTATAAAGCTGCTCTCTAGATAAAAATCACAAGCTGCTTCACAAACACATAAAAAAATAAACAAAAAGATAATAATGGGAGAAAATGTGAATAGCTTTAACTGTTTTTATTGTATGATTAAATAGTGAATGTTAATGTGAATGATTTGTTGTACTAGATTAGAATCTAGACCATCTTTTCACTTCATCTACAGGATGGCTTGGCTGGCTGGTGATGGACCTTCGTTTGCAGAAAATCGTGAATTGAACCGAAATCACAATTTCTGCTAGAAAAATTGCAATTCAATCTTTTCCTAAAATCGTTCAGCCCTACTACACATTTAGATTCAGATGTAGCTTTTAAATAATGCATGCTCACAATCACCATGTGATACATTTCACTAAAGACAGAAAAACTGAAATGCTAATAAATTGCTTCAGGAGACTCCATATGGATCGTGCTGGATGGTCCGGTAGATGCCATTTGGATCGAGAACCTCAACTCGGTGCTGGATGACAACAAAACATTGACCCTAGCTAATGGTGACCGCATCACCATGTCACCATCCTGCAAGTTGGTGTTTGAGGTGCACAACATGGAAAATGCCTCTCCTGCTACTGTGTCTCGTGTGGGTATGGTCTATATGAGCTCCTCTGTTCTCAGCTGGAGACCCATACTCCAGGTACGGTTACTCTGCTGAATCAAAGACCTTTTCATTCAAATCAGCTTTAATCATGACAATTAAGTGCTTATACAGGATATTTGTCTTTGTTTTGGAGGGTTGGGTTAAAAAGCGAAAAGAAGCAGACATCATTTTAGGATTATTTGACAAGACATTTGAGGATTTTTACTTGTATGTGAAGCAAACCCTTAAACCCAAAATGGAGTTTTTGGAGTGTAACTATATTATGCAGGTATGTATTCAGAACGCTCCTGAAAATAAATGATAAAAATGACAAATACTGATAGATTTTTGTCTGATTGTTTTGTACAGTCTGTGAATCTGCTGTACGGCCTCCTCCCAACCAAGGAGATGGAGGACTTTGCTGAGAGCAAGCTCCTCGAGCGTCTCTTCGTCTTTTGTTTGATGTGGAGCCTGGGAGCTCTTTTGGAACTGGAAGATAGAGACAAACTGGAGGCATACATAAGAGGTCATGAGAGCAACGTTGATTTGCCACAAACAAAGCCTGGAGAGACCATGTTTGAGTACATGGTGGATGAAAACGGTAACGTAATGTAATAGATCTGTGTGGGGTGTTTTTCACTGTGGTGGTATTGTTACATCTATTCTTCCTGTCATGTAAAACAGAACACATGCTCTCCCTATTCTAAACATCGTTTGGTGTTGCTTTGAGTTTAGCATTGACTGACTCTTCTCAGGGACAAGAGGCTGCAGTGGCCAACGTGTTGTACGGTTTGTTCTCAAGTGTCAGTGTTGAAAAACTCTATAGAAACTTTTAACTCATTCGCTGCCAGCGTTTCTCGCCATTTTTACTGTTTTTTAAGAGTCACAGAACGTTGCGAGCTAGGATGATGTCGACGCCAAAACAAAGCGGAGACTCGCCTCTTACATCAGGAAGAATCTGCGCGTTTCGAGCGTTATCCATTCTTTCATAATCCGTTGTTGAATTGTGATCAGAAAAAGCTTTTCCAGTTCACACCTCACTTTTTTTACAGCAGCGGCCAAAAACGATCTCCTAACACATGGATGTTCTGCTTCCTGATCACGTGACGTACGCGGATGAAGATCGGCTTTAGAGCTGAGATGTTTGTTCTCACGGTGCGGGGGCTCGTCCGACACCCACACAGTAAAAAAATGCAAATGACGACTTTAGTCGCCAATAGCAGTGAATGAGTTAAAGAGCAAGTCACCCCCTACCAGAGTCTAACTCCACTCCCACTTCATGTTTGAAAAATGCAACACATGCTGTTGCCTGGCAGACCGAGTCGGCGGAGCCGCTAACAAATACACACACACAGGCTCACGACAGCATTGTGACATCATAATGTACCAGTTTACATCATAGCATACCTCTTAGCCAATAGAGATGGCAGATTTAAATTCAAATGCAGTGCAGAATTTTTACCTGACAACGGCACAACAGCAATATTTAAATTTTAACTAAGATGCACTGAAGTGCCAAATTATTGACGACACGTGTCTGCAGCATGATTAGACACTCGTTTATTTAGTTCATCAGCAAAAAAAGTTGATTTGGGGGTGACTTGCTCTTCAACGTAAACTATGGACAAAGATTTGTCTCACTATGTTAAAATGTTGGCAGGCATGCTCTTTTTGGCTCGTGTAATGATTTGTTATGTGGAGCAGAAGACTATCGACCATTTGCGTGTGACATGGTGGTTTTTTTCCTCCTGAATGAGTGATGGACTGGGTCTCTGTCCAGGGTGTACCCTGCCTGATTGCCCTTTGACCGCTGGAGATAGGCAACAGCCCCCCCCCCCCCCCCCCCCCCCCCGGACAAGCAGGTTCAGAAAATGGATGGATGGGTGGATGAACTTCAGCCATTCTCCCCGTTTTTCCCTGTGTGTGGTTCGATGACGCACATTTGTAGTCCTGGACTTATTTTCACACAGAACCTAAAATAACATTGTTGCCCCCCCCCCAAAAAATAAGTGCTTTCTTGGTATGAAAATGTGTCTTTAAAATTCAGGGGCATCATATGTGAAATCCAAGGCACAAAACAAGTGAAATTAGAAAATTGTGTTTTTAGCACCGTTGACTTGCGTTCATTTTTTGTTCTTCCGGGGACCCGTTGTCCGGAAGTAGATGGGCGGGACTTAGGCTCCCTATACCTTATTTTACCTAATTTATTCTTTAATCAATTTAAAAATCAGAAAATTCCTTTCATTGTTTTTGCTTATAAAATAAAAATTAATGTACTGAAAATAAACGGTCACAGATCATTTATTTGAGGTCCAACACAAAATATTTAATTGTTTGAATATGAAAACTGGCACCAACTCCTATGCACTAACCCTGTCACAGCAGCGTCATATTTCAGTGTAAGCATGACTACTTCTGTTGTAGGTGAATGGTGTCACTGGAACAGTCATGTTGGAGAGTATGTTTACCCAACTGACCACATACCTGACTACACATCCATTCTCGTGCCAAATGTGGATAACACAAGGACCGCTTTCTTACTGGAAACAATTGCCAAACAACACAAGGTGACTGAGTACTTTTTAACCGAAAGACTTTGATTGTGTGTGACTTTTTTGTCATGGTTGTAAATAAAACATTTTCCATATGAAGGCTGTACTGCTTATTGGTGAACAAGGAACAGCAAAGACAGTGATGATCAAAAGCTACACAAAGAAATACGATCCTGAAACAGACCTGTTCAAGTCTCTAAATTTCTCATCTGCCACAGAACCCATGATGTTCCAGGTAAGCCGGGGTTTCCAGGGTATCCGCGGGTCCTTAAAAAGTCTTAAATTTGCTTTTCCAAATTTAAGGCCTTGAAAATCCTTAAAAATGACAAATAATCCTTAAATCCAGTTTCCAAAGGTCTTAAATTACCAAAGACCCAATAAACAAGATTATTTTATTTCTATTAAAATGTTCGTGAATTTCTAGTTAGTGTTCAGCATTTTTTGTGTACGATGCTGGCGTAAGCGGAACCGTACACGTTCAATTGGTTGTGAAAGGGGGCTGTTTTTAGATGAGCACATTAGCTGGTTAAGCTAGTGGGAGCTTGCGCCATGGGGAAGTGCAAGTTTAATGGTAACTGGATGGCTAATCCCACGATCGCGACGTGGTTAGCACCGGCCCCAGGCAATAGCTGGAAATTATAGCTTAAATTTAATTATAAAAATAGCTTAAATTTGGTCAAAGTGGCCTTAATAAAGGTCTTAAAAAGTCTTAAATTTGGCTCCCTTAAACCTGCAGATACCCTGGGGTTTCCTTTTTTAACTCTTTAATTTGCATATTTGATTATCAATGCAACACTTTTTTGTCTCTGCACAGCGATCTGTGGAAAGCTACACTGAGAAAAGACTTGGCAGCATCTATGGACCACCAGGGGGACGCAGGATGACCATCTTCATTGACGACATAAACATGCCTCTTGTCAACGAATGGGGAGATCAGGTTTTTATATTAGTTTAAAAATACTTTGTGTGTTGCATATTTTGATGGAATTCATTTTATGTGATCATTCAAATAAGATCACCAATGAGATCGTTCGCCAAATGATGGAAATGAAGGGCATGTACAGTCTGGACAAACCAGGAGATTTCCTAACGATTCAAGATGTGCAGATACTGGCTGCCATGATTCACCCTGGTGGTGGGAGAAACGACATTCCCCAACGACTAAAGAGACAGTTCACTGTTTTCAACTGCACCCTGCCATCCAACGCTTCCATCGACAAGATCTTTGGTATTTCACTTTGAAGTTATTTCATCCTTTGCTGATGATGCTTTTTTAGACAGTTGACCTAATTGTGTCCTCTTCTTCAGGTGTAATTGGCAATGGGTATTTCCACAAATGCAGGAAATTTGAGCCACAGATTACGGCGATGATTACATCTCTTGTGTCTGCTAGCAGAATATTATGGCAATGGACAAAGGTCGTTACTTAGAATATAATCTGAAATTATTACAAAATCAGAATTTGTTACTGAAGATGTTATCCTTTTTGGTAATGACTCGTTTCAGGCAAAAATGCTTCCCACACCGTCAAAGTTCCACTACATCTTCAATTTGAGGGATTTGTCGAGGATCTGGCAAGGAATGTTAAAGATAAAGGCAGAAGAATGTGGAGACATTCTGACTCTGCTGGCTCTGTTCAAGTCTGAATGCAGCAGGGTGATAGCAGACAGGTACCGTCTTCATTATGCCCGCCTTTTGCTGTCAAAGGTAGCAGAATCTTTGATGTTGTTGCTGCAGGTTTGTTTGCCCTGAGGACAGAGAGTGGTTTACGAAGGCTGTATCTCGTGTGATCCAAGATCATGTTGACCCACAACATGTCCAAGCTCTTCATCCTGAGCCGTTTTTCGTAGACTTTCTTCGAGATGCGCCCGAGCCAACTGGAGAGGAAAAAGACGATGCCGTGTTTGACGTTCCTAGAATTTTTGAACTGGTATAAACTAGTAGAACAGAATCTGGTGCTATAGAACAGACTTATTGTTGTCATTCGATGTCGGAAACCCACTGTATTTAGTTTTGACTAATAATCTTCCAGTTGCCAAATTTTGATGTCTTGCTGGCAAAACTGCAAATGTATCAGACTCAGCACAATGAGATCTCAAGAGGCTCCAGGTTGGATCTGGTGTTCTTCAAAGACGCAATGACTCATCTCATCAAGGTCAGATTTCAACTGGTGCACAGGTTAAAGAGCAAGTCACCCCCTACCAGAGTCTTATTCAACTCCCACTTCAGGTTTTAAAAAAATGTAACAAATGCTGTTGCCTAGCAGACCGAGAGGGCGGAGCCGCCAACAACCACACACACACACACACAGGGTCACAACAACATTGTGACATCATATGGTACCAGCTAACATTCTAGGGTACCTAGCCAATAGTGATGGCTGATTTAAATTCAAATGCAGTGCAGAGTTTTTACCTGAAGAGGGCACAACACTGACAGTTTTAGGCAGAATATACAACTTTGAACTAAAATGCACTAAAGTGCCAAGTTATTGACTAGACTTGTGCAGCACGATTAGACACTCATTTATGTAGTTTATCAGCAAAAAAGGTTAATTTGGGGGTGACTTGCTCTTTAACGTTCTGTAGTTATAAGCTTTAGATTATACTGATGAGTTTGGCATTCGCCTTTTTATAGGTGTTACGAATCCTTCGCACTGACAATGGAAATGCCCTACTTGTGGGAGTGGGAGGATCAGGGAAACGGAGTCTAACTCGCCTGGCCTCGTTCATAGCTGGATACAAAATCTTCCAGATCACACTGACCAGGTACAAATAGTAGCATAAACTAGGTTGCTCACAGTGAAATAAAAACAGTGGTTTTATTCTGTGAATGTGTTGTTTTTACATTTTGAGGACGCTACCTCCTTTGAGAGATCGGAGACCTTATAGTTGGTCACTGTGAGGATCTGGGACATGTCTTTCCCTAAGGGGCACTTTGCTGTGTATTGTTTGCATTTAATCCCATTTGGTTTAATGAATTAACACCGACAGTTGAATGGTTGGCCCCTTGTGTTTGATTTTGTTAATCAGATCATACAACATGAATAATTTCATGGATGATCTCAAAGTGCTGTATAAGGTCGCTGGAGCTGAGGGCAGAAGCATCACCTTCATATTTACAGACAATGACATCAAGGACGAGGCCTTCTTGGAATACCTCAACAATGTCCTATCATCTGGAGAGGTGAGAACCCCCGTTGTTCATAATCTACAGAAAAAGTAGAAAGCTTTGTTTTTGTCTGGTTCCTAACTCGATGTTATTTTTTTCTGAATCAACTGCAGGTCTCCAATCTTTTTGCTAAAGATGAGATGCAGGATATCACCCAGAGCCTGATTTCAGTTATGAAAAAAGAGCTTCCTCGTGTTCCACCAACCTTTGACAACCTTTATGAGTACTTTATATCCCGGGCAAAGAAGAATCTGCATGTCGTGCTTTGCTTCTCACCGGTGGGTTAAAACTGCGTACATTTGGTTCCTGAAGCAACGAAGTGCAGTGCTGTGCAAAAGGAGGCGGGTGTGATAAAATGGTGTTACTCATTTTTTCATCAGGCAACAAAAAGCAGTGAATGAACAAAAGAGAAATCTAAATCAAATCAATACTTGGTGCGACCACCTTTTACTTTCAGTACGGCATCAGCTCACCTAGCTACATTTCCACACAGGTGTTGAAGGCGCTGGGCTGGTAGGTTGTTCCAAACATCTAGGAGAACTAACCGCAGATCTTCTGTGGATGTGGGCATCCTCACATCCTTCTGTCTCATCATGTAATCCTGGACGCACTCCCTGATGTTGGGATCAGGGCCCTCTGGGAGCCGGACCATCACTTCCAGGACTTCTTGTTCTTCTTTACTCTGAAGATGGTTCTGAATGACTTTGGCTGGATGTTCTTTTTAGTTTGGAAACCATTATTTTTCTTTTCTTTTCTTTTTTACTCTCTGCATTTGTCAGATTTTCCTAAAAGGTTTTCACAGTTCTATATATATACTTCAAAATTCCCATCTATCCCTCCGCAGGTGGTCTCATCCTTCCAAGCTCAGGTCCTCTACCAAAGATCTGGGAGCTTGAGGGTTCTGCAGTATCTCAGCTGTTCCTAGAACTGCACTTGTCTGGACTGGGATGTCTGATGTTTTTCCTGGGGTCTGCTTTAGCCACTCCTCCAGTCTGGGGGTTACTGCCCCGAGTGCCCCTATGACCACGGGCACCACCGATGTCTTCACTCTCCAGGCTTTCTCAAGTTCTTCTGTGAGGCCCTGGTACCTCTCTAGTTTCTCGTGTTCCTTTTTCCTGATGTTGCATCACTTGGTATCGCCACATCAACCACAACGACTGTCCTCTGTTGTCTGTCCACCACCACAATGTCCGGTTGGTTCTCCATCACCATTTTGTCACTCTGGATCTGGAAGTCCCACAGGAGCTTGGCTCTCTCGTTCTTAACCACCTTAATGGGTGTTACCCACTTTGACCTTGGGGCTTCCAGTCCATACTCTGCACAGATGTTCCTGTACACGATGCCAGCCTCTTGGTTGTGGCGTTCCATGTTTGCTTTCCCTGCCAGCATCTGACACCCTGCAGTTATGTGGTGGATTGTCTCAGGGGGCTCTTTGCATAGCCTACACCTTGGGTCTTGTCTGGTGTGGTAGATCTTGTGCTCTGGTGTTCAGGGCCTGTTCCTGTGCAGCCATGATGAGAGCCTCTGTGCTGTTCTTCAGACCAGCTCTTTCTAGCCATTGGTAGGATTTCTTTATCAGCCACTTCACTTGTCTGTCTGTGGTACATCCCATGTAGGGGTTTGTTCTCCTACAATGGTATCTCCAGCGTCTCCTCCTCTGTTCGCCATTGTGTGAGACATTCAATGAGCACGTCATCTGTTGGGGCCTTGTCCTTGATGTAATTATGGATCTTGGATGTTTCATCTTGGATAGTGGCTCTCGCACTCCTCTTTCCTTACAGCTTGTGTACTTGGACTTGGGATGGAACCCTCCATGCATGGTTAAGAGCTTCCGTATCTTAACATCTTTGATCTGTATTTCTTCCTTTGGCCAGCTTATTATTCCTGCAGGATATCTGATTACTAACAGGTCGTAGCTGTTTTATCACCCAGATCTTGTTCTTGCCATTGAGCCGACTTCTTAGGACTTGCGTTACTCGTTTATCATCGAGGTTGCCATTTGCTTGTGGGAAATCAAGGTACTTGTAGCTGACCTCAATGTCTGCTATTGTTCATGCTGGTGGTGAGACTACTTCTGTGAGGACTACCTACCTACGTGTGTGTGTGTGTGTGTGTGTGTGTGTGTGTGTGTGTGTGTGTGTGTGTGTGTGTGCGTGCGTGCGTGTGTGTGTGTGTGTGTGCGTGCGTGTGTGTGTGTACACTTCTCCATAGGTGGGACAGAAGTTTCGGTCCAGATGCCTGAAGTTTCCAGGTTTGATTTCTGGCTGCACAATGGACTGGTTCAGCCCTTGGCCCAAAGAAGCTCTAGTTGCTGTGTCCAGTCATTTTCTATCAGAATTTGAAATGAAGTGCACTAAAACAGTGAAGACTTCAGTGATGACAGTCATGGGAACTTATCACGAGAAAGTGTCTGAGGCTTGTGAAAGTTACTTTGAAAGGTACTGCATTCATACAAATAATATTTGGGATTAGAATCATTTCATGAAGACAAATTACATGGTTTTAAAGTTGTGTGATGATAATCTTTCAGGTTCCGAAGGAGAACACATGTCACCCCAAAGTCGTACCTTTGTTTTATAAATGGCTACAAGGCGTTATACACAGAGAAGTGCAGCTTTATCATTACATTAGCTGATCGCATGAGTGTTGGTAAGAAAATTAAACAGCTAGATTTCAGAATTCTAAAGCAACCTAAAGAGATTGTGTGCGTGTGTGTGTGCGCGTGTGTGTGTGTGTGTGCGTGCGTGTGTGTGTGTGCGTGTGTTTTAAAGACAATTTTATTTATGTGTATTTGTAGGATTAAACAAACTGAAGGAAGCTGGTGCATCGGTGACTAAATTATCAGCTGATCTGGAAATAAAGGAGAAGGAGCTTGCTGTGGCATCTGTCAAAGCAGAGAAGGTGAATGATTCATCAGTTTCATGAGATCTACATGGATGGATGCTTATGTTTACTTTTATTATCTTGTAAAACAGACCAGTGAGTAGGGAAACTATATACATATATATATATATATATATATATATATATATATATACACATATATGGGTGACGGTGGCACAGGAGTTAAGTGCTCGCCCCGTAATCAGAAGGTTGCAGGTTTGAGCCCCGCTAAGTTTGTCGCTCTCCTTGTGTCCCTGGGCAAGACACTTAACACACACACACATACCCCCCCCCGCCTGCTGGTGGTGGTCGAAGGTATTTATATAGGAATTTTGGGTTTTCGTGAGCTGTATGCCAAAATCATCAATATTAGAAACAATAGAAGGCTTGAACTACTTGAGTTGTGTGTCATGAATCTGATATACATGAAAGTCTAATGTTTATCATTATTTAAAAGGACCTCCAGTCGAGAATTTCACCATGTGTGTTAAACGCAAACCGCCATCTTGGAAACGCTTAGCAAATAATCATGTCAAGTATCAGAAGGTACTGGACATGTATGCAGTAGGGACTGCACGACTTAATCGTTTTTAAAGTCGACAGTTCAGTTATGAAAATCGAGTCGACTGACTAGTCGATGATGTCATACACCTGAAGCGGGTTGGTTCGCTGGAGTTTTTGACAAGTAAAATTGTGTCCACATTTTCAAAGTTCAACACCTCTTAACAACAGTGGTTTCTGCTTCTTGCTTCAGCCCTCTCCCCCCTCCCCCTGCTTCAGCCCTCTCCCCCCTCCCTCTGCGCAGCGGCCGCAAACTCACTGATGCGCCTGCAGCCTCTCAGAGTTCCTGCTGCTCTAAACATTAAAATAATTATTTCATTTTCTGTTCCTCACTTCTGATTACCTTCAATGGTGTCTGTTTGTTGTAACCAGCAGGTACAAAAACTTTTTCTGTCCTGCCTGTTTATTATGTTCCTGCATCTCCTCTCAATCCTAAAGAAAAACTGCTACCTGGCTTTATATGTTTTCACCTTATGAGTTACCTTTGAACTGCAGTTCTAAAAGATCTACCGACCGCAAAAACAGCCGAGTGCACGCCGGTGAGGTGCGTTACCAGAGGACAAAACAGGTGATGCGCTCCGCTCCACAGCAGCGAAAAGCATCAGGCACAAATAAAAGACAGAAAACATGAAAGGAAATGAGCCGACATGAACGATCTCGTGTTAAATTTGTTTTTGAGGTGGTGACACCTGATTTGAAAATGTTACTGTGGCCGTGCTCAGGACGCAGATGTCTGGAGCGCGTCAACGATCAGAGCTCTGCATGCGCAAGCTGGTTAAGGTTGGGATGGGGGTGAGGGGAAGGTTCAATTACAAGAGGGTAAAGGTCACAATTTGGTCAAATGTCCGTTTTACCGCTGGCGTCTGACACCGACGCTCTGGCGTCACCTGCTGTCTTTTCCGAGGACTGCATCTTGTCGGTCATTATCACGTGACAGCGACGAGTCTATGAAAGGCTTAAAAAGTCACGACAGAGCAGTGAAGCCGACTAGTTGATACAACCCCTAGTATGCAGTAGAATTAATGCCACAAAGCATTTGTTTTTGCACCCGTAGGTGTTAGCAGAGGTGACCGTTAGCGCTGAAGCTGCAACCACAGTAAAGAACGAGGTCCAGGTTGTGAAGGACAGGGCCCAGAACATCGTGGAAGGGATCGCAAAGGAGAAAGCAGTTGCTGAGAATAAACTGGAGGCAGCTAAGCCTGCTTTAAAAGAAGCTACTGAAGCACTAAATGTGAGAAATCTTCCCTTGAACGTGTTTGTGGATGAACCCAATATAAATATGCATGTGTGTAACTTTGATGTAAACATTTCACAGACAATCAAGCCAGCTGACATTGCCACCGTGAAAAAATTAGCCAATCCTCCAAATCTCATCATGAGGATTATGGACGGCGTCCTGATTTTATTTAAAAAGAAGGTTGACCGTGTCTCTGTTGATCCTGAACGACAATGTATAAAGCCCTCGTGGGGTGAAGCACTGAAGGTAGATGAAATGAACTGATTCAGAAAGCTTTTGTTTGTGTGCCTTCACAATAAAAGCTCAACATATAATAAAATTAAGACAATCATGTTGACGTTACAGTATGTTCTTCCTGTGCTTATTGTTTAGCTTTTGGGTAGCCCTGGTTTACTGACATCCCTGCAGCAGTTTCCAAAGGAAGAAATTAATGAAGAAGTGGTGGAGCTGCTGTTGGCGTACTTCGACATGCCGGATTACACGATGACCAATGCAAAGAAAGTCTGTGGTAACGTGGCAGGCCTTCTAGCCTGGACCCGTGCTATGGCTACTTACTTTGCAATTAACAAAGAAGTGTTGCCGCTCAAGGTAAAGTGTTTTTATGAATTTGTAATATTGTTGTTTATTTCAGGAGGGAAAGGTTTCGAGGAAAAGGAGAAAGCTGCCTTTTACATTTTTCTGTAGGAAAGGGAAAGCCCCAGCCTGGCAAGCCAGACTAAATAAATGTATTATTTAGTCTGGCCACGCTCCACTGACGGCTCTCGGTTGTGGGGCGGGTTCTACCGTTGTCTTTCAAATGATCTCCGCATTCCACTGGACAATGAATGTGACATACTCTTGTTTCACTCTGTTGCATCATCCCACCCACCAGGCATATAGAGTGCCCTGATTGGCCCACAAAGCGGATGAAGCTCTGTGATTTGTTCACTAAGCAGATAGAGCACTATCAGTGCGTTTACATGCAGCCAGTAACCCTTTTAAAACCTGAATATTCACAATAACCCGGTTCCGCACGGCCATGTAAACACCGCCAAAAACCCGGATATGCTCATAACCGGGTTTTTAAAAACCCGGTTACTACACCTGGGGTAACCCTTTTCTAACCCGAATGTTTGGTCGTGTAAACGCATACCGGGATATCCCCATCAAAGCGTGTGTTCTGCGCATGCTCTGTTCACAAGGAATCTTGGTCTTTTGAGTAGCGAGACGTCTTGTATGCGCCAGAACACCGGAAGTAAACAACAAGTTGGGGGCAAAATGGCGAGTCGCGGCACAGCACCACACTTTGAGTGACGAGGAAACTAAAGCGCAAACAAACGCGGTCGCTATCTCTTCCGAACTGGGAAAAATGTTGTTGTTTTCACGGATACCGGAACGAGAAGAACCGGAAATGACGCATATTGCGTCTGGACGTAGTCCATACGTCCTGACGCTACCCCAACGTCCGCATTTACATCGGGTTATGCAAGTTAGAGGTAACTCTTTCTATTTATGCTTGTGAACGGGTTATTCTGATCAACTCAGAAACCCGAATACCGACCTTAACCCGATCATAACCCGGATATTGGCTGCATGTAAACGTACTCTATGATTGGCCCGCCATTATGGACCAATCACAGCTCTTTATGTGTTTGAAACCCCTCTAGAGAGCTGTGATTGGCTAGCCAGAGTCCTGGTAGGAGCTGCAGAGGTTCCAATGGAGCGTTCCTAGACCATTCTTTGCAAAGCAAGAATTTGGTCTAGTTCACTAGGCTAGGAAAGTAATTAATAAACAATCTGCTTTGGTGCCCTTCATGACGTTTATTTTCCATTTTGTTCAGGCTAACTTGTTTGTTCAAGAAAGGCGTCTGAACGTGGCTAATGATGAGCTAAGCAAGGCTGAGGCTCTGCTGGCGGAGAAACAGAAAGAGTTTGACGAAGTCCAGGCCAAATACGACGCAGCTATGAAAGAGAAACGGGTATCGCTTTCACAAAGAGTAGTGTTGCGTCCACTTTAGCACCGAAGTAGTCAATGACAACTATCTGTTGTTTTCAGGTCCTGCTGGATGACGCTGAGATGTGTAAGAATAAAATGCAAGCTGCGTCTGCGCTGTTAGACGGACTTAGTGACGAGAAAGCTCGCTGGACATCTCAAAGCAAACAATTTCAATCCCAAATCAACAGGCGGGTTACATCCTGGTTAAACTAACTAGCTAGATGGAAACTTTGGAGCAGATTTATTAAGTAGTGATCTTAATAACATCTAAATGAGACCTGTTGTTTTTTGCTTTGCAGACTTGCAGGCGACGTGCTCCAGCTGACTGGCTTTTTGTCGTACTGCGGGCCATTCAACCAGAGTTTTAGAGACATGTTAATAAAAGGCGTGTGGGAAGCCGAGCTTCGAAGCCACAATATCCCTTTCACAGAAAACCTTAATGTCATTTCTGCCCTGGTAGACCCTCCCACCGTAAGAACACCATATAGCTAAAACGTGTTTTATTCACTATCAGAATTATTCACCATGTCAAAGACATTCATGTTCTCATTTTAATCTAAGATAAGCGAGTGGAATCTTCAGGGATTACCAGGAGATGATTTGTCTGTTCAGAATGGCATCATTGTCACTAAAGCAGCGCGGTATCCCCTCCTGATCGATCCGCAAACACAAGGGAAATCCTGGGTCTTAAAGAAAGAAGAGGCCAATGCACTTCAAGTATAATTTTGCTTGTTATTTAGAAGACCCTTATTTGTTGTTTTATCTATGCACATCATAGAAGTAACAGTTGTTTCTTTTGTTCAGGTCACGTCACTCAACCACAAGCTCTTTCGAACTCATCTGGAGGATTGCCTTTCCTTGGGACGGCCGTTACTTATTGCAGACATATCGGAGGAACTCGACCCTGCTCTAGACAATGTGCTTGAGAAAAATTATCTTAAATCTGGGACCAGTTTCAAGGTATTCTATTATAACTATTATAATAAATATCAGTTTTGATCTAACAATGAAAAAACTTTTTAACCCTCAGGGGTCCACGGACGCGTATCCACGTCTTTAGATCAGGTCTGATTTGGGACGCTGTAGCAGCAAGACTCCGCCTCCCTGAGTTTCGCTTTCAATTCAGCTTTAAAAAGGAGATTATAAACTACACCCCAGTTTTTAAATTGTGTTAATAGGCAACGTAAAAGCAGAGTTATACTAAACTAAAAAGCGACCTATTTTTAGTCAAGCTGATAACTTGTCAAAACAGCAGTTTAGTCATCCGTGAGAGGGAACGTGCTTGTGAACATAAAAAACCCACAAAAACATGAGATCCTTTTGCTGTTGGTGGATGTCTCACATGTTCAGCTGATAAAAAGCATCATTATGTAGCTGAGAGAGAGAGGAAGGCCGCACGAGTAACGAGACGTGCACAAAAAGGAGCCGCTTCACAGGGAAAGGAGTGGCGTGAACGGAGTAACAACAAACAATTAGACAGATATTGGCGGGAAACTTCATATTTTGGAGCGAACCTGACAGATATATTGTCTCTGCAGTTTAGTAGGCTTTTATTAGGCTTATATAAAGGATGATGAGAAGGATAAATGTCCACCAGGCAGTCCAGATAGTACGGCTGTTTTTTGAACCGGAAGCAGAGGAAGTGGGCGGAGACTCGCAGCCGGAGTCTGAGGCAAATAGCGAGGATGTTGATGATGTGGCAGATCCATCCGGCCTCATAGAAGAGTTGGGTCATGATGAGGTAGAGGATGAAGGCAGAGATCCAGCTCCTCGGAGATCCAACAAGAGGAGTGGGCGGCACCGCGCAGCTGTCAGATCTCGATCTCCGCGGCGTGAGACAGAGCCACTCCCCACTCCAAAATCCATGTACATTATTGCCAAATTAATAAAATAAGTATAAATTCAGATAGTCCTGGCTGTCCTGAAAAAAATGATGCCCCATAAGGCAATATTTATTGTTTTTATTAGAAAATACAAAAGAAAAACCAAAATGAGTCAAAAACAGTGATTTACACCCTGGACCCCAGAGGGCTAATAATTTTTTTTTTTTGTTATTTGCTGTATTTATTCGTATTTTTTATAAATGTACAGTCTAGATTACCATTCTAAATTATAAAAAACATTCTTCATAAATGTTTATTGGTTTCACAGTAAAATAAGCAACTTTTTTCCTGTTCGAATTTTATGTTTTTGAGTGATTTAAGGTCTAATATGCAACCCCTTTATGTCCAAATATAAAAAATAAGTATAAATTCATAAAGTCCAGGTTGTGCAGAAAAGATTGATACCACATAAAGCAGTGGTTATGGTTTTTATTTTGGAAATACAAAAGGAAAACTCTAAATGAGTCAAAAACAGCAAATTACACCCTGGACCCCAGAGGGTTAAACATTTGTAAATGATTTGTCTTTGTTAAGGTTAAAGTCGGAGACAAAGAAATAGATGTCATGGATTCATTTAGACTCTATATGACCACCAAACTGCCCAATCCAGCGTACACCCCAGAAGTCAGCGCCAGGGCATCCATCATCGATTTTACTGTAAATATGAAGGGTTTGGAGAACCAGCTGCTTGCTCGTGTCATCCTCAAAGAGAAGCAGGCCAGTTTCACTGGATTTCCTCCTGTTAACTTTTTTCAGTCTAAATAAAATTGTTAAAGCATAAACTATCAACAGTTATTGTGAGGTGGAAACGTCACTACAGTCTGTTGTAGCTCTGACACTTCTATGTCTGTTAACAGGAACTAGAGGCAGAACGATTAAGGCTAATTGAGGATGTAACTGCCAATAAGAGAAAGACCAAGGAGTTGGAAGACAACTTGTTGGCTAAACTGAGCTCAACAAAAGGTGCTACAGTTACTGTTGCAGCCCACTGTCATCACTGAATGGGTCGGGACTTTTATTAATTACAAATAACTTGTGTTTGTGTGTTTAAAGGTTCTCTAGTTGATGATGACTCTATGATTTCCATTCTGCGCACTACTAAAAAAACTGCTGCTGAAGTTGGTGCAAAGCTCAGTGTGGCAGCAGAAGCAGAGATGAAGATTAACTCTGCTCAAGCGGAATATCGGCCTGTTGCCTCGCGAGGCAGCATCCTTTACTTCCTGATCACCGAGATGAGCATGGTCAATGTCATGTACCAGACGTCCCTCAGTCAGTTCCTCAAAATCTTTGATCTGTCCCTGGAAAGGTAGGCTGTTCCCAAAAATGGGTTTGAATACTTGTCTACACAATGCTTGTTTTAACAGAGAGCCAAATTCATGCCCATATGCTTCCGGACCACGGGTCCCCGGAAGAACGACAAAATGAACGCAAGTCGACGGGGCTAAAAACCCTATTTTCTAATTCCGCTTGTTTTGGGCTGTGGATTTCACATGATGTCCGTGATTTTTAAAGACACGTTTTAATACGAAGAACTTGTTTATTTTTGAACATGGGGAAACACTAATTTAGATTTTGTGTGAAAATAAGTCCAGGACTACAAATGCGCTTCACGAAAGTGACGTCATCGAACCAGACACGGAGAAAACTGAGGGTAAAGACGTGTAAGTTCAGCCAACTTAAAATCCTTCCTTCAGGAGGAAAGAACCACCATAAATCTGGTCATGTGGTGAGTAGCAGCTACGCTAGGGGAGAGGAGATTCTGTGCTTATTATGCTACTTGCCGATCTGATTTGTATAAATAGATTTGTATATAAATCCTCTCCCCCCTAAATCTTAATTCATGTGTGACCAGCCTTGGGGTTAAACTGGATGTTGACCTATCAATGAGTGCACATGTTAATGCCACTGTTCGATCCTGCTTCTTCCAGCTTCGTCGCCTTGCCCGACTAAAGCCCATTCTTAAGAGGCCACACTTAGAATCAGTGATTCTTGCATTTATCACTTCCAGACTCGACTTTTCAAACTCGGTTCTAATTGGTGTAAATGTATCGGTCCTAAATCGTCTGCAGAAAGTCCAGAATGCTGCAGCCAGATTTCTTTCTAATGCTAATAGACGCTGCCACATCACTCCCATTCTGGCGGATCTACACTGGATTCCTGTGCAATTTCGAATTCAACACAAGGTTCTAACTTTTACTTACAAAGCCCTGAATGGTCTAGCCCCCTTATACCTCTCAGAGCTGCTCACCCCCTACATCCAACCCCCCCCCCCCCCCCCCCCCCACCCCACCCACCCCCGGTCACTAAGGTCTGCTGATCATCTATTGCTCATAGTCCCTAAAATGAGGTATAAAGCTCGTGGGGAGCGTGCGTTCGCCTTTGCTGCTCCCAGACTCTGGAACGCACTCCCTCTGGTGGTACGCCAGGCTTCTTCACTGGCACAGTTTAAATCCAGCCTGAAGACACTTTTCTTTAATTTGGCTTTTGGTCAATGATCGGTCTTTTATGCTGTGGCTCTTCTGTTTTACTGACTTCTGTTTTTATTGACTTCTCTTTTATTGGCTGTTTTATACATTTGTATTGTTTTTAGGTGTTTCTATTTTATGACAGCTTTTATCTGTGTTTAATGTGTATGTATTTGTATTTTAAATGGCTTTTTAGGTTTTAACTCTGTGCAGTGCTTTGGTCAGCTGACATGCTGTTTTTAAATGCGCTATATAAATAAAACATAAATAAAATTGGATTGGATTGGATTGTAGTCATGCTAATTACGAACTTTTACAAGCTGATAAATCTCAAAGTAGGTGACCGGCGTAGTCGAAACCCCCATCATTAGTTTTTATTTAAATTGCAGTAAAACACGTGTGATCCAGGGTCTAAGGCAAAGCAGCGTTTTAGCCCCGTCGACTTGCATTCATTTTTTGTTCTGGCGAGGACCCGTGAGCCGGCCGGAAACTTAGGCTCCCTATTGTGGAGTGTAGAGCTGTGGCAGCATTTGAACTATAGACTGCTGCACACTCTGTTGATTACTTAATCGTGACAAATAATGGTCTTTATCTAATGTACCTCAAATGTGTAAGGCTACAAAAAACTGATTCCTGTCTCCTTTTTGCTGTTTTTGCTTCCACTTGTCTCATTTTTACAGGTCTGAAGTTTCCTCTCAAATCCAGATGCGCATTTCAAACATCATTGACTATTTGACATTTGAGGTTTTCAGATATACAGTCAGGGGCCTGTATGAAAACAACAAGTTCACTTTCACTCTTCTACTGGCCCTCAAGATTGACTTACAGAACAGAAAAATAAAACACGAGAAATTTCTGGTTCTCATTAAAGGTGAGAACACTGTCGCTCAGACGATGCTTGTCTGTCTCTGTCATAGCATGCTTTGCCCCATATTGTCTTAGGTGGTGCAGCACTTGACCTGAAGACGTGTCCCACAAAGCCATTCAGCTGGATCCCAGATATGGTTTGGCTAAACCTGGTGGAGCTCAGTAAACTGCCTCAGTTCAGTAATATTATAAGCCAGGTAAGCATTAGTTTAATGGGCTGTTTGTGTGAATGATTTGTACTTTATTCCGCATCAATCCTGCTAATGACATTTTGTAGGTGTCCAAAAGTGGGAAAATCTGGAAAGCGTGGCTTGGCCTTGATGCCCCGGAGAGAGCTCTTATTCCAGATGGATACCACTCTCTTGATGTCTTTCATAAACTCTTGTTGATAAGGTTGGAATCTGCTGCTGGGCCGCGTTGTGTGTTTAAAACAACCAACAAAGTAAAGGGAAGTGACCGTGTGTTGTTGTTCACAGGTCTTGGTGCCCAGATCGAACCCTGCCTCAAGCAGTGAAGTATGTAGAAGACTCTTTGGGCCCTCGGTTTTCTGAACCTGTGCTTTTGGACCTTCGCAGCACATGGCAGGAAAGTGACCCCAGCACCCCTCTGATTTGCTTCCTCTCTATGGGCTCAGATCCCTCTGTCCAAATTGAAGCCCTCGCTAAAACACTCCAGCTTGGTGAGTGTTTTTAACTGTCTGTCACAAAATTGTCTCAACTCTAAACATTAAGATGCATAATATCAAGGATTTAAGGATGTTTGTCATTGTAACAGCATCCCTGTGCATACATACGCCCCAAAGTCATGATTCCACTTCCCTGTGTTTACAAGTAGATCCCACACCAGTTTGGGTCAAATATGGGAATTTGGGTACTTTTTAAAAACAAGATGTAATTAATATAAATGTGTAGGATAAAGAAGCTACATTTGGGTTATATTTTGAGGTTCTCCATTGGTTCATTTAAACTCGCTTGTCATTATAGAATGCCGAGCGATTTCCATGGGACAAGGACAAGAGGTGCATGCCAGGAAGCTTGTCAAGACGTCGATGACAGAGGTGTTTGTGGAGCGATTTCAAGCAGATTTCATTTATCAACACTTTTTATCACAGTTGTCTAATCCAAAGAAAAAGGCGAAAGGATCAAATCCTGCGGTTACTTTGATACCTGGATCATTGAACCTAACCCCGGGTTTCCACAGGAGCCGTCAGCAGCACGTTACCGCAGCAGCACGTCATAGCTGCTGATAGGAACCGCTGTGGTCAACAGAACCTTTTCCACCAGAGCCGTCAGCAGCGCGAGTCGGCCGCGTCTCAGGAGCAGCATGTCGCGGCCTTTACGCGCCGGTTCTATTTTCTACGCGCGACGCCTCTGAAACGGGTCAAGTTCGACATTTTTGGGGAAGGAAAGACAGGAAATCGGACGCGGAAATGGAGAGAAGCTCCCGAGATTTTCAGAATAAAGAGCGTACTGCCTTCCGGTTGCTTTACTTTTAAAAAGTTACTAACTGTGCGTCCCCGTGAGAAGTTATCACCTAGCTAGCGGTCTCCTTTGTTTTTCAGGTCCGTATTGGCGATTATAAAACGGACAGAACATGAAACACAAACCATGTTGTAGTTTTCTCCTGCTTGTTGTTGTGTTTACTGACGAAGTCACTCGTGTGACTTCGTGCTCGGTCGGTGACAGCTGCTCCCCTGCTGCTTCACGTCTCGTGGGAAGGGCCAAGCAGCAGCTTACGCGAGCAAGACGTGCTGCTGACGGCTCCCGTGGAAACCCGGGGTAATCCGTAGCCTCTAATCTCTTTAAATAGGGAGGTTGGGTCCTTCTGCAAAACTGTCACCTGGGCTTGGCATTCATGGATGAGCTCTTTGAAACTATCACAGCTGCAGAGAGCAAGCACTACACTTTCAGAGTGTGGATCACTACAGAACCGCATGATAGATTTTCTATCGCACTCCTGCAGGTGACTCAGCTTTATGTCTTTGCTCCACATTTCACAAACATTTCTTTACACTGTGTGCAGAGGCAGACATAACCCCATTGCGTCTCTTCTCTCTACCCCCAGGCCTCTATCAAGTTCACCAACGACCCACCCCAGGGCATACGTGCTGGTTTGATGCGAACATTTGCAGGAATCTCACAGAGCAAGTTGGCGAGCGTTAACCTTCCCTTATGGAACCCTTTGCTGTACAGCGTGGCTTTTCTACACTCAGTTGTACAGGTACTCTCCATTCTGAGGACATGGTTGAGATTCATTTTTGCTTGGAGGTGAAGGAACACATGCCTGGCTCGTGTCAGTTTAAACCTTGTTAGACTGAATAGAAAAGTTAGAACACTTAAAGTAACAATGTGTCGTTTTTACCGTCTGATCTCTGCAAATATCCATCCAAATGTTGTTGAAAACGAATTAAATGATACCCCGTTGTTAAAAAATATTGGCGTCTTCATAACATAAAACCATAAAAATCGGGTCAATAATACATGGGAGCGGGCCCAAGGCCCAATCCCAATACTCACACTAACATCCTTGCACCCTTCAATTGCACAATCCTGACCAGGGGTCCGAGTGTGTAGGGTGTCCCAATTCTCAAGTGCGGAAGTTGATCCAACTTCATTTGCAGCCTTGAGCCGCACTTCACCCAAGTCTGCGTCGATGCGGACTTGGGTGATGTGTATTGCCCACAATTTCTCCAAGTGCACTTTGCTGAAGACTGCAGGGTAAGTATTGGGATTGGGTCTAAGTCTCTGGGCGACGCCATGTTAGATGCCATGTTTCCTTCTATGGGAGCCTGTGAGGACTAAACATATTAACTGATTTGTAACAAATGGTAAGACCTGGAAGGGTGTTGTGGGGAGGAATCCCCCCCCCCCCCCATCTAAATTTGAGTGGTGTTTTGTTGTTGGACTTCTGTTCTCAAACAAAAGTGAAACCAAATAGACGCCCTCAGTAGAACCAGCGACAACATCCAGCGGCGCTGCTCCGTTTCCTCCTAGGAAGTGCTTGAAGTCTCCTGTGAGGGAATAATTTAGATTCCCAAAACTGCTAAAGGACAAATTCAGGACGATGGCTCGTCCATCTGCAGAGCCGACAGAAAAAAGTTGCGACACCCTCAACTTATCATCTCTGACATCATCACGCAGACAAATGACCTCCGAGTCAGATTACATTAGTGACTGAAGGGATTTATCTGTAACAAAGGAACTATCAGTGAACGAGGGTTCATTTAGTAGTGTTATTCTGTTTCCCCTGTATCTGTCTACAGCAAGCCATTTTAACATTTAATCAACTGCAGCAAGCCATTTTAACATTTAATCAACTACAGCAAGCCATTTTAACATTTAATCAACTATACCTCTCTGTATTTACTGTTCCACATTACAATAAAATCATTTATCCATGTCCAAATGATATATTTGCTGATGAAAATTGAAAAGAAAGATATGAACATGTAGAACTTTAATTTAAGGGTATTCATAATAACATGCACTATTATGAATTTAGCTATAATTCATTAAGGTGTCTTCATCCTTCAGTGCTAATCCTGACCAGCTGACAACAGTTAAACTTTTTTGTCTTTTTACAGAAACTCAAACAGGCCATTAGGAAAATATAATTAAAGGTGTGGTTCACTGAAAAACTGTTTAAACATGAGTGTTTCATGCAGGCTGAACATGAAAATAGTCTCCTACACCTATCTCCTGCATTAGCTTCTGATAGAAAACAAACGGTGAAACTCTAGGATCAGAAATCCTGACAGATCTACATCACACTGTCACTAACATTCATGGATTCACCCGTCTGGACTCACGATGGGGAAGGCTGTTGTTGGTTTAGCGTCCAGGAAACAGCAGAGAACGCCTTGGCTAGTAGAAGCTAACCATTAGCATTAGCAACTCCACCACACAGCAGAACTCCTCCAGGCTTGTGTTATTTGTGGAGATAAAACATCAACGTTGCAGAACAAACAGAGTCAGTGGTAGAGTCGTGTTGCTGTTGTAGTGGCTTAAAGCTTGCTTACAATGATTTAGGTATGTGCTGCCGGCCATCGCCACGGGAACAGCACATCGTCACTTTAAGGGTTGAGTTATTTTGATAAAGGTCTGTTGGTTTACTATCCACCTGTTGTGACTAAGCTGTGTGACTAATAGCTCAACATATTTGATTCCAGGAAAACCAATTAAGTTCTAAAGTAAGGTGTTCTGCTTTACGCACATTCCTTTCTTTTCTTCCACGTTTTGAGAAAATTGGCCTTAACTCATTCACTGCCAATGACGACTAAAGTCGTCATTTGCATTTTTTTTACTGCGTGGGCGTCGGACGAGCCCCCGCACAGTGAAAACAAACATCTCAGCTCTAAAGCCGATCTTGATCCACGTACGTCACATGTCACGTGCTCAGGAAGCAGAACATCCATGTGTTAGGAGATCGTTTTGGGCCGCTGCTGTAAAAAAAGTGAGGCGCCAACCGGAAAAGCTTCTGCCGATCACAATTCCACAACGGATTATGAAAGAACGATAAGGCTCGAAACGTGCGGATTCTTCCTGATGTAAGAGGCGAGTCTCCGCTTTGTTCTGGTGTCGACGTCATCCTAGCGCGCAACGTTCTGTCACTCTTAAGAAAGCAGTAAAATCATTGAGAATCGCTGGCAGCGAATGAGTTAATATCCGATCTCTGCTTTTCTGTGGGATTTTTCATTTTTTTCAGCCTCCGGACTAATTTTACACATTGAACTTTTTTCTGCCTTTTAAGGAACGGCGCAAATTTGGACCTTTGGGTTGGAACATACCTTACGAGTTCAACTCGTCTGATTTCTCATCAAGTATCGAATTCATTGAAAGACATTTGCTTCAGTGTGGTCGCAAAAAGGTGAGGATCATTTGAGGCTGACGTGATATTTTCATGTTTTCTTGCCTTACTCAGTGGTTTGTGCCTGTTTGCCTGTAGGAAATTTCATGGGTAACTGTGCAATACATGATTGCTGAGGTGCTGTATGGAGGACGAGTCACAGACGACTACGACAAACGTCTTTTAAACTGTTTTGCTCAAGTAAAATTCCTCATCTTGTATTATTTATTTATTACGTTCCCTTAAACTCTACGTTTGATTGTAATAACTGTTACAACACTGTAATGGATGCTTTATTTATAGGTATGGTTCAGTAACAAGATGACTGACCCAGATTTCTGCTTCTACACCAACTATGGAGTCCCTGTGTGCAAGACGGTGGAGAAGTACCTGGAGTACATCCAGGGCTTGCCAGCTGTGGACTCACCCCAAGCATTAGGGCTGCATCCTAATGCTAATATCACGTAAGCAGAGGCCCGTGTCATTATGAAGCAGTGGAACTGCTGCTTGCAGCGTTTACTTCTGTGTCTCTATCTGGTTTTAAATGTTTACCAGATACCAGACAAACACCTCTGCAGAGGTTCTCGACACAATCACAAATATTCAGCCCAAAGAAAGCGGAGGGGGCTTGGGGGCAACTCGAGAGTCCATCGTTTACAAAGTGGCAGAGGACATGTTGAATAAACTGCCCTCTGATTACGTGCCTCATGAGGTCAGCTTATTTCATTACGTAGATTTTAGCCACTGGTTCTTTCCTCCACTAAATCTAAATTCTAACTTGACTGGGTTTAGGTCAAAGCCAGGCTGCAGAAGATGGGAGCGCTCAACCCGTTGACCATCTTCCTGCGTCAGGAGGTGGATCGGATGCAACGAGTCATCTCTGCGGTGCGCACCAGCCTGACTGACTTGAAGTTGGCCATCGATGGAACCATCATCATGAGCGATGTAAGATTTCTGTTTCACACACTAATCGCATGATGTAGTTTCATTTGTTTGCTTTTAAAAATAAATGTTTTAATAGTGTTCATGCTTTATTTAACACCGTGTGTAGCAATCATTCTCAGATGTTATGATATAAGTAAATAAAAACAGCCTTTGTCAGGATTGAAAGTGCGGTGAAACTGCTCGTCCGGACTTTTTTCTAGAACCTCCGCGATGCCTTGGACAATATTTTTGATGCTCGTGTGCCAAACCTGTGGAGGAAAATGTCCTGGGAGTCTTCCACTCTGGGCTTTTGGTTCACCGAGCTTCTTGAGAGACACAAGCAGTTCTCTGATTGGCTGTTTCAGACGACACCAAAAACCTTTTGGATGACAGGTTTCTTTAACCCACAAGGTGAGTTTTTTCCCCCCACTGAGGGGCGATAATGGGCTTTGCTGTTGTTTTCTATTCTAAGTAAAAATCACTTCAGTTTGTAAGCTGTAACTGAAGACTGGGAGTAGACTTTCTTTTTCCTGTTTTTGCACATGTTCAGTTTTTTTACCTGTTAGCAGAATAAAAAACCACTGGATGGATTTTAGTTAGACTCAGAATGTAATCGGGGAATAAACAAGTCAACAGTTTAACATATCTGACGTTGTAATTGCATCTGTCCGTTTGCGACACGAGTTCTAACAAATTACCTGAGATCTCTAAACCAAACCTGCAAATAGCGATGGGTACCGAATTCGGTACTTTTTAAGGTACCAACCGAATTCCACAGTACCGACCGAGCACCGATTCACGTCATTTCAAACGGTGCCTCGTTTCGGTACCCGTCCTTCATAACGAGAACTTGCCTAGACAGCTGCGCATGCGCAAGAGCGTTATGTCGTCGGTCGCTGCGAGCCAGTTGTAAACAGAGCAGCATGGTAGAAAGAACGCACGCTAAAGCTTCAGTCCACTTCACTAAATGTGATGGGTAACTGGGTGATGATGAAACCAGCGACAACGATCTAAGTCAGACATCCTCATCTTAATCTGCTCCGGTGGTAAATAAAATGTTTAAGATGACGTTAGCTTGATATGTTAGCTTCCGTTCCGCTAATGGTGCGTTCACTTTCTTCTCGGAACTCCGAATTTCCGACTAGAAAAACATGAACGCGCTCTAAAGTTTGTCTTCACTTTACTAAATGCGACGGGTGATTGGGTGAAGATGAAACCAGCGACAACGATCTAAGTGTGAGGCATCATCGTTTTAATCTGCTCCAGCAGCTAAATAAACTGTTTAATATGCCAAAATATCCCAAATAATAAAAAGGCAAGTGGACAGATTGACCTGAATATGTGACAACATATAGACAAGTCTGCTGAGGAATTCGTCTTCATTATGAGAACTTTCATAAGGCATATATATATACATATGTGTATATATATATATATACATATGTGTATGTGTATATATATATATATATATATAGATATAGATATATATGTTTAGTATAACACATTTCTTATCCTCACAGCTGATCTCCAGACCTGTAGTCCAGTCCACCTCCAGTCTGATTACTCTGACCAGCTGGTCATATCTTCTGTTGCACAGAACAGCCACTCCTCCAGAAATTCTTCCCCTCACCAACTTGGTGCTTCAGTGGTAGATTCCCCTGCCCCAACAAAGTCTTTATGCAAAATGTTGAGATCCTCTAAATCTTGCTTCGCTAGAAAGGTCTCCTGAATACACAGAATATCACACGTGTCCAATAGCTCATCCACCACCAGATGACGTGACTTGTCTGCCTCTGAATGACCTACTCGTAAGCCACGCGCATTATAAGATCCAACATTTATGTTCATATATTTCAGTTAATTTTGCCTTCTGCCGGCACTAGGCTGAACGTCTGCCATACTAAACAAAAATAATCAGTAAATTATCATATAGATAGTAAAAAGTTAAACCAAAACAGGAAATTGATGTTAACCTTTGACCTCATTTTCCACCTGTGAACGAGTGAAAGGTAGAGCTAGCGGTAAAATGGATCGGTGTTTGTTGCCCACATTTCCACGGGTTCAGTCAGAAATGAATGAATGTTTGGAAGTGATCTCAGACCCACAGAAACCTACGGATCTGGATGAAGAGAGTCAACCCTCAACCGCCGCAGCAGTCCAGGGATTGCTGCTGGAAATGCTAACGCTAACGTTAGCTAGCCTTGCAACACTATAGATGGTTTTCTGTGTGGCTGTATGTGTTTATGATTTCATGGAAAAGTCAGTGATTGTTCATATGTTTATGATGTGTATTAATGATTGTTTCAGGTGCACGCATGTGTATCTGCTAGTGTTGAAGGTGTTTTAGAGAACAATAGGTACGCATGACCACTTCCTTCATAGCACCTGCAGAAAAACATTTCTGGAGCCGCCACTGCTAACAGGCGCTGCGATATTCTTTTCTTCAAGAAATTGTTGGGCTTTGATTCTGTTTTGTTGGCTGTTTGCAGGTTTCCTGACAGCTGTGAGACAGGAAGCAACCAGGGCTAACAAAACCTGGGCTCTTGACACAGTCACACTTAGCAACAAAGTGCTTAAGGTGTCAGCTGAACAGATAACGGCTTCACCAAATGTGAGTAAACTGTCCATTTCTGCTCATCTGGTGTGTTCTGTAACACCAGGGCCAGTAAATGCTCTCATACAGCGATGGAGAGACAAGATGAACAACCATTACATCGTCATAATTAGGAGATTTTTGTTGTTTTAGAGAGAATGTTTGGTTATTAGCAACCTTTCCTACAGGAGGGAGTTTACATCCACGGTCTGTTCCTGGATGGAGCTGGCTGGAACTGGAGGAAAATCCTTCTGGAAGAATCCTCTCCCAAAGTTCTGTTCTCACCCATGCCTGTGATCCACATGTTTGCTGTCAAATCTACTCAAACTGTGGATCCAAAGCTTTATGTCTGCCCTATCTACAAGAAGCCAAGGCGCACCGACCTGAACTACATCACTGCAGTGGTGCTACCCACCGTCCTGTCGCCAGACCACTGGGTTTTACGTGGAGTTGCCTTGCTCTGTGACAGCAAGTAACAACAGTTAGCTTATTATCTTACAACAGTTCAAGAGTTAAGTGCAAATTGTGTGAATGGTGTTGTTCAATGTTCATAATTGAATAAATGTTTTCAGTTTCAAGTGTTGTGAAGTTTTTTTACTGTTAGTGGCACAAAGAACAAGGTGATGGCGTTCGTTTTTGTGCTAATCGGCATATCAGGACTACGTGGTGACGTGGTTGGTCTGTTGCCTCGCAGCAAGAATGTTGCAGGGTCGAATCCCAGCTGTCAGTCGTGGCCATGCTGTGTAATTTAGAGAAAGTGAAAGTGTTGACATGTTTAACTCATTCACTGCCAGCGTTTTTCGCCGTTTTTACAGTTTTTTTTAAGAGTCACAGAGCGTTGCGCGCTAGGATGATGTCGATGCCAAAACAAAGCGGAGACTCACCTCTTACATCAGGAAGAATCCGCATGTTTCCAGCGTCATCCGTTCTTTCATAATCCGTTGTTGAATTGTGATCGGCAGAAGCTTTTCTGGCTCGCGCCTCACTTTTTTTTACAGCAGCGGCCCAAAACGATCTCCTAACACATGGATGTTCTGCTTCCTGATCACGTGACGTGTGACGTACGCGGATGAAGATCAGCTTTAGAGCTGAGATGTTTGTTCTCACGGTCCGGGGGCTCGTCCGACACCCACACAGTAAAAACATGCACATGACGACTTTAGTCGTCATTGGGAGTGAATGAGTTAAAGAGCAAGTCACCCCCAAATCAAATAAACGAGTGTCTAATCGTGCTGCAGACACGTGTAGTCAATAATTTGGCACTTCAGTGCATCTTAGTTAAAATTTAAATTTTCTGCCTAAAACGGTCAGTGTTGCGCCGTCGTCAGGTAAAAACTCTGCACTGTATTTGAATTTAAATTTGCCACCGCTATTGGCTAAGAGGTATGCTATGATGTAAACTGGGTCATTATGATGTCACAATGCCATTGGGAGCCTGTGTGTGTGTGTGTTTTTGTTAGTGGCTCCGCCCTCTCGGTCTGCCAGGCAACAGCATTTGTTGCATTTTTCAAACATGAAGTGGGAGTGAAGTAAGTTTCTTGTAGGGGGTGACTTGCTCTTTAAGGAAGAGTATCATGGCATGACCAATAAATATTACTGAAGACCTCTAAAGAAGGGCTGTTGATGCTCATCAGATAGAAATGGATTACAAAACCGTCTCTAATGCATTTACACTCTAGTGAGTCAGATTGTTCACAGATGCAAGAAATTTAAGACCATCGTCACCCTCCCCTGCTCTGGTCAACCAACCAAGATCAGTCCAAGAGCAAAGTGTGTAGTTGTCAGCCATTCTTTGGGCATAACTGCAAATGTGTCACCTAGGTGACACCTCTCCTGTTTTGAAGCTAAATATGAATCGTATAGATCTGAAAAGTTTTTGTTTCGATGAGGGGGCGGAGTCTTCTATTGGGTTCCAGTCACTCTTTGTGAGAGCCAATCGGAGAAAGGAGGGAGATTCATCCTGGTCACAAACTCATGTTGTGGCGTGTCAGTCACGCATCATTGACCAATCACAGTTGCTGAGGCGCCTTTGCCAAAAACGGTTTACTGCAGAAGCGCGTGGTGCTTACAGCGAATGTGACTACTGTTGCTTCAACGTCTTGCAGCGGTTTTGAGCTTAAAGTTCGTCAAATCAAACAAAATCAACACGTGATTTTTTTTTGTCAAGGACTTTAGGAGACTCACCTCCGTTCAGCCTTCACAGATGGTTACCGAGGCTCATCGTTTCCTTTTTTCCTGGGGGTGGGGGTGGGGGGTATAAGCACACACATATGTAACCCCTTTTAAAACGTGATATTAGCAACATAAATAGTCCTTTTGGGTGAGAAATGCCCACCAGTGTGCTACAGTCAGTTAAGGAATACTTGTACCGCCAATGTGTATTTAGGATACTAATTATAAGTAGCTATTACATTCCAACCAATATTCAGCTTATTATTCACTGAAGGGTACCAGCTACTTTGTCCACATCTGTAAGCAGGCTATCAAAGTTCTAGATAAAAACATGATATTTCATCGCTGCACAGTCCTCAGTAAATGTACGCTCTGAAACTGGAGCAATGTGGTCATTTTTAAAAAGTGCTGCAAATACAGCTTTGCTCTACCTTCTTGTTGGGGTAGCTGCAGCTCAGGAGGTAGAGCAGGTTGTCCAACAATCAGAAGGTTGCAGGTTCAATCCCAGCTCCCGCCAGACAATGCTGCTGTTCTGTCCTTGGGAAAGACACGAACCCACCTTACCTGCTGGTGGCGGTCGGAGGGACCGGTGGCGCCTGCGCCTGGAAAGCCCAGCCCCTGTCAGCCCCAGGCACCTGCGGCCATGCTGTAGCTCATCCCGTCAGGATGTGAATGGATGAATGTTGCACTGTAATGTAAAGCGCTTTGGAGTCCTCTGACTCAGAAAGACACTGAATACTCTCCATGCACAGGTTGTGGGTTCTTTAGAAAGGGGTTCACTTGGTTATCTTAAATGTGTTCTGATCAATTTTAGTCTGCAGTGTGGAAAGATAAGAAGCCTGCAGGCGTGTTTACTTCAGCTCCTACTTCTTTGCTCTAATTCCTCTTAAATCCTGTTTTTTTCCTATCACCCATTTCTGGATTCAGTGGATTTTGTTGGACCTTTGTTTCCTATGGATTTTTGGATTATTTGACTCCTCGGAGCTTTATTTGGCTACAAATCTTTCGTATCCAACAGAGGCACCTCAGCTAAAGCGCAAGCTCTGCTACCTTAAAGCTATTTAGAAGGTCCCTCTCCTTCTGCCCCACAATGACGGCTTTATGTCTTCTAAAGTAAATAAAAGGATTCAAAACCTTAAAGGGGATGTAGGACGACTGCTGAGCTGCAACAGAAGGAAATGCTGCTGGATAGTTTTCGAACTCGTATCCCTTCACTGACCGAGACCATTGTCAGTCGGTTTGACAAAGAAACATTCATGCAGAACTCTTTGCTCCAAGACAACATTGCTTGGAATTCTGCTGCACCACGACTACCGACTTCCAGCAAGAAAAGTGACAGGAAAAGGTATTTTTGAACAATCAGTTTTCATCATAGACATATTGGATGTAGCAATGCCTCAAAACAGGCGGTTCCCACCACTGTCATTTTGGCCATGTCGCACATCTCGTCATGCTTATACACTCACCTGAAACATAAGAACACCTGTTCAACTTCTCCTTAATGCAATTATCTAATCAACCAATCACATGGCAGTTGCTTCAATGCATGTAGGGGTGTGGTCCTGGTCAAGACAACGTCCTGAACTCCAAACTGAATGTCAGAATGGGAAAGAAAGGTGATTTAAGCAATTTTGAGCGTGGCATGGTTGTTGGAGCCAGACGGGCCGGTCTGAGTATTTCAGTCTGCTCTGTTACTGGGATTTTCACCCACAACCATTTCTATGGTTTACAAAGAATGGTGTGAAAAGGAAACATCCCGTATGCGGCAGTCCCATGGGCCAAAATGCCTTGTTGATGCTAGAGGTCAGAGGAGAATGGGCCGACTGATTCAAGCTGATAGAAGACCTTAACCCTCGTTACAACTGAGGAATGCAGCAAAGCGTTCGTGAAGCCACAACACCCACAACCTTGAGGCGGATGGGCTGCAACAGCAGAAGACCCCACCGGGTACCACTCATCTCCACTACAAATAGGAAAAAGAGGCTACAGTTTGCACCAGCTCACCAAAACTGGAAGGTTGAAGACTGGAAAAATGTTGTCCTATGAGCCGGGGTAAGTACTCTTCTCGTTTCTCACCATCTCTTGAGTGTTTTGGTTTCAGGAGAGTGAGCGGCAGCTGTTCCTCATTCAGCTAATCAGCGGGCCTGCTTATTAGGAGGATGGTGGACGTGACTCGACGCCGGAAGATTACTACTGACTGGAAGTCTCTAGCCTTCGATATAACTCGTCTCTAGATCTTGAACTCTTGTGTATTGTGTTAACCTCGATTAACTTTTGGATTTGTTTGGATCGCTCACCTCAGGTTGGCTTCATCTCAGGACTTCCACCCAACTCTGTACGGATCTCTCACCGGCTCGCTTCCTGGTTCACCATCCATCCACTTGACCGACCCGCTCTCCACCGCACTTCGCTCCCTCTCCAACCCCACACCGGCTCGGATACATTCCCTCACATCTCAACCGCTCTGTTCATCACCTGGATTATTACCCCGGCTCACCCCTCCCCAGCTCTCCTGATCTTCCCGAACTGTAAGTCCCTCCGTCAGGTTCCCTCTATTGGACTACAAATCCCAGAACTCACCTCTGCTACTCTCCCCTCTAGACGCTGCTTCCCGTTTCTTCACCCGCTGTACTTCCAGTGCACCTTTAGTTCCTCGTTTTAAATATTTATTTTTTCCTTCAATTTGTGTCCGTCTCCTGATTCTGCATGTCTTGGGTTAGACATTTGCCCCAGAACATGACATGTCTGGTCTGATGAGTCTCCATTTCTGTTGAGACATTCAAATGGTAGTCAGAATTTGACGTAAACAGAATGAGAACATGGATCCATCATGCCTTGTGTGCAGGCTGGTGGTGGTGGTATAATGGTGTGGGGGATGTTTTCTTGGCACACTTCAGTCCCCGTAGTGCCAACTGGGCCTGGTTTAAATGCCACGGGCTACCTGCGCATTGTTTCTGACCATGTCCATCCCTTCATGACCACCATGTACCCATCCTCTGATGCTACTTCCAGCAGGATAATGCACCATGTCATACAGCTCCAATCATTTCAAACTGGTTTCTTGAACATGATGATGAGTTCACCGTACTACAACGGCCCCCACAGTCACCAGATCTCAACCCGATAGAGCATCTTTGGGATGTGGTGGAACTAAAGCTTCGTGCCCTGGATGTGCATCCCACATATCTCCATCAGCTGCAAAATGCTATCCTATCAACATGGGCCAACATTTCTAAAGAACGCTTTCAAACCTTGTTGAATCAACGCTACATAGAATTAAGGCAGTTCTGAAGGCGAAACGGGGGCAAACACCCTATTAGTGTGGTGTTCCTAATAATCCTTTGAGGATCTTAAAATCTATTCTGAATCTAACTGGCAGCCAGTGTAGGGAAGCTAAGACAGGAGAGATATGATCTCTCTTTTTAATTCTCATCAGAACTCTAGCTGCAGGATTTTGGACAAGCTGAAGACTTTTAACTACATTCTGTGGACTTCCTGATAGTAAGGAATTACAGTAATCCAGTCTTGATGTAATAAATGCATGAGCTCGTTTTTCAGCATCACTCCTGGAAAGGATGCTTCTAATCTTAGCAATATTCCGAATGTGGAAGACGGAAATCCTAATGTTATCTTGAGGGGGAAACTCAAACCGACATAACTCCTGTACGTAAGCCGTGCTACAGGTGAAACGCAACCGATCCACCATCCAATCATAAGCAGTTCAGCACACTCACCTATGGCAAGTGGAATAATTCTATTTATTCTGTTACATAGGTGCACACACACACACACACACACACACTTCTGTCTCCTGCATGCTGTCTCCCCTCTCCCTGTCTGTCTGTATTTGTCTCTCACAACCACAGAAACACGCGCACAGGCGCGCACACATACACACAGATCCGATCACATCGTTCGTTGAATATCAATCAAAAAACCGCAGCTCTGAAAGGGGTAGTTAATGTGACGGTGCACAGTCCACAACAGTAGGTGGCGGTAATGCACCTAAAGTTGTTTGCTAGTCACCATAAATCCGCAAAGAAGAAGACTACACTGCGCCTGCGCCACTTTTATTCTGCACAAAGCCGCTGGTACGTATTTTTCTGGTTGGATTTAAACGTCTATTTTATTTTTTTGACGATGTGAGCGTGACGAAATGCAGCTTTAAACGTTAGTCGGAGGTTGAGAAACGACTCATTTAAACGTAGAAGGGATGTTCACGGGTCTTGGAGCTGTGAGTCGTTGTCTAAAGGTGTTTTTCACCGCCTGAAGTTATTTTTAAGCTGGTTTTACGACAGAAACGCTGCGTTGCACCACGGTCAGTGACGGGGTTTCATACGGAGAGCAGCTGGCCGGTAGCAACACACACACACACACACACACACACACACACACACACACACAATATCAGGTTATTTGACCAAATGACTCAATAATAGATTCATAGGCGTGTTAATAATCTAGAAACTTGGTTACAGCTGTTGTGTTATTCCAGATCAGGAAGACAACAGTTTAAACGTCATATTTGGTGGTCTTACGCGTGTGATAATGTTGGGCAGGGCTGCAGATTTACCTGCTGCAGCTCCATAATTTATGTGCTGCTGATTCAGGCTGCTACCGCTTTTGAAACAGCGCCCTCTAAAGGACGGATGTTTAACTGCAGATGCATGCATGCCTATTACTCCACGTCAAACGCTACAAATGTAAAATGTGATTAGAAGTTAAGTTTAAAAGCCATAATTGTATAATGTTACCATATGTGGCAAGGTGGATAAACGAGGGCCCGGGCAGGATTCGATCCCCAGACTCCCAGGTGAGAGTCATACGCTCTAACCAGTCAGCCAAAGGAGCATCTCATTGGCCATGAAGCCAGGGCGCGTCATCAATCGGGACACTGTGACAGGACACTCACACTGTCACATCTCCCCCCCTCTTTCCACAAGCACGTCCTCGTGCTCCCGCGCAGGGTGCCACAAGCCAGTACCAGTTAAACCGAGGAGTTCTTCACTCTTACTGCAGAGGGGATGAATGACCTACGGTAGCTGTTGGGTAATTTTATTAGTCAATCCAGCATTACCTCAAAGAAAGTCCAACACACACAAGGGGGTTGGATATATCAGGTTTTAGATTATACCAATAATCAATCACCAATAATCAACAACCAGACTTTGCAAAATCGGAGAGAATGAAGATACACACCAGTGGGCTGTCTGTTCAGTCTCTCGACAAGCAGACACTTGTCAAAAGGTTTTATTGAAAAATTACATAGCACACACACACATTAAAGATAAACACACCCACCCCCTTCACAGAAAGAAAACCTTTCCCAGGTGCTTGGTATAACGGAGAAAGTTCCGTCTGGACTTCACTAGGGAGCTTTGTGATAACAGGTCCTGCAGACCTGCAAAGCAAGGTCCAACCTCCCTGCCGGAGCCACAATGTAATAACAAAATTTAATGAGCATGGAATGAACCTTCGTTTGATTTAAAAACACCAGATGGTACCCAGACAAAATCATTTCCATGCATCCAATACTGTTTTTACCCAACAGTAGCGTTCTGTTTTACTGTTGGGATGTCTCAATCTGCCTCTGAAGGAGCTGTCCATGGTCTCCACAGTGGAATACAGTGGGTGGGTGGGTGGGGTTGACCAAGATGGAAGTCATCTTCCCCAGCATCCTTCTTTCACACATCTCCTCAACTTAATCTAGTTGGCAGCCCAGAACTGAGCTAGTTTTTTCAGTCTCTTTCCGTCTCGGTCAGAGCTGCCTGCACCCCAGCAGACCACAGCAGAGCGGATAACCGAGCCAACAACAGCATGATTAAAGGATTTTAGCAGCTGGGAATTACCTCCGATGGACCTCAGCCTCCTCAGGAGGTGAAGGCGGCTTAGGCCCTTCTTATACAGAGCATCTGTGTTGTTGGGCCTGTTCAGTTCACTGTTGAGGTGAACACCCAGGTATACCAAGGTATCCACCACCTCAATAGTTCTCTTTCACAAACACTGCAAGTGCATCATCGACGGGGAATCTCTTATCCTAACTAGTTCAGATTTCATACAAGCCTTTTATATTTGCTCGTTATAAAATTCAAAATGGACACTGACAACCACGTAAGATACAGCAATATGATACTGGAATGCAGAGCTGCCCTCCAATTTCAATAAATTACAGCGATATTGCATTACATCATCATGATATTATTGTTCTAACATTTCCATGTTCTTGTTCTTACAATAAAAAAATTCACTTTGAAACAATATAAGGTTCTAACAACATACACATGTATGATACTGAATATATAATAACGTGAATGGTAATTATGTTGTACGGCTGTGATAAATATCAAAATTACCGTATCGACTCGAATATAAGACGAGGTTTTTTTCATTGAAAATAATTTTAAAATGCGGGGTCGTCTTATAATCGAGGTCTATCCACTACATGCCCGTAACAGCAGAGGGCGCCGGGCTGTGTGTTCTCAACAGGAGAAAATGGATGGCAGTGAGGATGACGTTCTGGGAGGAGTCAGCAGGTGTAGCGATCTGATGGTACACCTGGACCGCAGCAGCATGAGAGTGAGTACAGCGATTCAGAGGGCGTCTGAATAAAAGCCTCATTTGACTTTTGATTTCATTTGTCAGCAAAGATCTGACGGTTTGCATTAAAATAGTATTTTTGTTCAGTATTAGTTCTCAAAATTTCAATGAAAATAGTTTATTTAAAAACTGATTTTTTTTTGGCCTTCCTGAAGATTAGTCTTGGAAAGGGGGGTCGTCTTTCAATCGGGTTGTCCTGTTTTCGGGTCAATACCATAAATTGTTTGAACAATAAATGTTAACGTAGCATCGCTCTAATTTAATTTAGCGTTTGTGGCAGTTCTAAGCTAACGAGCTTCTGCACCGTTTACTTGTCATGAACACCTACAGAGCTTACATTTTAGCAGAGATTGTTGTGGACAGCTTACCAGTGGGTGCTAACGTAGCATCATGGTCCAGTCTTGTCGCCTTCTTTGCCTTCTCTAGCTCCTGGTTCTCCAATTCCTGTGCTGCACAAACCGCTGTTTGTGGTTCAGAACATGTATGCTCCTGGGGTGACTTTGTACTGCAACTGAGTTAAGACGGCTAACACTTAGCCCCAGCACTTAATCCTTACCGTGGTGTCTGCTGCAGACATGAGTACTTCATCTTTAATTAACAAAACTGAGCCCCTCCTCACGCTTGATCACCCTTAGACAGTTTTGTCTTGCATCGATGAGTGTCGGAAACAAATGGAGGTAGGGCTGCTTTAGAGCATAAGACAAAAAGCCTTTCACACCGCAGTATCGCTGCAATAACATTTGTTTTCCCTGTCACCAAGTGTGCTTACAAGCACATCAGAAAACCGAAGTATTGCCCTAAAAAGACTCGTCCATTTTTTAATTGCATGTAAACGTGTTAGTCTCTCTGAAGGCGGACTGGTTTTAATCGAGCTGAAGCACCCATATAATGCGGTAGCAATCCGATTATATCCTGCATGTAAACGGGTCAGCCGATCTAAACCGGTAGGACGCTCGTGTTCCGGAATAAACGAGAATGAGAGGCGGTCTTCTGACAAGACCATCGCAAAGCAACACGCGTAACACCATAAAACAGGACAGTAGATGCCAAGTAAGCTGTGCTGCAGCGTTGTTGTTCATTCCTTCAGCCATTGTGCATTTCCTGTTTCAATTCTGTCTGCTTCTCTCCCGCCAGCCTCTGTTTAGTGCTCTTGTCGCTAACCAGAAGAATGCTGACATGAAAAGGGGTGTGTTGCCACCTACTCAGGGTATCTGCAGGTCTTTAAAAAGTCTTAAATTAGCTTTTCCAAATTTAAGGCCTTAAAAATCCTTAAAAATGACAAATAATCCTTAAATACAGTTTCCAAAGGTCTTAAATTACCAAAGACCCAATAAACACGATTCTTTTATTTCTACAAAGTTTTCGTGAGTTTCTAGTTAGTGTTCAGCATTTTTTGTGTACGATGTTGGCGTAAGCGGAACTACTTTTAGATTAGCACGCTAGTGGGAGTTAGCGCCATGGGGAAGTGCAACATTAATGGTAACTGGATGGCTAATCCCACGTTTGCTACGTGGTTAGCACCGGTTCCAGGCAATAGCTGGAAATTAAAGCTTAAATTTAATTTAAAAAAATAGCTTAAATTTGGTCTAAGTGGCCTTAAAGAAGGTCTTAAAAAGTCTTAAATTTGGCTCCTTTAAACCTGCAGATACCCTGCTACTGTACCGGAGTAGAATGAGCTTTATATCAGGGGCCGGTTTTCTAAACTAGGATCAAGACTCCCAGCTTATTATTATAAGATCGACCTGGATCGATATAGATGTCAGTCAGATGCTGACCTTCTGCAAAGCACGCACGACCTTGGTTCACAGACACATCTTCTAGCTAGCTTCACCAGTGCTCATGTAACCACACTGACGGATGTGTTTCCGTTTAAACACCCAGGAAGTGTGAAAAAGGTCCATGTCTGGACCCTGGATGCTCACTGGTGAGTGAGGAGGCATCTTTATCTAGAAGTCAATTACCATTTCGTTTATATGAAAAACTCACAGCAACCTTCTCAGCTAGAAGAGTCCTAGTGTGGAAAAACGATATCTTGATAAGTCACTAAATACAAAAACAATATCTGTAGCACATTTTGAAGCAAGTCTAATTTCCGGATCAAACAGCAGCAGTTGCTCGTTTTCTCCCTGGACTGGATCTGTCCTCAGCTGATCAGAATCAAAACATTGGATCTTTAATCTCCTGCGTCCTTCTGAAGGAGCATCTTAATCAGCTTTGTTTCTATTGCAGCTGTTAGCTAAACACGGCTAAATATAGCGTGCTACCGCTTCAGGAACGCCGCTCAGCTGCGACTGATCCATCGTGTGTACTTCACCTAAACCAAACTCCTGTTCCAGATGGATCTGGACAGCGTGGATTCAGGTAAAATACACGACACCAATAACAAATCATCTCATCAAGCTACCAATATTTCCTCATTTTTAATTCAGTATTTCACTGTTCAGATGGTCTCTGCAGACATACCTGTGTGTGCCCAAACACAGGAAAACATCAATATTGGCTCCTGAAACCAGAAATCTCCATCTAATCAATCGGTGAACACATTACTTTAGTCGTTACCCATCCCGATGGAGGGAGAGGAGTGAAGCGCTCGCCCCGTAACTACAATGTTGCTGGTCTGAGACCGGCTCAGTCTTTCACAGTCGTTGTGTCCTTGGGCAAGACACTCATCCCTCCTTGCCTGCTGCAGGTGGTCGAAAGGACTGGTGGTAATAATTGTAGTAATAATAATAACAATAATGGTGAATTTAATTTATAATGCCCTTTATATCAGGAGATCCCGAAGGGCTGCAGGAGAACAGAAACCTGGAAATTTAAGAAAGCTGTTAAAGGTTAAAACCATAGCTTATGTCGCTGCATCTTCCGGCTCTTGGAGAGTACAGACACTTTTTCCCTCCTCTCCTCCCTATCTTATCCCAAGGCTCTTTGTCGGTCTCTGGGTGCACGGTGCTTCTGCATTTTTTCTGGAACCTTGAAATTATTGAAAATGGACCTGGTCAGCTGGTCTTTCAACGCGATTGACAAGATTTTTTCAACGATGAGAACGGGAGAAGGGGCTCCCGGTTGCCCCTCTGGGACAGAGCCAGCTGGGCATATCATGGACTCCTGGAAACAGTGGAACCTGATCTGCCTCTCTCAGCTGTCTGTAGAGGATTCGGAAGACATCTGGATATTCGTGGTGTTGGTGTCGGGATTCCTGCTGTTTGGCCTGAGCGGTTACCTGGCTTACTGGAAAATTATTGAGCTTTCGAGGAATATTGGCTCAATCCTGGAGCTCAGGGATGGACTATACCGCTCTGTGAATACACAAACTCATATAATTGTCGAGATGAGTCGTAAGCTTGGAACTTTGGCTGAGATTCAGGCTCTGGCTCAGAAGGTGGATTCGATCAAGGATAGTGTTGACGGGACAGCACGGTTGGGAATAGATTAATTTACGCCATTATTGGGTCTAGAGGGGTTGGAGACCAACAGAACTTGAAGACAGAGAGGAAATTATCTCTGTCTGTCCCCAAAACAAGTTCTTATCTGAATCTGGTGCCCTTGAGCCTGTGAGGCTGAAGTGATTACTCCCCCTCAGTAGTAATGTGGAATGCTGCCGTCGCCATGGCAACTCTGTCTCCCTATCCTAGCCTGGGCGGGACTGAGACCGGTGAAGGCCGTGGAACCGTTTCCAGTAGTCACTGTGCTTTCTAACCCAACTACCTCCCTCCCCTGTCCAAACGGAGGTGACGAGCGCTGCTCATTGCGGCTGCATGCACTGATGTGAGGAGAGTCCCCAACTTGTAAATAACTTGTAAAGTTAGGAAATAATTTATGAGACCAAATAAGATTCTTTATTAAAGTCACAAAAGGCACATCTTGTGAGGAACCTTGTGCTTCTGCAGGCAGGTAGCCTGGCCTGCCAGACTCCTCCTCTGTTTAATTCTGCACAGAGAGAGTCTGGGAACTCTATTCAAATACCCCCCGTGAGAATTCTGACCGAGCCAATCAGCGCTGAGTATCCTGCATCACACACCATAATGCCGAATTTGTCATAAACATGGTGACTGAAGTGGAGCTCTTTCCTTTCTTCTAGATGATTTAACCATGTCTTTAAAACCAAACGAGTAGAAGCGCTCAAAGCCTTTCTTCTAAACAAAGATCTTTGGTGTGTTCTTGCTGTGTTTAGTTTCAAATTCCATCTTTCAGTTCTTTTTAAAACACAGAAAAGGTTTAATTACCTGCAACGTTTCGTTTGCGGCTGCAAACCTCATCAGGCTGATGCCGATAGTGACCAATATCTATTATTGACAAGAACCACAACCAGTGATAACCCTACCATACATCAAAGGCATCTGGTGCACCATCGAGAGCACCCTGACCAACTGTATAACAGTCTAGTATGGGAACTGCTCCGCCTCGGACCGGAAGGCGTTGCAGAGGGGCGGGAAAACTGCCCAGCGCATCGCTGGAGCACCACTTCCTGCCATAAAGGACATCTACAGGAAGCGGTGTCTGAAAAGGGCAGGGAAAATCATCAGAGACCACAGTCACCCATCACATGCACTGATCACCCTGCTGCCCTCTGGGAGGCGCTACAGAAGCCTCTGGACTAAGACCACCAGGTACCGGAACAGTTTCTTCCCCACAGCTGTCAGACTCCTGAACTCTGCCTCCTGACATATGACCCACGTTAAACTCATGGACTGCTGGTAATAACTACAGCCTGTACATACTTATAGTCATAGAATATTCATAACATACTTAATACCGTGTACATTATAGCATACGTAAGGGATCCATTTCTGTAATATACTTACACATCTATATTATTGCTAATATATATTGTAATACATCTATTTCACGGCTAAAGCACTTTCTGGATGGATGTAAACTGCATTTCGTTGCCCTGTACCTGTACATGTGCAATGACAATAAAGTTGAATTCTATTCTATAACAGAAAAAATAAGAGCAACAATGAAAAAACACAACATAAACACACCAACAAAACCATACACAACAGTTAGAAACAGACTAGTGCACCCAAAAGATAAAATATCAGCTGGACTGAAATGTGGAGTCGTTTACCAAATCCCATGCAAACTCTGCAATAAAACATACATAGGAGAACCCGGACGCCAACTCAACACACGAACAATAGAACACAGAAAGGAGTGTGAGAAAGAGGCAAATCGAAAACACACAAGAGCAACAAAAGAAGAAGCAGAAAGTACAATAAAGAAGTCAGCCGTAACAGATCACTGCTTAAGAGAAAACCATGTAATGGACTGGGACAACACACGGATCATAAACACCCAACAACAAAAATACAAAAGATGGATAAAAGAAGCTATAGAGATAAGGAGACGTGGATGTGGGACCATGAACAGAGACGATGGAGTTTACTCATTGGACCGCGCATGGGACTGCATCATTGGAGAGGGGAGAGCGGGCAGCAGAGGGCGACAACGTCCTCTGCTGCCCACGGATAAATGGAGAAGGAAGTGACGCCACCATCGGCGTCAGCCTGAGGAAGTCTGCAGCCGCAAACGAAACGTTGCAGGTAATTAAACCTTTTCTGTGTTTTAAAAATAACTGAAAGATGGAATTCTAAACAAAGATGTTTGCACTGTCGCCAGACTCCATTTTTACAACAGCTATAAAACTACAGCGTCGCGGACGTCGCACACAGCGACGCTCAGTTTCTCATAAACAACGAAGACGGCAGCGGAGTTTGCTACGACTCTTTCCTCTGTTCTAAATGACTCAAATGTCTTCAAAACCACATCTCTAAAAGCATTTCTTCTAAAAAAAAATAAAATAAAAGATGTCTGTGCCGTTGCCAGATGCTATTTTTTTTTACTACAAATAGAAAACTACTGCATAGTGCGGTACAGTCGGAATTTCCGTCTTTTTTCTGATTGGTCATTTTTGAGCTGCCTAGTCCCGCCCCTCAAGTGCCTCTCTGCCTGTCAGTTACCAGACTTTCTCTGTGCAGAATTAAACAGAGGACGAGTCTGGCAGGCCAGGCTAACACTGTACAACCGTCCATTCACCTACTCGACGGTGTGCAAATATCTTGCGTGTTGAACCAAAGATTTCAAATTTTGATTCATCAGTCCGTAATACCTTCTTCCACTCTTCAGTAGTCCAATGGCGGTGTTTCATGGCCCAGGCAAGCCTCTTTCTCTTATTCTGATGTCATACCAGTGGCTTTCTCGCTGCAACTCGCCCTGTCAAACCTGCCGCTTCTTCTCTGCACAGTAGAATGTGAGACTTGCTTACTATGACCACTGTTGAGCTGTGCTTGAAGCTGTTGTCCTGTGAGTCACCTATCACACAAGCTGTTAACGCTCAGAAACTAGTCCTCTGATGCAGTTGTGGCTTTGGGTATGCCAGACCTCTTCCTGTCAGAGTTTGCCCCAGTTTCTGAGTGCCTTTTGATGTGAAGGAAACTACTGATACCTTGACTTTCTTTGCAATTTCTCTGTAGGAAAGACCTACATTTTCAAGTGTTATGATGGTCTGTCTCTCTTCTATTGTTAATTGCCTTTTTCTCGTCATTTTTGTAGCAACACACTATTACCTGCAGTACAATACTGTTCCACTGATGCTCACGAGGGTATGGTACCACAGTATGTTCCAACACTGCTTTTATGCAGACAGAGGGGGTTGTAAGTAATCCAGAAAAGTTGGACTACCTGTGGGAATTAGTAGCACCAGCTTTCAAGGCTTGATCAACCTCCATCGCTGCAGAACAGCTGTGTTCCCTGAAAAAGGCCTTTTTGTATAATTCTGAAAAGTACATTATTTTTCAGTTTTGAGTAACCCTACCTTTTTTTAACCCCTGGCAGTTCACCATTTAACTTGGAACCATTTCAAGCTATTCATTGGACTTGAAAGACTTAAATTGCAATAAAAAACTGGAAAAATTGGTACGTTCTAAAACGTATCCATAATTAAACTGTAAAATTTAATGTATTTCATTAACACATTCAGTAGTAAGCTACTGGAAATGCTGATAACATTTTATTTCTACTTCTAAAAATGTAATGGTGACTTATCTATTATGTACAGGTTAGCAATAATCCAGTATGAATCACGTTCAGAGATTGACGCGTGTGTGAAATATATGCTACAGTGGCTTGCTATAATCCTGCAGCAGTATTTAGCAGAGCAGATGTGAAACAGAAACCTGACTGCAGCGGTTGTGCTCCGTAGCGCTGCCGACAGCTAAGAATAAACAGGATGATGGAGACTTTTCATCCACTTGTAGAGTTTAGATATTCTTAGTTTCATGACCATCGTGTTTTTTAGGAACCCCACTTGTTAGCCTGCTACCAGCTAGCGTTAGCTAATCTGCCCATAATTGCACTTTTGAACCCAAACTGTGGTCGTTTCTGCCTTTGTATCTTTGCTGGTTTCTCTGTTTCCCTCCACAGCACCTAGATTAGCACATTGTGCTCTAGTAAAAAGCATCTTCCTTACACAATAACAAGCAACTTACCTTTGGTCAATAAAGTTTTGCGGAAACAAAGTAACTTGAAAAGATGTTGCACAAATGCTACGTCTAAAAATAGTTTATCACAGTTTTTTTCATCGCACGTGCAAATTATGTCTCTCGTTCTGATCTGCCTTGGTCTGCTCTGCTACCACATACAAATGAGCTGCACACATGTTGCATGACACGTAAAACAGTTGCACAACACAATGAATCGATGAAGAAATGCGTTGGCAATGCATTTCTTCATCGATTTTAATTGATTTGTCGTTGCAGCCCAAATAGAGACAGATGATTCCCAGTGGCGATGCCTGAAGGGAAAAGCCGAAAGACAATGAAAAAGTAATTACTTTTTAAGGTGGCGTATCAGATTTGTAGTGTTTAATGCAGTTCTGTCTTTCCCACCAGGGAAAAGGCCCAATATGCACAGATTTTTGTTCTGCTGAGGCAATATATTAGCTCTGCTACTACCTAACGGTTTATGTTGTTCGAATCCCCTGCCTGCCATAAAATGTGTGATGTTACAGTGTTGTCGTCTATGCAACAATGACTATTAATGAAGAGGAACTTGCCGATATAAAAACTGAGCCTTTGTCCCCTAATTTTCAAAATTTATCACAGAATGGATTTCAAAGGTTGTTTGTTTCATAAGCTTAAATCCAATCTTTTACACCTGATTTCAATCCATTGATAATAACATAATCGGATTGGTGCATCTCTTAATACAACTGGTATTTTAAATATAAATTTACAGCAGTCAGTAAATCACATTGTGTGTCCTTGTTTCCTACAGCTATTCAGCAGATGGTGTTGGTTAAAGAACAGGGTGCTGGTATGGACCATCAGGACCCAGAAAACCTCCACACAAAGGAGGAACAGGAGGAACTCTGGACCAGTCTGGAGGAAGGGCAGCCCCATTTCAAGGAGGAGACTGATGCCACAAGGTTTCCATTCACTGTAGTTTGTATAAAGGAGGAACAGGAGGAACTCTGGACCAGTCTGGAGGAAGAGCAGCTCCATTTCAAGGAGGAGCCGGATGCCACAAAGTTTCCATTCACTGTAGTTTCTGTAAAGGGTGAGGAGGATGATGATGAAGAGAAATCTATGTTCTCACATCTTCATCAGCAGCAAATGAAAGACAGTGATGTTCCAACCAGCAGCTCAGCTGACCAGATGACAGCAGGCATTGGTAGAGGAACAGAAACAGGCAAGAACCCAAATCTGAACCCTCGGAAACAGACTTCCGATTCTTCAGAGACTGAAGTTAGTGGAGATGATGAAGAGGATGATGTGAATGTTGTCTCTGAGCTGTCAGACTCTGGATCTGAAGCTGTAGACGGAGACCATGACTGGAATGAGAGCAGGTCTTCTGAGTCTTCGGGCTGTTTGGTTATTAAGAAATGTGTTCAAGTGAAGCAGCACATAGAAACATGCAGGGAAGTCAAGACGGAACAAAAATCATTCAGTTGTGATGACTGTGGGAAACTATTTAGCAGAATAGCAAGTTTAAAAAGTCACATGAGAGTCCACACAGGAAAGAAACATTTTGCCTGTGAGCTCTGTGGAGAAATATTTAGCCAAAAGACACATTTAAATGGGCACATGGTAGTACACACAGGACAGAAGCCTTTTGCTTGTGAGTTCTGTGGACAAAGATTTAGCCAAAAGACATATTTAAACAGTCACACCAGAGTACACACAGGACAAAAACCTTTTGCGTGTGAGCTCTGTGGACAAAGATTTAGCCATAAATCAGCTTTAAACAGACACTTTAGAATCCATACAGGACAAAAACCTTTTGCTTGTGAGCTCTGTGGACAGAGATTTAACCAAAAGACTACTTTAAACGTTCACTTGAGAGTCCACACAGGACAGAAGCCTTTTGCCTGTGAGCTCTGTGGACACAGATTTAACCAAAAGACAACGTTAAACGTTCATATGAGAGTCCACACAGGACAGAAACCTTTTTCCTGTGAGCTCTGTGGACAAAGATTTAGCCAAAAGACATCTTTAAACGTTCACATGAGACTCCACGCAGGACAGAAGCCTTTTGCCTGCGAGCTCTGTGGACAAAGATTTAGCCGAAAGTCAACTTTAAACGTTCACATGAGAGTCCACACAGGACAGAAACCTTTTCCTTGTGAACTCTGTGGACAAAGATTTAGTCAAAAAACAAATTTGAACTTTCACATGAGAGTTCATACAGGACAGAAGCCTTTGCCTGTGAGCTCTGTGGACAGCAATTTAGCCAAATAATGACATTAAACAGACACATGGGAGTACACACAGAACACAGCTGTTATTCCTAAAGGTTTATTAAAAGACAAAAACGGTATGAACTATGGTGTTTTTCATGAGCAAAATGTCACATTATTCATAACTAAGATCAAATTGGATCAAATATATGAAGTATTTAAAAACTACAGTTCCGATTTCCCTCCCAGTTCCCCCCAATAGACAAAAAGGTCAGTGAGCTAAAAGGACAGAAAATAGTAAAGCAATCCCTTTTCACTAAGCCTACTTTGAAAGCTAAAACTGCTAGCACTGGACCTGTTAAGCTAGGCAGATACTGTGTGACTTTTTCACTCGTAGCATTCAGCTTCAACATAAACTGTACAACTTCCCCGCAGAGCAAATCTCAGGAGTCATGTTCACTCTCTCTGGCACAGAGGGCGCAGGGCAAAGAGGTGCCAGCTGCGGTGGTGAAGGTGAACGGGACCATGGTCGTGGAGGCTGATGTCTGCTTCCAGCCTGGCAGCAGGCCTGTGCAAGCAAGGCGCCTGCATATACTAATAATAGTCGCCAACAATTTCCCATGCCTTTTTGTGAATATCTCTATATACTTTGGTAGGAATATTGTACAGTTCTGGGAAATCCATCACAGCAAGTATCAAGTTCTCCTTCATTTTTGCTCGGAGATGTACGGAGCATTGTGTCCGCTCATTGGTCAGTGAATGAAACCTCCGTTGATTGGTCCTCGTCCGAGTGACAGCGATGAAAAGTTGAAAATATTTCAACTTTCTGGGATCGCGTCGCTGGGTTGCCTGTACACGACACGTGCGCGAGCGCAACATTTCACACGCGCGTTTTTCGCGTTTCGCTTAGTAGGAGGGAGACCCGCGATTATCGCTTTGTCGTGCATGTCTCATTGAAAATGAATGGAGGAGAGGCGATGTCGCCTCCCATGTATTGAGCCCATTAGTCTTTGCTCCTGAGCCTTCAGCCCGGTGACACCTTACCTCCCCCTCCTGCTTTTTCTGATGATCACGCTGACCAAACCATCCCCCCAGATACACCATCTCCATTGTTGCTTCTGACTCCTTGTTCAGGGTCAGGGACTCCAGTTGTGCTGAGGAACTGGAGTTTGAGTAACGTTCCTCACATTTCAGAGCAGGACTCCCTGTTGGAGACAGGACCTGGTCTGTCCTTTGTGAAACGGACAGTTCAGTTGGCCTTATCCAGACTTGGCGTTCATAACCCTCCTGCAGACACTACTGCTTCCAGCCCCTTTTTTAAGATTGCCAACGTTTACTGGGCCATCCTCACAACCATACATTGAGGAACTCCACCGCTGCTGGGAGATCCCAGATCTGCTGCCCGTTTTTCACAGGACTGCAGCGCTCTTAGATCTATGATTTTTTTCTTATTTCTGGGGACCCATGGTCCGGAAGTAGATAAATGTGACTAAGGCTACCTATGACGATTGTTTTCCTCTGTGTGAACTAGAATTCTGCACAGGTTGTTCCAATTATACTTGGAGGAATAAAGTGTCCATCATACAGATCTTCTGCACAAAGATGTTAGCTGGTTGAGCAGAGCACACCATTTAGCGATTTACTGAGCTGAGCTGTTGCTGGAAATTAAGGGTCAGCGGTGGCTTTTGGATCTGTCATCTCTTACAGACTTAACCAGCCTGTTCGAAGAGCTCAGCACAGAACAAAAAGTTAAAGATTGAACAAACATGATCAGCTCTGTCAACACGTTTAAAAGCAAGTTGCTACTGCTTTTTAGCAGGCTCCAGCTGTGTGACCTACTTTGTTACATGCAAGCAGAGCTACAGATGCAGTTAGGCTGTCAAACAGCTTGACCCTGCACAATACCATCACCAGATTCAAAGCCTCTTGACAGAGGTGCTTAATCGAACCTGTTGGTAGCTTTTAGTGTTTCTCATTTAATGGAATTATTTATTGATGAGATGGTCTCCAAAACTACAACCCTTTTCAACCTGGAATGCTTTGCTGTGGAAAAAGGAGGTATTAATTCACAAATGACATTGAAATAAAATCCAATGCAACATCTAGTGTGAACCGACTCTTCTGGAACCCTTTGCTTAAGGAAAAATGTCCTCATTTCAGAAGATGGGATTTCAACTTGTCAGCACTTACTGGGTCTACTTATTTGTGCAAATGTGCATTCTCCCATGTGGAACTGGTCAAATCAAAGTACAAATCTACCATGACTGATATGGGCCATTCCCATCTGTACCGGGTCAGCCCGGGCCGGGTAGCCCCAGCCTGGCCTGGCTGATTCCACACATCCCTGTCTTAAGCCCATGTGGGCTGATTCTACCCACCAATCAGAGGCTTGCTCTAATGGAAGGTGTGAGTTTGCTGTCAGCAGTGGGTGTGTTGGCCCTGGTCGGCCTGAAGCAGACCCCCTCGAGAAGAGGGCTGAGAATGAGCCTTGGTTGGCCCGGAAAAATACCAGGCCACCCAGATATGTAAACAACCTACGCTACCGGCCCGGGCCGACCCGGTACAGGTGGGAATGGCCCAATAGACAAATTATGGCCTGCCTAGGGCTTACAACCAGCTCCTACTGCCTTGACTATTAGAAACTAGCTACCTCCTCCCAGCGTCAGAAGTCCCACTAAGGTAGTACCAGTATGAAGTTTTCTTTGTCGATTTCTGCTATAACTGATGTACATTTGCCTATAAAATAGTTTTATTTCTAATTTTCAAATCTTCATGCCAAATGGCAGATTTCAGCTGAATAAAAGAAAGTTGTAAATCCTGTATATAGTAGATAGGCTGGTATTAATGTCATCACCCATATGGGTCAGATGCACAAACTTATTTTGTGTGGAGCCTTTTGAGGACTGGGGTAGGTGCACATATGCTTACTTGCTTCAGCCGACTCCTTTTGAGCACACGGATGTGAACGTTTCTGTGTAAAAGTATGATTGTTATGTTGCTCAAATAAACCACTCAATCCAGTTTAGACGTTATTTTGTGTTCTTTGATGTGATTTTCTTTTTACTTTTTGTACTTAAGAACATTAAGTCTGAGCCTGCACTTTTTTAAAGCTAAAGCTATGTTTTTAATGTTGTGCTCATTTTTGTTTTATGGCTTTATTCATCTTTTAATCTTAATCAATTTCCCTCTGGGATTAATAAAGTATTTTTGAATTGAATAGAATTTTACTGCCTTTTAAGTGTTGGATTTCTGCATTTTACTACAGCTGTTTTATTGTTTTAGTTGTCCTTAACACTTTGTTCAGCACCTTGGGTCCCCTGGATTGGGTGAGGGAAGGGGCTTTATAAATAAAGTTAAAGTTTTTTATTTAGGTAAAGAAGTTAACTGAGTTGTTTTTACACAGGTATCTGTACTTCTAATGAAGTAAAGAATGTCAGAACTTTTTTCTTCTCTGCCTTTTTATTTTAATGGGACTTGTTCACTGATTCTGCCAAGACCTAGATTCTCACAATTTGGGGCATTCTTAACTGTATTGTTTGTAAAATTTGCATTTACTGAATAAGTACTTAAGTACTTCAATAAAATAAAGTACTTTGATAAAACCATCAACAAATGTCTGCTTTTTTTAATTCAAATCATTTCATAGAACAAAAAATGATCAGTTACACATGGTACATAACTACGGTTACGTGTTGTAACCCCTGGTTCTGTGAGTCTAGGCGCAGCCCTTTAAGGCTGGATAACATTCTCTGTTAGCCATGAATCACTGAAAAGCTTTTAGAATATGCCCACCTACTGTGGACCCTATTCCGGTATAAAAGGGGTGCAAGCCCCTCTATCTCCCCAGGCTCCTGACCCTACCCGAACTGGTGGGAACCGGTTAAAGAGCTGCAACGATAAAAATAGAGGCCTAGTCCACACGTAGACGATTTTTTAAACGAATATCCTCCCCTCCAAAAACTTGCATCCACACCACCTCATTTAAAAAAAAACTCTGTCCACACGTACCCGGATAAATACGTTGTTAAGGACATGCCAGACCTGTAGGCGGCAGTACTTCCCCCGTTCTTAACATCGTCCTTCGTCTGTGGTCTTCCACAAGGAGCAGTAATTCCGCTTGCAAAAACAAACAAGCAAGAAGCGCTTGGACAATTGATAAAGCGAGCGCAGCTCTGAGGGCATCCATGCTGTCGGCTAGTGTAAACACAGGTCGCACACGTGATGTCAGCATTTTTTTGTCGCGGAAAGTGACGTTGCGGACCTTAAAACTCCGGTTTTGTCTGTCCAGACGCAGACACCCAAAACAGAGAAAACGCAGATCTTCACTTTGGCCGGAGTTTTTAAAAAGATCCGTTTTTGTGTGAAAAAACTCAGTTTTCGTGTGGATGACAGGCCAAAACGAAGAAAAATATCTACGTTTTGGCAGATCCCCGGCTACGTGTGGACAGGGCCAGAATCTGGGGTTACAATACGTAACCATTGTTCTATTTTGTATAGGCTCCGCCCTTTGAGGCAGCTGTTGGATTAAAGCCCCAGTGTGTGATATTTTTACCTGTTTACTATCAAATCCTATGTTTACAGTTCACAAACGTGTCCGTTTTCACTAATATTTCTCACCAACATCAATTCTAAATATTCCTCAACATAAAATGATACATTTTTATATACATAAACTGTGGTCGAGGCTCCGTGGTCATCCACCATCTTAAAATACAGTAGCTGTTTAGGGACATTCGAGCTCCACGTTACCTGTTTGGACTATGACTGTAACCTGAAAGAACCAGCAGAGGGCAGCAGTGCGCCCTGGAAGCATGGAGTCTGCTAATTCAACTAAGACAGAAAGGAATAGCTACATCGTTGCTGCACTTGTTAGTTTGAATAACAAACAATTAAATCAAAAGACACATAAAATTTGTCAGTTCGTCATCATGTCCAGCACAATGTTCAGATCCCCGCCCGCTATTAGCTGGACACCAGCCTCCGATTAGTGTCTCTGACTCCTAAACTCACCTCAAGTTGTTCATTCATCTTTTCTTAGTACCAGAACTCCTGATCCGGTCCCAACGTGTCCTTTCCAAAGTCCTGCTACTCAAGACTCCTCTCTTCCCGCAGCCTGCCGTGTCACCCAACACGCTCCAGCGCTCGTCCGCTAGCCAGTGAAGCGCCTCGTGATTTTTATCTTGAGAGGCGCTACAGAAATGATATTTTCTTCTTCTTCTTCTTCTTCTTCTTCTTCTTCTTCTTCTTCTTCTTCTAATTCAGTGGCTAAATCAGCATTGTTTATTTTATCTCCACAACACTTTACTAATGGTGGCAGACAGAATATTCCAGGGGAACAGAATTTCTCACAACACCTGACCTCCCGGCTGACGTCACCCTTCCTCTGTGTGTGAATCGTGACAGCTTCAATATCTAACAGAACTAGCTTGCTTCCTTCAGGACTAGTAGGTTGATAAAACAGTCATAATTATAAATGCTTATTAAAAGTGGTCGAGTTGTTTCAAGCTTTTGTGGGTTAGGCTAGACAGGTTGGAAATTGATTATACGATAAAACTCGTGAGTGAGCCGCCATAGTTGCAATACTTTCTCTGAACTGTATGGCGCTAAAGAATCACATTTTTTCATCAAGATTTCAGTGGATTTCACACACGGGGCCTTTAAAGGCAGAAAGCCAGGACGAGGAAGTGAAGGAGTAACGCTGTATATTCACACAGCAGGGAAACCTAGGAAGTTTGCCTGATGGCAGCTCATTCAAGCACAAAGATAAGTGACACCCAACCCAGCAGGTTAACAAACACCAGACAGGAGGTGTGGGTTAGTAAATGCACAGTCTGGCTGCGCAGTGGTTAGAGCTGTTGCCTTGCAGCACGAAGGTCCTGGGTTCGCTTCCCGGCCCGGGATCTTTCTGCATGGAGTTTGCATGTTCTCCCTGTGCATGCGTGGGTTCTCTCAGGGTACTCCGGCTTCCTCCCACAGTCCAAAAACATGACTGTTAGGTTGGTTGGTCTGTCTAAATTGTCCTTAGATGTGTGTGTGTGTGTGTGTGTGTGTGTGTGTGTGTGTGTGTGTGTGTGTGTGTGTGTGTGTGTGTGTGTGTGTGTGTCTGTGTTGCCCTGCTATGGACCGGCTCTCTGTCCAGGGTGTACCCCGCCTGATTGCCCATTGACCGCTGGAGGTAGGCACGAGCCCCCCACGACCCTGCGTGGACAAGCGGGTTCATCAAATGGATGGATGGATGGATGGATGGATGGATGGAAATGCACAATCTTGGACCAGATACATGGCAGGATACCACAGAACAGCACTACGCCCTCTGTTGTCCTGACAGGGAATTGCTTTAGAAACCAACTTACAAGACAAAGCATACTTCCAGAAAGCTGTGTGTACAAAGTTGTAGATGTTCAGAAATGGTTTTAATAAATCTGACATTTTAGTTGATCAGCTTTGTACAATTTATTAGGTCCGTAAGGACGGAAGGTGGGAAAAAGCACAAGAAGGACCATGCTGGGTGTGGCTAACAATGCTGATTGGAGTGGTTACAGCCTTTATGGGAAGAAATAGAAGAGTGTGAGCTTAAAATTTATAAGCTAATCAAATGTGAGTTGATGCGTTCTACTGGACTTTTATTTTATAGAATTAATTTTATTAAATCTATTCACACCTGCCAAAACAGTTCCACTAATATTAAAGTTTCTTGTCCACCACCTGTCTGTTTCCAGGTGCTTTGAAGACCTCACTTCCAGAATCCACTGAAGAAGAACCAGAGGTGCAGATCATGGAAGTGCTTAAGCATGCTCCTCACAAAGTCAGAAGAGAGGTAACTGATTTGTGACCTAATTCTTGTTGGAGACATTTTTGTGCAATTTACTTACCATTATTTATACTTTTTAAAATGTAATCCTTTAGGCTGAGGCACAACATAAAACCAAACAGGAGGCCCGTTTTTCTGATGAGAACTAAGTCTGTCATCCATCCAACCAACCAACCATCATCCATTGAGCTGCAGGGAGATGTGCAATACACACTCTGGACATGTTGGTGTCCAGAGGGTCATACAAATCAGCAAAATAACCATGTGTGTTAATTCCTTCTTATTTCAGTGCTTTTTCTCTAAAATTGTGTGAAAATGTTTTACTTTTGTGTAATAAAAACCTGAAAAGTCCACGTAGGAGCGTGAATACAAATAATGATTATAGTCGCTTAGTGGTTCACTTTTTATGTCAATCTTTATAGATTTAAAGTTGCTGAACTGTAAAGTGGAAGTATTATTTAAGTTTGAAATTTGGAATAAGGGGGAGTCTTATTGTGTGAATAAGAAAGAAAAAGGAAGAGAGAAAGGAGACGTTTCCCTGACAGACAGACAGAGTCTTGACAGGGACACCTGTTCAGTTTTTGAGTACCAGTAAACAGCTCTGAGGATTCTTAATCGTTTTTTGGATAAAGATAGAGGATGAGAGTGTCAGACTAATCTCCACACATTTTGGATTAACAGTCCGTTTATCGTCTTTCCACTGGGAAATTCCAGCTGATCCAACTGATCTGTTTTGCTGCTGTGACATCAACGTTTTGTCAGCGATGGAGAATAAAGGGATTTTCTATTGCAATAGTGATGAAATTTTCAACGAGGCAAAAAGTTCGACACAGTTTGAAAGGATACAATTACATGCTTTACTGGATTAATTGACTACAAAATTAATAAATCTGTATTTTATTATTATTAATGTTTCACGGATTCAGGGGAAGGCGCTGTTCCTGGAAATGGAAAAGCCCGTTAGTGCACATTCCAGAACAGTAGGTGGCGGTAATTCACCTAAAGTGCCATAACACCCACAGACGAAGACCACAGCTCTGCGCATGCGCCACTTTGGTTCTTTGCTGAGCTTCTTAAGGAAATGTCTGGTACGGTTTTCCGCTTGGATTTGCATGTTTATGTTTGTTTATACAGACGGTGTGGGTGTAGCAAAAGGCAGCTTTAAGGGTCAGTCTGAGATTGAGACACAGCCAAGACTCGTTTAAGCGTTGAATGGTTGTTTACAGACGTTTGTTCTAGATTTGTCTTTCACCGCGGTGAGGACTGGGTCACCACGGTCAGAGATGGGTTTTCATACCGAGAGCCCAGGCATCTACGCGGGTAGCTCTAGCCTGGAAGGTGTGTGTGTGTGTGTGTGTGTGTGTGTGTGTGTGTGTGTGTGTGTGTGTGTGTGTGTGTGTGTGTGTGTGTGTGTGTGTGTGTGTGTGTGTGTGTGTGTGTGTGTGTGTGAGCAATAACCTGTAAAATAATTAAAGTCACCATGGTTCTCTGTGGTGGACCACACCGGGTTCTGCCACTGGGAGCCGATGGGGGTAATAAATAATATAATAATAATAAATCTCACAAGACACAAAGTGGTGAGATTTTTAATTTCCTTTTTGAACTGTTTAGTCGCTTGAGAGTTTTAACGTTTTAAATCTGTTATGTTGTTACTGACAGCAGCTACATCTAGGTTTCAGTCACTCTTCTGACTGAATGGCTGCTGCAGCGCGTAGGTGTGTGCTCTCAGTCATCCTGGACATGATCGTCCCGATGTTTTAATGAAAAACAGCTGGACTTTTGTGGTTATGCTGGAAACATTTCACTCTCGTCCCGTTCCCAGACCCTGGTTGTGGTCAGAAACGAACACATTGATTGTGAAGTTAAGATTGTTTCATTAAGTAGGGCCAGTGGTTAGCTGGCTCATTTAAAACATGTAGGGTGTTTCTAGATGCCAAGGAACCTTGCCTTGATGTCTTGGCCCCTCCCCGGTTGCCTAGGAGATACGTCATCAGGAGCGCCAAGACGTGTTCCAATGTTCATGTTCTACCGAGGCGTGTGTTCTCCGTTTGTTAGCCGTTTAGCTAGCTGAGCGAGGATACACGGAAGGTGTCTTGTAGCCTAGCCTTGGTCAAATATTACCCACAATACACCGCAGTATTTTCAAAAGGATGGCGGATCAGAAGCCGGCAGCTACTTCAGGGACAATTTTCAAGTTTAAAAGTAAGTCAACTAATTAAAAAAAATTTTTTTAGATCCAAAGAAATTATCTATTGTTGGTTAGTTGCTTCGTAGTTGCAGCTTCGGTGGCTAGCAGGTAGTAACTCACTTATATTTTTAATTTAATAAACATATACACAATTTCAAAAGTAAAAGTCTCATTATATATTTATATTGAAACTAATACGTATAAAACATAACGTTATCTCCCGTGTCACGTGACGTTACACGCCCGCCGTGGAAGCCAACGCCAAAGAAGGACAGTGTCCTCGTAAGTAAGGCGCCTGGCCTCACAAGACATTGCCTCGCAAGGCCAGGCGCCTTGACATTGAGAAACACCGATAATGTCTTGAAAGAATCGGTATCAGGAATCATTAGGAACCAGAATCGAAATGAGGAAGTGGGATTGTTCAAATTCAAACTTTTAACCTAATCTGATATAGAACTGGTGGAAGCCAAGCCCCCACAATGCGGCTCAAAAATTGAGTCCAACCCGGAAGTACCAAAAATTGCAGTTCCACCCTCATCCACTAGGGGCTGGTGTCAGAAGCGAGCAAATCCTCATTGACTCCCATGTTAAAAATACCAATTTCACAGCATAAATAAACATGTTTACAGCCTGGTACCAAAACATGTTTTTGGTTTAAATGATCTAGTTTACACTCATGACAACTCTGAGGGGGGTGAATTTTTTCTCACTCTTGTGTTTAAGTGTATTAAAAGCCTAAAATTCTGTATAATTAATGAGCATCAGACCCACGTGACCACAGAGCTAGCTCCGTGGAAAGGCCTCAGTAGAGCCTCGGTCTGGCCTGGAAACTGTTCCGGGATTTTGAGTCTCTGTGTTTGTGTATTCTGTTTTGGATATTTTTTGTGCAATTGTTGGACAAAATGACTTGCTGTGGCATTAATTGATTTAATAGAGCGTCCAAGGAGCCTCCACTTCATTTTTTTCGGTAAGTAAAATTATATTTATGTATTTTAGGTCACTGCCGAGCTGAGCTTAGATGTTAACATGTACTGTTTAACCATGAAATTTAAATGTAATTGGGTAAAACCCAGTGCATTTAACATAATGCTGCACTTTAGAAAATGGGATGAAATATAACATGTTGGTGGAGCTGGGTTCCGACTATCGGCTTGTGGAGCTCTCGGGAGACCTCTGTTTTCCGCCCGTTCTCCCCTCCCCGCAGGTCGGCGCATCTCTGTCTGATCGCGGCTTCTGTCTGCCACGTGGGCTGCCGGCTTGTGGAGCACTGGGATGGAAACCTTTCCACCCGGCTCTCCCCAGCGGCAGCTCTGCGCATCTCAGATTGCAGCGGCGCTTGTCTGCTGTGCAGTTGCCGGCTTGTGGAGCTCTCGGGAGACCTCTGTGTTCCACCCGGGTTTACCCAGCGGTCAGCCCGGCGTGTCTCTGACTCAGAAGCTCTGGTGTTGTGCACAGTTAACTCCGGTTGTAGCTAGGTTGCTACCTCCGTTAGCTTAGCTCCCACCTCCGCGTTAGCATTGGGTTAGCTTCAGGTTAGCTTGTAGCTAGTTCAACCGGGTGTCGTCAGTTGATCCCAGCCTTACAGCCCCACCCTCAGCTCCACCTCTCTTCCCTTTTGTGGAATTGTCTGGGCTTGACGGAACCTGTGACACGGTCAAAATGGCGGTGGTGGCCACCTCCCATTTGGCCTCAAAAACGTGTTATTGGAGGCTATGGAAACCCATTGTCCAATATTTATATGTCGATGGTGGTAGCCAGTGTAAGTCCGCTAAAATGGAGGTAATATGAGAATGCCTGTTTGAGTTTGTAAGAAATCTTGCTGCCGCATTTTTGACTTTCTGTAGCCGGTCAACAGCAGACTTGTTTACACCCACCAAAGTGGAGGCAGCGTAATCCAGTCTTAAGGGAATAAAAGCAGACTTCAGATGAGGTCTTTTAGGGTTTGCTTAAGACGGGCTTTACAAGGTAATTTTGTGTGTGCGTGCATGCACTGCATGTTTGTCATTTGAATGCAGTTTGGTCTTTCCCACCACACATTACCACATTACCCCTGCATTAGCCTACGAAAGCCACTTTCACAGCTTTTTGAGCCTAGATTGGGTTGGGTCATCCCATCCCTGATCAGTGAGGTTTTGTGTTCATAGCCTACTCTGGAACGTGGATGTCTTCAAGCACATGGATGGGGAAAAAGAGGTCCGGAAAACTCTGTGTTGTCTTTTAGGCTTGGGCAGTATCCAATTTTTAATACTCTCCAGCTTCCTCCACGTTTTACCATGGTGTACGGTATTACTGGGACAAATTTAAAAAGGATGGCGTGGAATTACCAAACTGTTGGTTTGGACCTTCACTGTTCAGAAACTGATTAACAAACGCTATTACTAAAACAACATAACACATATAATATTAACAACTTTTATAAAACGTAGCTCAATAAAAGATTTTTGGCCTGAAAAACCAGCAAAGTTAACTTTTTCCGGCTTCAACGTTTGTAGGACGCTGTAGACCGACTGCTGAAAACCCGCTTCGATGAGCTTGTGGCACAGACATACGAGTACTTTGGGGCTAGTTGCGACATCTGGGGAGAATGGCATCTTATTTTCCTCCAGAAAAGTGCGTTGTTGTGTTTTTTAATAACAGGCTCCAATCAGAAGGCTGCTATTTCAGCTCCAGCTCACTCCTCTGCTGTGCCAACGGGGCGTTTTGTTTGCACAAATTACCTCATCAGTGTTTACCAGCTCTCCTTTTAAGGTTGCTTAGAACTAGGGCCTGACCGATATGCTTTTTTTGGGACCGATACCGATGTAAAACTTTTAACAAAGGCCGATAGTCGGTATAATGGCCGATAAATCTCCCTCACAAAAAAAAGAAATAAAAAATGTTCGTAAGCTTAAACCCTTCATTCTTAGCCTTTTTGATGCAAACTTATTTCTCTATTACACACCAAAGAACTGTCTCAATAACTCACAGGGCTTCCGGGTAATGCAAATAAGATTTATTTAGCAGATCTCAAAAACAACAGAACACACAAATTCAGTCACAGCATAAATCTAACATTCAAGCTTTTTCTTGTAAACTGGTTTCCACAAATACATTTTAACTTAAAGGAATATTCCACCACTCAGTAAAAGTGTGTCTTGTTAAGATTCCCCAGAGTTAGACAAGTCAGAAAAAGCATTTTATAACCAGCCCAATATGACCTGGCAGCAGTTGGGTTTCTTAGTTTAGCATAAAACAACGTAAGTGAATTCACATACACTGTAGTGTTTTTGTATGTAGGTGAATGCTAGCTTTATGCTTCCATTGCTTTATGCTAAAATAACTGGTTACAACATGTTTTTTCTGACTTGGCTAACTCTGGGGAATCTAACATCACACACACGTTTAGGGACAGAAGATCCCTATACGAATATTAAAATAATAAAAATGCAGCAATAAATAAAACGTAATACTTGTGCTTGTAACAAAGTAACACTCTGTGGAAGTTAACTTGGTGAACTTATTCACCCTGGACAGGAAATAACTGCACATAAGAAACATAAATAAGAATAAATAAATTTAAAAAAGTTCCAAAACAATAATTTGTATTCAAAGTTCAAAGGAGTGGAGCCACACAACATGAGTTCATAAAGCTGGCGCCATCTGCTGGATAGGTAGTGTAATATCGGCCGTCTTTTTGCCCGATAGCTGATACTGTTAATGACCCCAATATCGGCCGATATATCGGTCGGGCCCTACTTAGAACCCTGAAATACTCCCAAACTGCAGAAGTTGTGTTGTTTTATACACCCAGTCACTTGGTGCGTGAGCCACCATCTTTCTCTTGGCGTGTATTTGCGTGTATTTTTTATTTATTTCTATTTATTTAATCCTTGTCTTCTACATGCACTGTGTTTTTTTTTCTTGACTGGATCGAAACTGACACCACTCCTATTCTTTAATATCGGCTGTATACGATAATACCGCCCAAGCCTGTTGTCCTCCTTGAGAAGGTGGCTGTGAGCAGTGTTGCTGTTGCAGACGTCGCACCAAGCGGACCTCAAGAGAGCAGGTCCAAAACAACGGTTGTCTGAGTATGGGAAACACAGATTACCCAGATGTGAACACATTTATCCAGACTGGGCTGACCCAGATGTGAAAGCCCCATCACTGCTTAAATTGTCTGAAATACCTTCCTGATTTAAATTTTGTGATGTTACAGTATTGTTGTCAATGCAACAATGAATGTTTACGAAGAGGAACCTATTAAAAAGAAAACTAAGCCATGATTGGCATTAAGTTTGCATATGTCTATCACAGGATGTATTTCAAAGGCCATGTTTGTCAGGGTATCCGCGGGTCCTTAAAAAGTCTTAAAAAGTCTTAAATTTGCTTTTCCAAATTTAAGGCCTTAAAAATCCTTAAAAATGACAAATAATCCTTAAATACAGTTTCCACAGGTCTTAAATGACCAAAGACCCAATAAACAAAATTATTTTGTTTCTATTAAATTTTGTGAATTTCTAGTTAGTCTTCAGCATTTTTTGTGTACGATGTTGGCGTAAGCGGAACCGTACACATTCAGTTGGTTGTGAAAGGGGACTATTTTTGGTGAGCACATTAGCTGGTTAAGCTAGTGGGAGCTTGCACCATGGGGAAGTGCAAGTTTGATGGTAACTGGATGGTTAATCCCACTTTTGCGTGGTTCCAGGCAATAGCTAGAAATTATAGCTTAAATTTAATTTCAAAAGTAGCTTAAATTTGGTCAAAGTGGCCTTAAAAAAGGTCTTAAAAAGTCTTAAATTTGGCTCCCTTATCCAGCTGGATTGAATCAGTCCGAGCAACTAAAACGTTCGTGAGCGTTGTCGTTACGATTCTGATCTTTTGAAAACCACGCGATCGTATCGGAGCATCTTTTATATTTTTTCGTACAAAGTTATAGCAGTCTGTTAATCACTTTATGTGTATTTTTCATTTCCCACAGCTGTTCAACAAATGGTGCTGGTCAAAGAACAGAGCACTGGCATGGACCAGCAGGACCCAGAAATCGTCCACGTAAAGGAGGAACAGGACGATGAAGAGAAGTCTCTGTTCTCACCGCTTCATCAGCAGCAAATAGAAGACAGACATGTTCCAACCAGCAGCTCAGCTGAGCAGGTGACAGCAGAAACTGGTGAAGGAGCAGCAACCAGCAGGAACCTTGATCTTGACCTTCATGAACAGGCATTTGAGTCTTCAGGGACTGAAGTTAGTGGAGAGGATGAAGAGGACGATGATGATGTGAATGGAAACTCTGAGCTGTCAGACTCTGGATCTGAAACTATAGACGGAGACCATGACTGGAATGAGAGCCCATCTCCTAAGTTGGATGTTAAGACTGTCAAGTCATTTAGCTGTCCTGAGTGTGGTAAAACCTTTGTCCACAAGTGGTCTCTCCAGAAACATGTGAGAGGGGCAAGTCATTCAGCAATAAGGTCTTCAGGCTGTTTGGTTAATAAGAAATGTGTTAAGGTGAAGCAATGCGTAGACACATGCAGGAAAGTCAAGGAAGAACAAAAGTCATTCAGTTGTGATGACTGTGGGAAATTATTTACTAGAAAATCAAGTGTAAACAGACACATGAATGTCCACACCAGACTGAAGCCTTTTGTGTGTGAGCTCTGTGGACAAATATTTAGCGTAAACTCAACTTTAAACAGTCACATGAGACTCCACACAGGACAGAAACCTTTTGCCTGTGAGTTCTGTGGACAAACATTTAGGCAAAAATCAACCGCAGTCAAACACATGAGAATCCACACAGGACAGAAACCTTTTGCTTGTGAGCTCTGTGGACAAAGATTTAGCCAAAGGACACACTTAAACTGTCACATGAGACTCCACACAGGACAGAAACCTTTTGCTTGTGAGCTCTGTGGACAAAGATTTAACCAAAAGACAATTTTAAACAACCATATCAGAGTCCACACAGGAGAGAAACCTTTTGCCTGTGAGCTCTGTGGACAAACATTTACCCAAAAAGGACATTTAAACCGTCACACAAGAGTTCACACAGACAAGAAGAAGTAATTTCACCAAAAGGGACACTTGTAGGTTTTACATCCCAAATGATCATTTTAACCAGGGACACCGGAGACATGTCCCCACCAATATTTATAATTGACAGATAAGTCCATATCAATATTTATAGTCGACAATTCGTTCTCTCTAAATTAAAGAAAAGCCTCTTGCAACAATTGACATCATAAGAGATTCATCATCTACTAGTGCTCCCTGCTGAATGACTATCACAATGAGTTGATCTGACCAGAATTTAAATTCCTCGCTATTTTTTCTTTTTACTCACTGCCGCCCGTAAAACTAAAGCCTGCTTTTCCTTAAACATGCATGTTTCATTTTGTAAATGATACTTCAACTGTGATTAAAAATGGTGACAAAAGTGATCATGAGGTAATTTAATGATTTTAAATTATATTATTTTAGCAGATGATTCAGGAAATGCGTGCTTCTTTTGTGGCTTGTCCCGACGGTAGCTTTTGATACACTGGACCATGGTCCAACACCTGAATTTAATTAAATCAGCTGGAGCAGTGGGTTGACCCCACAGGGTCAGCTTTGCAGTAAGAGAGCCATCTGAAAGACAAGACTATTAGGGTGATGATGAAGGAATGTTCATCCTTCTGCATGAACCTTAAATAGGAAGTACCACAGGGCTCCATTTCCGGCCCACTCTAGTTTGACGTGTAGCACATTTTATTAGACCATACTGCTGCATTTGATACAGTTGATCACAAAGTGCTGTTACTGCATCTCGAGCACTATGTTGGATTTTCTGGTCAAGTTCTGAAGTGGTTTAGATCTAAACTTGCGGACAGAACGGTGTGTGTTAGTATGGGTGGTTTCACATCTGATCTTGCTCATCTGCCTTGGGGGATTCCAGAGTGTTCGAAGCTAGGACCACTGTTGTTTAAAGTGTATATTTTGTCATTGAATGACATTTTACATCAGCATGGGATTGCATTTCACCAATGTGCTGATGACTGTCATCTATATTTACGTCTAAATGTGTAGATGGCTGCCCAGTTACAATGCCCAATCCATGAATGTTAGGTGTCTGTGTGATGTAGATCTGTCAGGCTTTTTTAAATCGATTTTCTATCAAAAGCTAATGCAAGAGATAGGTGTAGGAGACTATTTTCATGTTCAGCCCAGTGTTAATTTTGTTGAAATATTTTCTTTTCTTAGTTTTTGTTTTGTGACGAATTTATTTTTGCGATCGAAATTGAAACAACTTAAATTTGTACTTCTATCGACTAAATTATGAAGATTGATCAACATTTTTGTTAACAAATAATGACAACGAAAACTGACAGTAACAAAAATCCAATTAGAAAATGGAAAATATGGGACAATGGAATAAAGAACCAATCAGCAAATAGAACAGGTAGGACTAAGGGAGAAAAGAACCAATCAGAGTTTGGAGCGGTCGCTGTTTAAAGAATCTATCGGTAACCACAGACATCAAATATTGATGTCTATGCCAGTGTTGGGCTGAAAAGAGCATGCCTGCCGAAATGTACATATGAGTAACAAGACAGCATTTTAATAAATCTTTACTATTAACATGTTTTGTATCTGTGTGCTTCCTTACAAAATGATGCCTTATGGCCAGCTTTGTTACGTTCGTACTGTGTTGGTTGTCCAATTTAATTTGTCGTTAGTTCTTCGTTGTACACCGAGTGATAAGGGTTTGTTGTTACCTTTGCTGACATGTTTCGACTTTCACTGCCGCCTTCGTCAGAGCAACCACCGGATGTTGGTGGTGTCACTTCATTTTACCTGCAGGCAGCAGAGAACGATGTTGTCCTCTGCTGCCTGCGCTGTGCAACCATGACATCTCTCGCCAGAAACAAACACATCATTATTCTACCAGCAAAGGAAGAACAACACAACAATAAACGACAAAGAAAAATACAAACAACCGATGGAATAGAAGCTCGAGGACGAAAAACTTATAAAACACTGAAAAAAGACCCAACAGAAGAAGTTAAAAAATAAACCTGAAAAAAATACTGAAACCACTACTAGAGAACACCAAAATAACAACGTACAAACAATGGATTCCAACAGCAAACATAATTCCAAAGATAAATAAACGGAACACTCCACTGAGGCCAATTGTAGATAGCAAAAGTACACTGACATAAAATATGGCAAAAGAGATCAGCAAAATCATCAGTATACTACCAGGTAACAAAGACCAACATTGCAAAAATAGCGCGGAACTAGCAAAAGAACTAAACGGATCACTATTGACGACAAAGATACACTAATCTCATTCGACATTACATCCCTTTTCACCAAAACACCAATCCAAAAAAAACACTGACAAAGTAGTTAATATCAAACAGCATAAAACTAAATGCAAAAGAACAAACACAGCAAGAATTTTCCCAGGATTGGTTGTTAAAGATCCCTTTCAGCACAATTGAATGAAAACTTGGTGGAGTGAGCTTTGCCATAGATTTCGTGGTGAAACCGGTGCGACACATCTTCAGTTGTGTGCCCCGACCTCATTGGGTGTGTCGGCCACTTATCACAATACACCTTCTGCCGGGGTTGGTCCACCCCTGGTTGATCAGACCTGGGTGTGTGTCACTCGGAAGCACCACGTCATAATTTGGCAGCCCAAGTTGCATCCCTTCGTTTCAGTCACAGCTAGAGGTGTGAATCTTCACTTGTCTCCTGATTCGATTCGATTACAATTATTGGGTCAATGATTCAATTCGATTACGATTATTGGGTCAACGATTCAATTCGATTCGATATCCCGATGCATCACGATTATTTCATATTGGTTTGTTTTCACCAATAAATAGAAGATGTCAGATAATTGCTTTTTATTTTTTATTTATTTTTTATCAAAAACTTAATTGACACAACCTGCCGTCCCTCAAAAACTCTCCATTCACAACAAACATTTTAAACATTTAAGAAGATTTAACAAAGTAAAACATCCGTTTCCTCGTTCAACACCACGCCTCAGGCTGAGAAAAACACGCTTTGCAAAAACTCACAAAATCTAAAAAGTACTTAAAACCTACAGGACACATAATGTAATAATAAAATCCATAATGGGTTCATATATGAGTGTTTAATGTCTCTGAGCAGCTTTAGAGTCAAATATTTATGCTGCAGTTGAACGGTGTCAGAAATAACACCAAATGAAATGTTTGACTTAGTTTATTTTATTTGAACCCAGTGGTTCGTTTCTGAAATGTTGGAGAATGAATCAAGTTCTGTTTGCTGCAGAAAATAATAAAACATAAAACAAATTCTACAATTCCAATAATATTTAAGATGTGCGTTTTATTCTTTCTGATAATAACACCAGCAGAAGGCTGTGGGCTGGATTAGGATTAAACTACCCAGCTGATGGATCTCCTTCACTAACCAGCTAACTACAGACCTTTCCACTAACATGTCCTGTGTGACCCTCACCATGTAACCCTCATGTCCATGCTGTCTCTGGAGGAGCAGATAGGAGACAAGATCTCCTGTAACCTAAAGTGAACCAACGTTTCCTCCAAGTTTATCATCATGAAACAAAAGAATAAAGTGGAACAAGAACTTCTATCTTCCATTTCTCACTCCTTTTAACTTCTCCGTGTCCCTAAATAAAAGAGACAGACGATCACGCTGCAGCTGCCGTCATTGATCCCGACCCCTCCCCAAGACTGGATCTCCCGACATCACATCACTCGGTCTGACAGAGCGCTTCCAGGAGAAATAATTAAATCATGAAAATAATAACGAATGTTTGGAGCATCGGTTTGGAGGAGCGTCCTCCGATCCTCTCTCTTGTGTGAGCAGACAATCTCTCTCTCTCAGTTGCTGTGCGAGCGAGCGGAGCGCGCCGCGTGACAACCCACTCAATTAACATAATTCACAGCCCAAATCCAACAGAACCAGTCAGGCTGATTCGGTTCCGGTTCGGTCTCAGGTTACAACTCAAGCGCTCAGCCCTGCAGTACCGCATTAATGCAGAACCACTTGGTAAATGAAAAAGAAATTACTGTTTATAACATGTTTATTTGAAGTAATAATAAATCTTTAAAAGGTTTATAATTTTGAGTCAAATCACAGCATTCCCCGTGGGACAAAACCCCACTGCGTTCATTAAACCTGGAAATGTAAGAGATTAAAATAGTTTAAGCAAGCACAAAAAATTACATTAAAAAATTATTCCCTAAAACAGTCTCAGACGTGTTTAAATAAAATGTGAAACAAACATAAATTATTTAATCATTATTTCATCATATTTCTAGTAAAAAAATCAGGAGAAACACGAATTACAAACGTGTTCACATTTATGAATCAGTTACTTCGTTATTTGTGGTTGTGCTCTGCTATGACTGAAATTATCAGCGTTTGGTGCTCTAGTGTATTTATTAGTTTTTTTGGAAAAAAAAATTCCAACTGAAAAACATTCAGGCAAAGGAAAACTAATAATGCACCTGAAAAAAATCTTACCTTAAGTTTACTTTCTTGCTTTATTATAGTAACACCTAATGTTTTGATGGTATGATGTTATTCCTTGTTATGTTTACCAATATTACTGCACATTATACAGATTTGTTTACTTTATTAAAGTGACAGTGTGTATTTTTCCTGGCAATAAGGGGATACCTAAATCATTGCAAGCAAGCAGTATTTTTGTGATGGAGTAAAGCCTAAATTATACTTGTCCGCCTGCGTCGGGACGGACGCACGCAACGCCATTATCCGTCCTTGCGAGGCTGCTGGAGAGCCCTCGCAAGGACGGACGGAGTCGAGCTCTCTTTTCTAAACATCCGTCCAACGAGATAGAGAACGCAAGCTTGTGATTGGTCAGGGCACCGCTGTCGTCAACAGCGCTGCCATTGCGCCCTCAAAAACATAAAGAGAGCCGAGGATAACTAGCGGCAGACACGGAGCAGCTTGAAGAATACCTCGTGAAAAAACTCTAAAAATATGAACGTTTAATTCCCCGTGACTGGAGGAGTTAAAAGATACGCAGCAGGCATTTTATTTGTGGACGGAAACGACAGGAAACGTGGGATTAGAGGTGGGGAGCGCATGAAGAGGTGGAGGAGAATGAGAGACAAATTTGTCCGTGTTAAAAAGTCTCTAAAATACAAAAAAACACTATATAAACACACTATCTTGGACCGATACATGACAAGATACCACAGAACAGCGCTACGCCCTCTGCTGTCCTGGTGAGGAATTGCTTTGCAACACTCCCCAGGAGACGGAGAAGTATGAGAGCAAAATGTCTCCGTCCATGTGTGCGTGTCTCTCCCTTTTGGAGCTGACAGAGAAGTATAAATAAGACCTTACCAACAGTTGACCATTAAGGTCAAAAGTGCGAACTTTAGCAAAATGGCGGCGAGTCAATGATGTCACCGGGAAGCTTTACACACAAAAGTGAATAAAACCACCGCTAAAGCTGCACGAACGAGTTCGGAGTTTTACTCTTAGTCGTAGCGGATTTTGAGACGCAGAAACGCTGCGTCAAAACGGCTTGACAGGTTGTCGGAACGCGTATACCGCTGTCTTTACCGGGTGGCTAGTTAGTGTTATGTTAAGCTAGCGCGGGGCCTGGTGCGACCAGGCTTTTAAGCGGTCCAATCCAGCTGGATTGAATCAGTCCGAGCAACTAAAACGTTCGTGAGCGTTGTCGTTATGATTCGGACTATAGCGTATGCAGTTCGTGTCTGCAGAGACGCTCTTCCGTGTTTAACTTAGTTATTAGCGGTTCAATGCTAGTAAGCTCAACCAGGTTGATAGGCCGAGGGATCAAGACGGCTATCGAGGGAAGGGGACTTCCAGCGGGAATATTTCTATATCTCCTGTTACACAATAAATTGTACACAGTGCCACGAACACTAGCAAAAGAACATAAAAATATACAGTATTCACCTTAAAGATGCAGGGAAAATCCTTCAGTGCTAAGCTCAAAATGGCTTCCGTATGCCACGTCAGCCTTAGGGTGGTTTAAGATGAAACAACGCCTCCTGTGGAGGATGACTGATGTCAACCCCTTTGGAGATGCTGCTCTCAGGCGGCGGATTACGAGATCGCCTCGTTTCAAACCAGAACATCAAAGTTATTTTTGTTTTAAAGGGTTTCAAACTTAGCACAAAGTATGTTAAAAATTTGTAAATATCTGGCAAAGGCTCGCCATTATGTAATCAATTAGAATTACATTTAATTAAGGACCATAAGACCTTAAAGATTCATATCTAGTATGAATCCCATCTTACGGACACTGGGTTATTTAAATCAGAAGATTGGATCTTTTTATTACAGGGACTTTAATAAACACTTTGCATTAACTGAGTGACAAGAGAAGAGAGAGAGATTTTCAAACGTTTAAGGAAATTTATTGCTAAATGATTTTTAAACAATTTAACAAGACTAACTCTCTAATGATGGATATTCTGTTGGAATGAAGTGTGAGGTGGTTGGTGTGTGTGAATGATGTCAAATTCGGAACCTTCGCATCCGGAGAAGCAAAGTTGAGTGGGAGATGATGTTTTGCTCCTAACTGATCAAAGTTTGAGACCCGTGGTCATAAACACATGAAACGCCATTCTGTCGCATCCACATACCCTCAATGAGACCTCCACGTTGGTCCAGAATGCCCAGGTCCTCGGACCTTCCTTCCGGTACTGGAGCCAATGGTACAGCATCACAGCACGACAAACTAGTCCTTGGATTGTCTCCAGGTAAAAAGCGGCAGGTGGTTCTCAGTGTCAAAAAGAGACCCTCCTTGGGTCAGCAAGTTCAATTCAATTCAATTCAAGTTTATTTATAAAGCACCAAATCACGACAAGAGTCGTCTCAAGGCACTTCACATAATAAAAATTCCAATTCACAGTTCATTAAGCCAATCAGAAATAATGTGTCCTATATAAGGAACCCAGCAAATTGCATCAAGTCACTGACTAGTGTCAGTGACTATACAGCAATCCTCATACTAAGCAAGCATGCAGCGACAGTGGAGAGGAAAACTCCCTTTTAACAGGAAGAAACCTCCAGAGAATCCTGGCTCAGTATAAGCAGCCATCCTCCACGACTCACTGGGGATCGAGAAGACAGAGCAGGCAGACAAAGACACAGACACACACACACACACACACACACACACACACACACACACACACACACACACACACACACACACACACACACACACACACAGCTTTTATTCTGAAGGACCCGTTGCTTGGTTGGTAACAACGGAATTTTCCCAGCTTGAATAGTTCTCAGCTTAAAAAGAAAAGTACAGATGGCCTGTCCATATTTCACTTAACATGAGGTGAACTCCATGGGATCTTGAGAAGAGATCTTGAAAACTGAACTTAAAATGGCGTTGGAACTGTTTTATTAATCTGGATGTTTTTGATTCTGGACGAATCAAAGCTGACAGATTTAATAAACACCACATAGACTCTGCCACACCATGGGATCTTGAGAAGAGATCTTGAAAACTGAACTTAAAATGGCGTTGGAACTGTTTTATTAATCTGGATGTTTTTGATTCTGGACGAATCAAAGCTGACAGATTTAATAAACACCACATAGACTCTGCCACGCTTCAGACTAGGAAGGTTCTGATTGGATCAGCAACAGCAATGTGTTATGTGATTGTTTACCTTAGTAAAGTATGTATAGACGTTAATAAATTTTCATTGTGGTTATTTATATTGGGGAAAATAAAAGAAATGTATATTGGTTATGTATCTTAGGTGGAAAATAGGGTGGGCTAAAATAAGCATTGCTTCTGCCTATTCTTTTTTTTGGTTTAAATTCAAGTTGTTAATATTGTTGTTTTGTTTGAAAAGAAAAATGTTATGTTAATGCTATAAACCAAAATAAAGACCGAAAGAAAGAAAGTGTATCAGCGTGTCTAGTGACTAAAATAAGTCATTTACTTATTAAAAACATATTAATCATAATATTGTGATTTCACAGATCGCTCACATTGTATTATTGACTAACAGTTGTTTTGATTAGCTTTATTGAAAATAGAGTTCTTTGATCTGATAAAAGAAAAGAGTCTTCATCTTCTGTCTTCATTGCTGGAACGTAAACACTTTAGAAGCGAATGCATGACCTTGAGGCTGTTTCATGCACTCTGGCGCTGTGTCAAAGGAACTGTGGTGAGAGGATAATTAACCTTGAGGAATGGCTCCTCCATCACGTTACACTATAATGTTAATAAAGAATAAGAGCAGCAAAAAAAACGATGCCTGGGAAGGTAAATGGAAGTAAGGTCATTCATGTTTCTGCAATTGTTGTTGGGTCAGATTTTTTCTACCATGTAAAACTAGTTTCTCACGTTTCGATGTCAGTGGTCACCAAATTTTATTGTCCCGTCAGACGTGCTTTACTGGAATTTCATCTCAACCTGAAGGAGCAAAGTTCAGCAAACTAACCGTAAAAGGAGGAGCAACGAGAATTGTTTTATGACTGATCAGAAATGAAAGATAAGATATTCGGAGCTTCATTTGAGAACAGCGTGTGTGTTGCCGTCTGAAGGAGATTTAAGCTGAGTTCATCGTTTCTTTTCCAACAACTGACTCTAATATCGGTGAGTAAAACTGGTCTCTATTACAGAGTTTCTACAATCAGCAGGAAAACAAAAGTCCGATTCAACCAAACGGGGAGCTTCGCTCTTTTCTCTTCCTGCTGAAACTCATCAAACCAAAACATTTTAGTAACAGTCCTAAACCCCTGATTACTTCTGCGTTTGATCTGTTTTTCCTCGTTGTCTCTTGTTCTCAGAGTTCAGACATGTCTGCTAGCAGCAGCCGGAGATCTGACGATCAGTTTCTGTGCTCCATCTGCCTGGACGTGTTCACGGATCCAGTCACCACACCATGTGGACACAACTTTTGTAAGACCTGCATCTCCCAGCACTGGGATTGTGACACAAGCTGCCAGTGTCCCGTCTGTAGAAAAGTGTTCCAGATGAGACCTGAACTGGAAGTCAACACCTTACTCAGAGAGATGGTTCATCAATGCAGAGTTGAAACCAGCAGCAGCTCAGAGGAACAAGCCGACAACATTCAGCAGATGATCCAGAACAGACGCCTGAAGATTCAGGAGATCAAAGAGTCGGTGGAGATCAGTAAAGATGCTGCAGACAGAGAGAAAGCAGAAGGTGTTCAGGTCTTCACTGATCTGTTAGAGTCTGTTCAGAGAAGCCTGAATGAGCTCATAGATGAGATCGAAGAAAAACAGAAAACTACAGAGGAGCAGGCTGAAGACCTCGTCAGTGATCTGGAACAGGAAATCTCCGAGCTGATGAACAGGAGCTCTGAGGAGAATCAGCTCTCATGGTCCAAGGACTTGACAGCTGTCAGAGTTCTTCCTTCATCGTACGAGGAGACTGTGGTGACGGTTTTGGATCAGCTGCAGGAGAAACTCGAGGGAAAGATTAGGACCCAGTTGGAGCCGAAGAAGAAGAACCTGCTGCAGGCTGAGCTGAAGGCAATGCAGCAGTTTGCCGTAGATGTGACTCTGGATCCTGATACAGCGCATCCTTACCTCGTCCTGTCTGACGATGAAAAACAAGTCTACTGCGGTGATGTGTGGAGGAACCTTCCAGATGGTCCAGAGAGATTTTCTAACTGTTATGGTGTTTTAGGCAAACCGAGTTTCTCTTCAGGCAGGTTTTACTTTGAAGTTCAGGTTGAGGGAAAAACTGAGTGGGGTTTAGGAGTGGCCAGAAGTTCCATCGGCAGGATGGGAGAGGTCACAATGAGTCCTGAAAATGGTTGCTGGTCTGCTTGGTTAATAAATGGAACCCATTACGTAGGCGGTACTGACCCTCCAGAAGATCTGTACCTTCAGTCTGTTCCCGAGAAGGTGGGAGTGTTTGTGGATTATGAGGAGGGTCTGGTCGCCATTTACGATGTAGAAGCTCCAGCTCGGATCTGCTCCTTTAATAACTCTTGCTTCTCTGAGGAACTCTACCCTTTCTTCTGTCCATGTGATAGCCATGGAGGAGAAAACTCAGCACCTCTGATCATCTGTCCTGTCGATCCATCAGAATCTGTTTGTTAAAACGTTCTGATATGAGTAGATGAAGTCCTGCTGGTGGAGAGGTGAGGTTAGAAACATCCTCAGAAACGTCTTCAGTTCAGATGGATTTCAGTTTAGATTTTTGTTCAAAACAAAATAAAATAAATTTCAGTTCTATTATGTTTTCATCTAATATTTTTCTCCATAATGATCCACAACAATAGTTCATTCATCTATTCACTCTGTGAAAGATTTGATCATTTTAGTAGAATTTTTAGCCTTCACTGAACATTACAAACCGTCATGATGTTGACTATTTTCTTTCTTTTAAACTCATTTTTTAAATGATTCTGTTTAATAAAAATGTGTTTTGCAAAGGCAGACATTCTCTTGGTAATATTTTTAATATGTAGGTTGGTAAATTGTCTCATAAAAGTTGAGAGACGTCCAAAAACAAGAACCATGGCCAGATAGAGAGAAAAACAAACAAACAATGGCCCCAAAATCGAACCCGAAGGAACACCAAACTGAACAGGACAGAAATGGGATCTTTGAGTAGATGTAGCTAAGAAGATCGATTCGTCACACAAATATGAAAATAATTGTTGCAAAACAGAGTCTTGCGTCCTTGTGGACAGGAAATAACTTTTCTTTGACCCCAGAGACGGAGAGCTGGTCTTCAGTCTCGCCCGGGATAAGCTTGACCGGATTCAACAGCCATCAGAACTAGGGGTTGTATGAAATAGTCGACTTCACTGCTCTGTAGTGACTTTTTATGCCTTTCAGCGACTAGTCGCTGTCACATGATAATGAGCGACAAGATGTAGCCCTCGGAAAAGACAGAAGGTGACGAGCCCCTGCCCATCGGGAGGCAACGTGCTGTACCAGAGCGTCGGTACTGACGCCCGCCGTAAAAATGGACATTTGACCAAATTGTGACCTTTACCCTCTTGCAATTTAACCTTCCCCTCACCCCCATCCTAACCTGAACCAGCGGGCACATGTAAAGCTCTGATCGTTGACGCGCTCCAGACATCTGTGTCCTGAGCACGGCCACAGTAACATCAAATCAGGTGTCGCCACCTCAAAAACAAATTTAACACGCAATCGTTCATGTCGGCTCATTTCCTTTTATGTTTTCTGTCTTTTATTTGTGCCTGATGCATTTCGCTGCTGTGGAGCGGGGCGCATCACCTGTTTTGTCCTCCGGTGACGCACCTAACTGATGCGGTCGGCGAGCACTCCGCTGTTTTTGCGGTCGGTAGATCTTTTAGAGCTGCAGTTCAAAGGTAACTCATGAGGTGAAAACATATAAAGCCAGGTAGCAGTTTTTCTTTAGGATTGAGAGGAGATGCAGGAACATAATAAACAGGCAGGACAGAAAAATAGTCAAATAAAAACAAGTTAGTTTTTGTACCTGGTGGTTGCAACAAACAGACACCAATGAAGGTAATCAGAAGTGAGGAACAGAAAATGAAATAATTATTTTAATGTTTAGAGCAGCAGCAACTCTGAGAGGCTGCAGGCTCATCAGTGAGTTTGCGGCCGCTGCGCGGGGGAGGGGGGAGAGGGCTGAAGCAGCGGGAGGGGGGAGAGGGCTGAAGCATGGGGAGGGGGGAGAGGGCTGAAGCATGGGGAGGGGGGAGAGAGCTGAAGTGGAGCAGTATGGATGCAGAAACTACCGCTGTTAGAAGAGATGTGTTTAACTTAGAAGATATGGGTGTAATTTTAATTGTCAAAAACTCCAGCGACCCCCCCCCCCCCCCCCCCCGCCGCTTCATGTGTATGACGTCATCGACTAGTCAAAGTCGACTCGATTTTCATTACTTGACAGTCGCCTTTAAAAAAAATAAGTTGTGCAGCCCCTAATCAGGACTAGTGTTTACAGCTTGCTCCAGGTAAAGCCTTGTGCCAAATGTGAATGTGGCCATTTTGAAATAAACAAAATAATAATAATAATAAAAGAAATGAAAGGGATCCAAATCAGTTCAGTTGAGTCAGCTACTTTTTTCCTGACTAAACAAAAATCTTTTATCAGTTTCATAAAAAAATGACCAGCACAAAAAGCTCATATGGGTTTTGTATTATTGTCCTTTTCTGAGCCAGAGAACTCCAAAGCGCCACAGTGAATCATTCATCCATAAATAGACCAGAGAACAGAACATCTTTGGTCTTCCTTTTGGTCTTAAGCCTTTAAAATTGTGATACAAATTCAGATCTGAAAATATTTAACACCGCAAATTCTAAATTTAAATTTGAAAGGACTAACCGGAAGCTAAGTTTTACACACGGTAACCTGACGCCGGTAGCTCACTTCCTGTCTGTGTGCTGTTGGCTACGGGTGAGAAAGTGCTGTTTGGCATGTTTATTTAACTCGGATTAAGTTTTTTTTATTCTTCTTTTGAGTTCTCGCTTACAAAGGAGAATATTACACATGTAATTAGTTAACGAGTTAAGTTTATCCTGCTTTATTCACGTAGTTACCTAAAGGAGGGGATGGATGTGACGGTTTATGCTAGCAAACAAACAGTCTGACAGGTTTTACCGGTCAGAAGTGACTAAACCTGGATTAGTCCCCAGTTTAAGGTTTGTAATTGCAAGCCAGAAGAATTCATTAGAGGAAAGCGTTAGTTGATATGAATGTCTGATTCATTTGAGTTAACAAAAGCTGTGTTAGTCGTTAATAAAACACCTTGAAGGCTGGAGAGTTTGTGTTTACACGCACCTGAGACGACGTGGCGTTTACCTGGACCTGCAGTTCCAGCAATCTGGGCCCAATCTCGGATTTTATCTTCCTTTTTTTGTTGCTTTGCCTATTTTAGTTGTTTCTTTGTGGCTACTGAACCTGAAGGAATTGGTTTCTGTTATAAAAATGTAGTTATGGTCACTTTGATTTCTTTGCAGTGATTTCGTATTTTATAGTTTGTCTTTATCTGTTTGTGTTGTTTATGTAGTTCTATGTTGTGTCTTTGCTTTTCTGTCTCAGGTATGATTATTAGTAATTATATTAATTACTTAAACAATTATGGTCCTTTCCCATCAGTGGTTTCCTTCAGCTGTGTCTGGTGTTAATACCAATGAACAAACAGAAAGAAAAACACAACGTTACCATTAAAGGAAACACACAAACATATGTTGCGGCGATGAGTTGCTACAATACGATCTCTCTGCAAATGATTGTGTATTTTGGGTCATTGGGTTCATCGGTAGAGGAGAGGAGACGGCGTACAGAGCAGGTCAGAAAGCTGGCTCTGAACTTTATCGACTCAACAAGGACAAAACAAAAGAGATGGTGATCCATCTCCACTATTCACAGGTGAGTGTCCTTAAGGGTGATGAAAAAGGAACCGCCTATAGGAGAAGCTATCTCACCTGCTGCATCACAGGAACTAACAGGAAACACCTGTAGAGGGTCACAAACATCACAGTCGATCACTTCAGACCCTCACACCACCTGTTCAGCCTCAGGCAGAAGGTACAGGCGTTTAAAAAGCAGGACTAACAGACTTAAAATAGCCTTTTATCATTTGTTTGTTGTCTGAATTTGTTTGTATTAGTAAATACAATTTTTATTTATTTTACCCTTGTTGCTGCGCCATATGGAGATGCAACACGATTTAATGCTTGATGTATGAAAGTAAAGGCTTTTGTTATTATTATTATGTTATCTCATTGGCCTTGTGATAACTTATCCTTAAACGTTTCTGTTTGTGATCTGTCGCTCGTTGTTGTGACTTGGTGGTTCATTAGGAATTCTGTGTGTGTGTGTGGGTGTGTTTGTTTAGATGAACTCTCAGGGTGAACGCACGGCACCGATGAGGGTGTTGGTGACAGGAGGGTCCGGCTTGGTCGGGAGGGCTATACAGCATGTGGTCAAAGAGGAAGGGGCGACCAAAGAAGGAGAAGAGTGGATCTTTCTGTCCTCCAAAGATGCAAACCTCATGTCAGAGTCGCTGCTTGTTCATTTCAAATGTCGAGACGTTTTTATCTGTTAAACGGCTTTTAGAGAAGTGGTCTTGTTCTGGTTTTGGTTCCTCAGGAATGAGGAGGAGACGCGGGCGGTGTTTGAGAAACATCGGCCCACCCATGTCATCCACTTGGCTGCTATGGTGGGAGGACTTTTCAAGAACATGAAGTACAACCTGGATTTCTGGGTGTGTTCCTGCTCTATCTCTGCTGGTACTGGTGTTGTGTTGGAAATGGTTCTGGTTTGATGTGACCCAGTTCGTCTTTCACCCTCAGAGGAACAATTCCTGCATCAACGATAACGTGCTGCAGGCAGCACACCAAGTGGGCGCCGTCAAAGTGGTTTCCTGTCTTTCCACCTGCATCTTTCCTGATAAAACGACCTACCCCATCGATGAAACCATGGTAACGGGCCCTCCTGTTCTTTTAGCACTAATCTGCGTACATTTGCTACGTTTTCTTCATCTCGCCACCAGATCCATAACGGGCCTCCTCACGACTCCAACTTTGGCTATTCCTATGCGAAACGGATGATTGATGTTCAGAACAAGTACGATGTTCGTTTCCCAAAACGAAATTCTCTTATTTAGCTGCACGTTTTTGACGTTGTTTTTCCTACAGAGCGTATTTCCAGCAGTACGGACGCTGCTACACAGCTGTGATTCCCACAAATGTGTTTGGTCCCCATGACAACTTCAGCATCGAGGACGGCCACGTGCTTCCAGGCCTGATTCATAAAGCTTACCTCGCTCAGAGTAAGTGGACGGGAGGATTTCTAATCGTAAAACAGCAAATCCACCTTTTCCCCTGGTTTTACTCTAAATGTAAAAATAATTTCTTCTGTTCTTCTTCAGAGGAGGGGAAGCCTTTGGTGGTCTGGGGCTCCGGTTCTCCCAGAAGGCAGTTCATCTACTCTTTGGATTTGGCCCGTCTTTTCCTCTGGGTGCTGAGGGAATACCCAGAGGTGGAGCCAATCATCCTCTCTGGTGAGCTCTGATTTGATGCAATACTGAGAATTCAGCATGTCAAACTGAAGTTTGATGATGATGATGGGTATTTTTGTTCCAGTTGGTGAGGAAGATGAGGTTTCTATAAAAGAAGCAGCAGATGCAGTCGTTGAATCTTTGGGATTCAAAGGAGAAGTCTTGGTATCCTATGAATAATGGAAGCTTAGTGCTTCTTTCAGTTGAAATTCTAAAAACGTTTACTTCCTATGATGCCGTTTCACATTTTCTGCACGAGCGAGGGAAAGGTGGAGCGCGAGATCGATAGGCAGATTGGTGCTGCGTCTGCAGTGATGAGGGCGTTGTACCGGTCTGTCGTGGTGAAGAGAGCGCTGAGCTGGAAGGTGAAGCTCTCCATTTACCGGCCGACCTACGTTCCTACCCTCACCTGTGGTCACGAGATTGTGGATACAAGCGGCCGAAATAAGTTTTCTCCACAGGGCGGCTGGACTCTCCATTAGAGATGGGGTGAGAAACTCGGTCATCAGGGAGGGGCTCAGAGTAGACCCGCTGCACCTCCACGTCATGAGACAGTTGAGGTGAATTCAAGTTTATTTATAAAGCGCCAAATCACGACAAGAGTCGTCTCAAGGCTCTTCACATAATAAACATTCCAGTACAGGTCAGTTCATTAAGCCAGTCAGAAAAAAGTTTTCTATATAAGGAACCCAGCAGGTTGCATCGAGTCACTGACTAGTAGGCCACCACAGCTCAGCAGAACATCATTGTAGCTTCTTCTGGGGAGAAAAAATAAAGTTAACAGCTGAAATAGCAGGAAATAATACAGTTAAAGAGCAGATTGTAGAAGAAAGTAGTCGAGTGTGGAAAGTGGTCAGTGTATTCTCTAGCAGTCTAAGCCTATAGCAGCATAACTACAGAGATAACTCAGGATAACCTAGCCTTTTTAGAGTGAGGCATGTTGGAGGCAGGGCAAGGGAGAGCCGTCTTTACCGACTGTACACTCCACCTCCCTCTACTCCCCCACTTGTCCAGATTTAGGCTAACATCAGATTTTAACCATAGGCCCTATCAAATAAAAATGTTTTAAACCTAGTCTTAAAAGTAGACAAGGTGTCTGCTCACAGACTAAAGCTGGGAGCTGGTTCCACAAGAGAGGAGCCTGATAGCTAAAAGATCTGCCTCCCATCCTATTTTTAGACATTCTGGGAACCACCAGTAGACCTGCAGTCTGAGAGCGAAGTGCTCGGTTAGAAACGTATGGAACAATCAGATTACTGATGTATGATGGAGTTTGATTATTAAGAGCTTTATATGTGAGAAGAAGGATCTTAAAATCTATTCTGAATTTAACAGGTAGCCAATGTAGGGAAGCTAAGACAGGAGAGATATGATCTCTCTTTTTAATTCTCATCAGAACTCTAGCTGCAGCATTTTTGGACGAGCTGAAGACCTTTAACCAGATGACTAGGGCATCTGGTCAGGGTGCCTCCTGAACGCCTCCCTGGTGAGGTTTTCTGGGCACGTCCAACTGGGAGAAGACCTAAAGGAAGACCCAGGACACGCTGGAGAGACTGTTTCTCGGCATGCCAGGGAACACCTTGGGATTCTCCCGGAGGCGCTGGCCCAAGTAGCTGGTGAGGGAAGTCTGGGCCTCCTTGCTTAGGCTGCTGCCCCCGCGACCTGAACTTGGATAAGCAGAAGAGAATTGATGGAAGGATTTCCTGCATGTCTTGTTTAACACTCAGGTCTCCATCTTAATCGTGAACACCGATGACATAACTATCGTGCAGCTTTGAGAGTCTCCAGCTCATTTGCTCCTTGTTTGGTGTCCGCTGGTTTTCTTGACTTTCGCTGTTCAGTATGACACCAGTAAAGCAGACGGACAGTTTAGGAAGACGGCCAGCAACGCCAAGCTGCACCGCTACCTCCCACACTTCAAGTTCACTCCGTTCAACCAAGGTGGGACGACCTCCTCCTGCACATCAGTGATGGATGTTTCAATCTCTACTCATTTATCTGCTTCTCATTCGCAGCGTTAAAGGAAACGTGCGACTGGTTTGTCTCCAACTACGACGCGGCCCGGAAGTGAAGCCGCTCCGGTGCAATCTGAGCAGGACTGAGCCGTAGTGGCCCGGGTAGTCGCTGTTGCAGGACCTTCTCTTAGTTCTGCTGTCCCTGAAGTGGAGATGCTTCGATACTTTGGTCACTTTGCTAAATTGTTTGAGCTGCAAGTTTTTTTTTTTCCCAGTCCAGTTGTCGGTAAAACTTAAATTACTGAATGGTCACTGTCCAGGTGTTTAACTGATGGAGCATTAATGTTTCTGCTTCGGGTTTATTTTGTATTTGTAATAAATGTTTCATTTTGACCAGTTTCATTCATATATTCCTGGAATTAAATTCGAGCCACAAATCCATGTTTTATTGTAAAAAAAAAAACAATTAAAAAATTAAACGAAAATAACACTTAAAATTCTAAAATGGAACTGGTTTAGATAACGGGTTCATGCACGCCTTTCAGCTGAGGAAGAGGAGGAAGTTTGGGGTTTTAGGAGTGGACTCTGCGGAACTCCTGACCCGGAACCGCTCTCTTCCTACAGGCGTTTCCCGTTTTTGTGATTCCGTTACACAGCTGTCAGCCCGACAGGGAGCTGCTGCAGAAAGCATGGAACAAAACATTACGTCTGAGTAAATTTATCGTATTTAAAGCACCAAATTCTGAACATAAACCTGTTACTCATCAGTGATGGGGCGGGGCTTGTGCTCCTCTGGGTTTGTTCAGGACATCAGAAACTTCCCAGGTTTTTCAGCGGGACGTCATCAATCATAGCCTGTTAAACCATTCGTGCACTATTGATTACTTGATTAAGCAGCACAAACCTGATCGAGTCACCTGTGAGAAAACAGCCAGAGGTCTCAGCCTGGGGGTGGAGTCATCCAGGGATCCAAATATGGGTACAAACTTGGATTCTGACAGTCTCTGCCACAAAAATGAAAACGTAGAGGTACGTCTAGAAAAGGAGATGAAGTATGAGAGACTTGAACCTGATAAAAAACCGTCATGACTCGAGTCTTGCTCGGTGGCGCCATTCTTCACGTCGCTGAAAGCAAACACAGTTGAACCCGTTTCTGTTGATGTCTCAGTTATCAAACATGGTTTTCCTAACTGGGAATCACGTCTGCAGATTCACCTCTGAAGTGTGGAGGATTGTGGATACAAGTGTCCTGATGATGGTACCGTCTCCTTGTGTGGCTCTATGACGTATGATGATGATGCAATGAAGTGGCGCCGCGGTCATGGGCTTTCCTCGGTTCTGGGCGCTTGTCCACAACCGACTTACAAACCCGTGGCCTGCAGACAAACACAGCCCTGATGAAGAAGAAATCACAGAAATGTTGTTTGTTGAGCTGCTTTGTTAGCCAGAGATGTGGTGAAATAAATATCTAAAAGTCCAGTCAGGAGTTTCTATTTTTATTTATTTATTTATTTGCCATCTTCCCACCAGTCCAGCTCAAGTAGCCCTGGATCGTGTGAAGTCTCTCCTCAACCTTTGCCTGCATGTTGTCCAGGTAGTGCAGCAGGACTCCCGGTGTGCTGTTCATGTGCTCCAGTTCGTTCATCGGCTCAGCATAGTGCCGGGAGGTCTGGTCCTGGTGCTGCAGGACCTCCGACATGCATCTCGTCTGCTCAGCCGCCAGAGCAAACCGACACAAGAATTTAGCTGACGTCAACCAGAAAACACTTAAAAATCAGCACAAGGCAGGTAAAATACCAAGTTGTTGGTAAATGTCCCGAGCGTGGAGTCGGACGTCTGCGAGGTCGTTGGCGATCGCCTCGTGGCCGTCCTGCACCTCAGAGCTTTGCTCCTGCAGATGTTCACTCACATTCTCTATTCAAGAAAAATGGCGGATTAAAAGTTTTACTTTAAAAATGCAAACAAGTCCATAGAAGTCAGGAGTGTTGTCCTCACAGCAGAGTGCACATCTGTCAGAACAGTGAAAACAATGAGGAGGAATCACCTCTTAACTCTGTTAGGAGTTGCTGTTGGTTCTGAAGTCCAGCAGACTCACATGGAAGCTCTCACCCATTCGCTTAGTGATGACTTGAATGAGTTGAGCAACCAGATGCTGTCCAGAAGCGATGAGGGCATTTTCCTCAGTGAGGGCTCCATCTGCTCCTGGCCCTTGTGCAGCTTCCCCTGCTGGGCCTGCAGGGCGCCATGGCCCTCCACCAGCTTGTCTAGAGAGGCTGCAGTCTGGTCCTTCAGCTCCAGCTGTCCCCCCTATTTAAGACACATCCAGGGAGGGTCAGGCCCCTATCTGCAGCCACGCAGCATGGAGGAGGTCCTTCAGGAGAACTCCGCTCTACCTTCAGGCCTTTCATTGCCTCCAGCTGGCTGGTCGCCGTGGAGATGAGGGTGTTGACCTTGAGCTCTGCTCGGCGCAGAAAGAGCTGCTGACGGGTCACGTAGCACACCGAGCGAGCTCGCTTACTCACTATGAGTTAGGCGTTCCATGTGTCTGGATTCATGTCAGACATGCACTCCGCGATGCTCTGAGAATCAGACGGTATAAAACTTCATAAACACTTCTTTGTGTGAGAAAACACATTTAAACAGAGTAAAACTTTACCATTTCCTCTGTACACGGGAACGTCCGGCGCCCCTCGATCTCTGCCTGGCAGTTGAACAACTCCACACTGAGCTTTCTCCTCCGAGAGGCTTCCACAGCTGGTCCTCAGCTGGGAAACCTGAAGAGAAGCGAAACTCAAGAGTGAGAAAAGAAAGCCTGATACTTAAAACAACTCAACTTGACTTAAAAGAATAAAAAGTCAAAGGATTAGCAACGAAAACAACGAAGACCCCATTCGCCTTGTAAAGACCGCTGTCCAACGGGCTGAGCTGACGTGCTGGAGCAACAGGAGGAGGTGCTGCCGCAGGAGGAGGTTGTGGGTTCCTCAGCCACTCAAACAACCCACTGGCTGGAGGACAGGCCAGCATCCAGACAGTGAGCAGAAGGTGTGGGAGCTGGATCGGGTGGCGGCCCATGATGACTGGATCAGAACTAAAATTTCTCATCAGAAAAAACAGTTTGCAGTTCTTTTGTCAATTATTACTCATTACACCAATTAGCAAAGGTTTGTTCTCTACCTCCGTCGGCTTCCCTTTCTGCCTTCGTCAGAACGTCCACGGGTGTTATTTTGGTTTCTGATTGTGTGGTCACCTGAAGCTGAAACCATCCACAAACAAATGAAGGTAGGGAACAAACTTTTGCTACTCGGTGTAGAATGACCATAACAAAGGTTACTAAAGAGCATGGACGTATTTTTTTTGGGGGGACAGGGGGGACATGTCCCCCCCCCACTTTTTCCAAAGTCAAGTTTTGACCCCTGCACTTTTTACCATCCAAAAACAACATTACGCTATATTAAATTGACACTGGTTGAGCTCTAGGACCAAGCGGAAAACAACCGTTTGTGTTGAAGCCTGTTTCCCATTGGAACATACTGTAAAGATACCCCCCCCCCCCCGTGTCCCCCTCACTTCTAAAGTGAAAATTACGTCCATGTCAAAGAGGTTTACGATGCCAAATTTAGCAGATCATGGTAAAAATGACCAGAATGCAAACCTCCAACCTTCTGGTTACAGGATGGACACGAACTCTTCGACCACCGTAGAAGAACTCAAGTCAGGCTCTTCTCAGGGGCGATGGTGTAGAAACCGACTGCAACCATAGTGGGAGAGTGCAGTAGACAAGGGGAACGGAAGTGCGGGTGTTAAGGTAGGAGATGATCTCTAAAGAGCTGGATCTTCAAGAGTTTTATGTTAAACGGGGTTTTGGTAGCTCGGTAGGTCAGTCCACCATCGTGAAATAACACCGGAAGGGTCTGGATCTTCTTGAGCTTGGAGATGGTACTGCTGGCCAACAATCCTTAGATGACCGGGGTGACGCGTCATGACATCCGCGTTTGCAAGAGGATTCAAGCAGATGGGAGGATGCTGGTGAAGACTCTCAGTCATTCAGGTCATCGTAATCAAAAGGGTTCACATGAAGGCAACTGGACTTCTTTGGTGTCTAGAAGACAGTTTAGCTTCTCATCTAAGGAGTTTTGTCAATCCCCACTGCAATATGGGAGAGTGAAGCTTGTAACCTGTAACTGTTTAATGTTGCTTAACGAGCTGAAACTACCTACCCGGGGAGTCTTTGATGTCGTTAGGCTCTATTGTGTTGGATTGGTTGTTTTGATTAGATGCATGAAGGTGTGACTGTGCTGCAGGTGAAACCCGAGGCCTCCTCCTCCATTTCCCATAGACATAGATGGCTTCCTTTACTCCTCCCTCAAACCATCTACCTTCTCTGTCCAGAATGTGTCCCTTGTCCTTCAGGTGTAAGAGGACTATAGGAGCAGAGTCTTGACCCCAACAGGCTCTCCTTTGGCCCATCGCCAGAGTGGTTTCAGAGGAAAAACAGCAGGAGTCTCTAGACCCAGAAAGCGTGTTAACAAGCTACATCCTGCAGTGGTACCAAACCGATGACAGGATGCGTGAGTACATTGCACTAAACCATCCCTCTCAAAATATTGGATATTTCTCTGCGTCACAGAGGAAATCTGGAGACATAAACCGAAGCTTAACCAAGGAACATTTCTTTAGACGTGTTTCTGCTGTGACTGAGGCCCTGTGATGCTGGAAGGCTGAAGATTATCCCGGAGTGGAGCATGCTAAATGGTTTCCTTGGTAAGTGTTGCTGGTTTTATTAATATTTATTTTTAAATATTTTTATTAATGTTCAAATAGCAAAATAAATAAGTTCACATTCAGAAAATTGACACAGAATTTCTGATTCAGCAGGGGCAACAACAGCCTGAATGACACCAAAGTGCTTTACAGTACAGTAACAGGCTGTTACTGTACTGTAAAGCACTTTGGTGTCATTATCATTAAGCTCTTGGCAGATACAAACAAATCCTTGTTTCTGATGTTTAATTTGTGTTTAACACGCATTTCCCATAATACTAAAAGACTTTTGTACATTTTTCATTTCTAATTTTGAATTGAACAAAGTGGTCTCTCATAACTGACTCTAGTCACAGTTTGAACTAAAATGTTTAAGCATACAAACGAGGGTTGGATGAACTCAAAAGAGCACAATAAATCTATTGTAGAACATTATGAATTATAAAAATGAGTAAAACCAGCACGGAGGCTTGTCCCGGACATGTCTGCTCTGCTCAACAATAGAAAGGCTCAGGAACATCGATCTTCAAGCGCTGAATACAGAAAATAAGCACATTTCAAAGGGATGAAATCATGGAAACTGTTGCTTTACGTGATCAGAAACTTTTACGATTTTAATCATCTAAACAGAAAATTAAAGAATGTCTTCACATCTTCTGTTAAACAGATAAATTAATTCCAACGCGACATATGCGCTCATTTAAATGTAATTATGTACCTGGTATGTTTTCAGAGCGGACGGAGACGTTTGCTCCGGGATAATGGTAGTGATCAGTAAAGCGCTCTTCAAGTGTGCTCGATTTATTTTCCAGTTTAAACAAAGAAATGCGGTGCAAAGGCGCGTGTTACCAACTTTCCGTGAGTAACGATGTTGAGGCGCATTAGCAGCAGCGCTGAGACTAAAAACAAACACACCCGCACTCCTAGAGCTCAGCGGATTGGTCAGTGTGGATGCTCCGGGGCGGGGCGTAACTAACAGGTTTATGCTAACGTTCCAGGTAAAGTTTTACACAACCGAGCCCCCAACTACCGAGAATAAAAATCGTTCATCCAGCGTTTGAAGTTATTTTTCATCGTGTGAATTCGACTCCGCGACGTGCTGGTGTGTCTGTACACGTGGCGGCATCGCTACTGTTTGCGTCTTTCAAAAATAAACACTTTAGTATTTTACCAGCGCGCCTACGTGTGTTTTGCTATGTTAGCAACCAGCTATGCTAGCTGCTCATTAGCTGGCAGAGTTCAAGTTCTACTAGTAGATCAGCGGACCTGGACATGAAGACATGTTTGGACGGGACGTAAGGAGTCAGACACCGTGGCTCACAGGAGGACGACAGCTGCCGACCAGCTCAGTTTCACTGGAAACATCCTCCAGCCGAAACAGGGTTAGCGGAGCACCTAGGAGCAAGACTCCCTCTGGTGGAACGAACAGGGCTCACCCCTGACACGAGCAGATTAGCTGGCTGTCCTCCCTGCTGGGACAGTACAGGTCCGAACCTGGACTGGTTACTGTGTAGACATAAGATCACATCACCATTTGTTGTTACATGCATGCACATGGTTGCTGTAAGCACGCAAAAAGTGCATGTTTGGTGCATTTTTAACGGGGTGTTTTGCAAGAAGACTTTGCAGCAGCCCTAAATGCGTCATGAATAATCATCCTTCACATTTTTGCATCACGACTTTCCATATGAGCCTGGACGATTGTTTCTCCTCTCTGATTGTAACATTGTAGTAAAATCTGATGTTCTTTTGTTGTATTGATGTTTAGTCTGATCTCTGCTTTCGTCTCAGAGTAAAACAGACCTGGAGAGATGGACTCGCAGCTGAAGATCGGGTTCATCGGAGCAGGAAACATGGCTTTTGGCATCGCAAAGGGACTCCTGCCTGGTTAGTCCAGGGGTTGCATGTTAAAACTGGAGCAGGATCTGAGTGAAGGAGTCTGAAACTGAGTGGATTTTCCTTTTTGGGTTTTAGGAAAAGTTCCTCCAGCAAACGTCAAAGTGAGTGCCCCATCTTCGAGGAACCTAGAACGCTTCCAGGTACTTCAAAGTATTTATCTGTTACAGTTAATTACCACGAATCATAAAGGTAAAGAGAAGGGTGTTTCCACTCGTGTTTTCTTTCCTTCTTGAAGAGCACATTAGTGTTATCAAAAAAAATCGATACCCAGATATAAATCGATGCTAAAGTGGTATCTAAATTAGATATTCCATCCCTGTGGTATCGATATTATGGACTATTATACACAGCCTTCTTCAAGTACACGACACGCACGACCGCCAGATGCCGTAAAGCAGCCTCCGCCTCCCAGACAAACAGAAGAAGACGCCGCATGGCTACATTGCAATTTCCCACGCGAGTTGTCTCCGATCCAAGTTTTGTCTGCCAAATAAATAAACAAAAACATAAACAGTGAATTTGGGAGGCGCTTCACAGCCCAACTTCATTAGCATACCAAGTCCGACACGTAGTTGTATATTCACGCTTATGTGCTTAAAGGAAACTCCCGTTTATTGCAACCCGGACTTAATTTCTAGCATGCGGTACGTTTGTTTACTCACGCTGACAACTTTGGTGCTACTTGGATTCCCCGGGGTATTTAGATCCATCGGCGAATCGCCGTCAGTGTATATCCATATAACGGGTGCGGACGGGCAGCCGTGGTGCAGCCTCGAAATCAGACATTATCTGCACCAAAACATCTCAATGTCGAAAGGTTTTGTTAGGAATCATTAACGTGATTCCCCTGTTCGTTTGGAGCGGGTCTGGGATTTCTAGGCGTGAACAGACTAGCCGCGGCTAATCTAACCGGCGCTTTTAATGACGTCACTGCCGTGCGCCGATCTGTTTTCATTAAGATTACCGGTAGATGTACCTTTGTCCTACTGTGGAGAAAACTGTTTTCTCCCTTTATTGACCAACAGAGTTGTTCAAAAGTACAGAACAAAACATATGGCATTACATCTTATGACAAAAATGCACCTTAAACAGAGTTTAAGCAGCAAAACATCACTCTGCAAATAGTGTGTATATAGTGAGACAATTCATGATTTAAAGTGTTAACTTTCACCAGTTTTTGTACGCACGTTCTAAAAAATGCTGATACTTGAAAGGTTTAAGCACTTTACACACTTAATTCAAGCAAGTCAACCCCTACCAGAGTCTAACTCCACTCCCACTTCATGTTTGAAAAATGCAACAAATGCTGTTGCCTGGCAGACCGAGGGGGCGGAGCTGCTAACAAATACACACACACACACACACACACACAGGCATTGTGACATCATAATCTACCAGTTTACATCATAGCATACCTCTTAGCCGATAGCGGTGGTAGATTTAAATTAGAATACAGTGCAGAGTTTTTACCTGACAACGGCACAACACTGCCAGTTTTAGGCAGAATATTTAAATTTTAACTAAGATGCACTGAAGTGTCTGCAGCACGATTAGACACTCGTTTCTTTAGTTTATCAGCAAAAAAAAAAGGTTATTTGGGGTGACTTACTCTTTAACATTTAATTTTTGCAATTGGAATGTTATTTTTTGAATAAACTTGTTCAATAAATTGGTGTTTTGAAATAGTATCGAAATCGAGTATCGAGTTTCCCCCCCCAGTATCGAATCGAGTTTGAAATTTTAGTATCGTGACAACCTTAGAGCACATAAAGCATTTTTATGGTTAAATTGAAACTACTGTGCAGAATCGAATCATTTTATTTAGTTATAATATTTTATTTTTCATCAGACGATGTTTGAAGAAACCTGGTCAAATGTTTGCAAACATTTCAGACGCTGGTGCAAAGTGGAGTTGCAACAAACCGGCATGAAAACAACCAGAGGGGACATCTGTGACCAGATGATGATTTAGTTCACAGTCGAGTGAACTTTCTTCTTGATTTCAGGAGCTTGGCGTTGCCGTGACTCACTCCAACGTAGAAGTGGTCTCTGGGTCTGACGTGGTCTTTGTTGCAGTCAAACCCCACCTGGTTCCACTCGTGCTTGCCGAAACCTCTCAGCACATCACAGACAGACACGTGATCGTGTCGGTAGCGGCTGGGGTGACGCTGGCCACGCTCGAGGATGTGAGTTGCACACACTGTGCTGAAATACTTTGATTCAAAGGTCAAATAATGATTTTTTTTTTCCTGTTCTGATTCCCAGCTGCTACCAGAGAACACGACCGTCATCCGGCTGATGCCGAACCTTCCGTGCGTCGTTCAGGAGGGAGCGCTCCTGTTTGCGCGGGGAACCCACGCCAAGCCAGAGGATGGCGCTCTGCTTCGATCCTTGCTGCATCGTTGTGGTTTGGTGGAGGAGGGACCTGAGGCCTGGGTTGACATCCACACTGGGCTAAGCGGGAGTGGAGTCGCATTTGTGAGTCTGACACCTTCGATTATTAGCAGAAAACGAACCGTCGCGACGAACGTGCCTTCTCAGTGGTCTAGTGGTAGAGAGTCCGCCCTGAGACACTGACTACGTTTACATGCAGCCAATATCCGGGTTATGATCGGGTTAAGGTCGGTATTCGGGTTTCTGAGTTGATCAGAATAACCCGTTTACAAGCATAAATAGAAAGAGTTACCTCTAACTTGCATAACCCGATGTAAATGCGGACGTTGGGGTAGCGTCAGGACGTATGGACTACGTCCAGAATATGCGTCATTTCCGGTTCTTCTTGTTCCGGTATCCGTGAAAACAACAACATGTTTCCCAGTTCGGAAGAGATAGCGACCGCGTTTGTTTGCGCTTTAGTTTCCTCGTCACTCCAAAAGTGTGGTGCTGTGCCGCGACTCGCCATGTTGCTCCCAACTTGTTGTTTACTTCCGGAGTTCTGGCGCATACAAGACGTCTCGCTACTCAAAAGACCAAGATTCCTTGTGAACAGAGCATGCGCAGAACACACGCTTTGATGGGGATATCCCGGTATGCGTTTACACGACCAAACATTCGGGTTAGAAAAGGGTTACCCCAGGTGTAGTAACCGGGTTTTTAAAAACCCGGTTATGAGCATATCCGGGTTTTTGGCGGTGTTTACATGGCCGTGCGGATCCGGGTTATTGTGAATATTCGGGTTTTAAAAGGGTCACTGGCTGCATATAAACGCACTCACTGAGATCGGGGTTCAAATACCGGTCGGGTCACACCAAAGACTTTAAAAACGGGACCGATGCCTCCCTGCTTGTAACTCAGCTTTAAGAGGTTGGATTGGAGGGTTAAACCACCAAATACTCCCCGAGCACGGCTACAGCTGCAGCTCGCCGCTCCCCACGGGGAGCTGAATGTCACCAGTGTGTGATGATGACTTTAACTTTAACTCTTTTGGACGTACAGTAGCATGTTTTCCATGTGAAGAATGCGCCGGGCATTATGGTTAAAGGTGGCGTAGGAGATGTTTATCTGCAGCATTTTTTGCCAACTTGCTTGAAATGCTCTTCAGATACTGATGGCAACCAATAAATTAAATGTTCTGTTAAACAAAAGAATAATCGAGTCGCCTCTGAAACGGACAATCCTGGAAGAACCTCATCCAGTCGATGAGAACGTCCTGTTCTTTGCGGTCCTTTTCACAAGACGCACCGTGCCGGCCAATCAGCGGAATATCACCTCAACAAACGCGCCGGCGTGGCCATGCACGGATTTTGTGGCATTAGTTCTGCCTTGCTTGGCAGTAATATTGCGGTAATTGTCTGTCTTATAAATGGGGATTGCACCTTGGCGTGACAGAGGGAGGTGTCATGATCACGTGGGGAGTTACTGCCGGGCTCAGGCCGGCAACTATACAGAAAATGAAAGTGAAAACGGGTCGTACGTTTCGCTTTTGTCAGCAGAATCAGCTGAGATGATCATCTGGATCTATGCAGAGCTCCAGGAGCTTCTCTCCTTTAGAGCTGGAGCTCAGATCACCAGAGACTGCCCAGGGGCTGCGGAGGACAGACACCTTTAGGAGCGGCTTGTTAAAAAAAATTAACGATCGCAATAAAAATTCAGGTGTGTCCAAGATAAACGAATGTCAATGGCGGCGCAGAGACTGCCCCACACCCCCTTTTGTCATCACGGTTGCACCACAGTACCGCCACGGTCTGAGCGCTTATAAACCACCCGGTGCCGCTTCAGCGTTGCATTGTTTAGTAAAGACGGCTTGGATTCGTCCATCACACTGCTCCTCCCTCCGCACACACCCCTCTGGGTGTTCTCAGCTTGGAGCAGCTGAACAGGAAGTGAAGCCAGAGCGGTGCTAGCTATATTAGCTAGCATACTAAACTGTTATAATGTTATGTTGGTGCAATGCATTAGAAGTTATGTCAGAAAAGGAGCTAAAAACGGGTCAAAAAGGTAAGAAAACGTTACGTTTTTATCGTTGTTTGACTAAGTCTGTTGCGTCCGGCATTCTCCTGTTTTCTAGAGCCATGACGTAGGGGGAGGAGCCTGAAGGACCTTTTAAATAGTGTTTTTTGTAAATGTAGCTTACTAGAACGGCTCTTTCTAGGATCATCTACTCCACCTTTAACCCATATTCCAGCTTCCTTACACAGAAATTCAAAGTTAGTGGCTGCAAACTCCATTTTTGCTTTCATCTTACTGTGTTTAGATAAACGATTGATTGGTAATTCTCCTTTGAACGGGCTGATGCATAAATGAAATGATTCTGTTTGTGTTAAGTCGTCCTGCTGCTGCAGAACATTTGGGCGTGTTAATCTCTCACTCTGACGGTTCTCTGCAGGTTTACCTTTTTGCCGAGGCTCTGGCAGAAGGGGCTGTTAAGATGGGCATGCCAAGCGCGCTAGCTCAAAGCATCGCATCCCAAACGGTCCTGGTCAGTCGCGCAACTCTGCTTTTCACAACTCCTCCTTGAAAATCTCACAATTCGTCACGGGACCACCACCTGTCCCACTGCTACGATGTGTTTCAGGGGGCTGGGACGTTGTTACGGGATTCTGGGAAGCATCCAGCTCAGCTCCGCTCCGAGGTCTGCACCCCAGGTGGAACAACCATCCACGGGCTTCACGCGCTGGAGCGGGGAGGCGTAAGAGCGTCCATCATGAGCGCCGTTGAGGCGGCCACGACGAGAGCCCAAGAGCTCGGACAAAAACCAGCAGCAGGAAGCAGGAAGTGACGACTGCAGCAGCACGGCGTTGACGAAACACTCATTATTAACTAGAGTTTCTATAAAAGGAACCAGTTTCTGTCTGAACTAAAGGACATGAACACGGTTATTTTTCACAGATCACTAATCTTTGGTTTAAGAGCTGTGATTACGGTATTTAGTTCACTCTGAAACACAAGAATCTTTTGAATTAAAGTCACGAGTTTACAGCTACAGTACCTGGGCGGTGGCTGTGAAGCTGCACAAACAGGATTTCTGCCACACTTCCATGTCCACCTGAATGATGTTATATTTAAAATTTGGTTTCTTTTTGCAAGTTTCATTGAAAACGTTTTTCATTGACTCGTTTTGTGCACTCATTTAAAACGACCATTTTAGATATAAACTGTGTTTTGCTGCAGTATCACGATGCATTATCTGGGGTTGAAATCCTTGAAATGCACGACTTAATGTATTTTCAAGGTTTAAGAAGCGCTTGAAAATGGATTAAATTAGTTACAGCACAGAAACGTTTACTGTGTGTGTGTAAAATTGTCATTTTGATTGTGTCTACTGTACATGTAGGTGGCTTTCAGCGGCGTAGCGGCTGGATAAAGCTGGAAACTGCTTCCTGTAACACTCCTGAAATAAAGATGTTTGGGTTGCTGCTTCAAGGAAATTTGCGATAAACAGACAAGAAATAGTAATAGTAACTAGCTCAACTTTTAGGAAAGAATTAGGGAAGCATTGCAGTTTTTAATCTAATCTTATAATTTATAAAGAGCAGCAAATAATCAGGAAAACGGGGTTTGCCTGTCAGCGAATCCACCCATCCCGCCCACTGCCTGTTCGCCCTGTTGTCATCAGAATGGTGCTGCTGCTGCAGGTCAGTCAGATCACTCAGGCTCACCAGCAGCCCCACACACACACACACACACACACACGCACACACACACACACACACACACACACACAAATGCACTTCACCATTTTTAATAACTTATTTTATTGGTGTGTGTATCCTCTTTACCTTATGTCAACGTTGCTGGCGGACCACCCATGCTCTTTGAGCAACCACAATGAAGTTGATTCTGTTTGAAACATGAAATCACGTGACAGGTGGATATGAAATCACGTGACAGGTTGATAAAAACAGGATCTTTAAAACGATATTCAAACACAAACTTAGAATAGACTGAATTTCCCCACTGTGATTAATAAGTTTATTCTATAAAAGGATAAAGTAGCAGAATGTGAGATAAACTATGAAGGGAAATAATCAAATGAAAGTAAATAACATGCAAATAAAAGTCCGATAACTCTTTAAGGGAGAACTCTTGTTCTTTATTTTTAACTGAACACATTTTTTGCGGTTCGTGTGACCTATGTGCGGCCCTGGTTAGGATTCAGCAGTACTGATGGAGGTTTCCCCTCCCCCCCATCCTCAGATCACCGCTGCTCCCTCCTGCTCCTCCACCTCCTTCCCGTTGTCAGTCACGGCAGGAGAGACACGCGTTTGTTTCACCCACCGGCCTCCTACACCTCCGAGACAGAAACACGGCAGTAAGTAACGTTAACGCTGGCTGGCAGCCGGTCTTCTGGTGATGGGGAAGGATGTCGGGACTTATTTACGGAACTATTTAGGAAAAGAATAAATATCTGAGCCAGTTTGACTTGTTAGCCGAGGCTAGCAGGCAGCTGGCTAGCTGCCTGCTAGCCTCGGCTAACTCACGCCTTCCCCGCACGGGCGTCAGTGACCCCCAGTGTGCTCTTTGACTTTTTTTTTACCACTAACAGTAAAATATTCCACATTTTTAAAAGGAAAGAGTCACATTTTTATTTTGGTGTGAATCATCGCACGTAATCGACCTGGCTGATCACGAACGGCTAATGTCCAAGTTAGCATCTTTAACAAGGTGAAATGCGACCTGCCTCCGATGTTCACATGGTGGTCTTCTCCCGCTAACTACTCGTTTGTGTCATTTAGCCCTTTTTTCCTCAAGTGTTTTAATTTAAATCTGTTTTCAACATATTCTGACACAAAAGTATCTACAGTTTAATAGCTGCCCTGTAATTATAGCAGTTATATCTTTGCTTTCATCCTGTTACCGTGCTTTTACTGAGGTCCTGAATTCATTACACGTTGTTTCTTTTGCTCTTTTGAAGTAAATATGAGCCACACTTATGTGAGTTTTCATTTGAAAGTTTTGGCTGTTTTATTACATGAGCGTTTTGTATGTTAAACCACTAAACTGAGTTTCTAAAGGCTCCTGAACTCAGGTGGTTAACCAGTTCTGCACCTCCACATAACAGTGCATCATTCTACATTGAACCTTAATGAACTCTGATACCAGCAAATTATCACAAAGATCCATTTTGTTTTTATGGATTCATTTAATTAAGTAAAAGAAATCAAATTCAGCCACATTAAAACGCTTCCGTGCTATCAAGGAGATCTCCAGAGGGCTGCTGGTGGAAGATTTGACATAAACTAATGGATTGTGGCCCACTCAGGCCTGCCATGGATTATTTTACCCTCCACATCTCCAGTTTCACATTTTTAAAAATCACACGCTGCACAATAGGCTGACAAGTTCCAGAACTGGACTGATTATAAGCAAAACAGCAGCTGCAGCTTTCATCGACTGAGGAGATTATTGATAAGGAAGTGTGGGTATAATCTGGCATTTAAACAACGATTGGGTTTATTCTGGCATGTATTTTTCAGAGATGATTTATTGTATTACAAGGGTCTGTTTATTAATGTTGCTTAGTGCATTATTAAGCATTAATAAACTATTGAATAAAGTATTAACAACTGCTCAATAATAATGTTAATATATAAGTAATGCATTACTAAGTAGACAACCCTTGTCCTAATTTTAAGGACACTTGATAGTCAACATCAGGAACATTAATAAAGAGATCCTTTTATTTATTAATGCTTAATAATGCATTAAGTAACATTAATAAAGGAACACTTATTGTAAAGAGTTACTGACTCGTTTCTGAGAGCAGCTGCCTGCAGCCACACCTCCCTGCTGTCAGAAACACTCAGCAGAGCAAAAAACCTGCAGCTAAAAATAACCAAAAGTAAAAACTATTTGCTGATAACAGCTGTTAGTTTTTCCTGAAGCAGTGTACCTTAAATACAAACGTTGTCAAAAACATTCAAATGGACTCATATGGACTGTTATTTTAAGGTGTTTAGGGATGGTATGTAGTTGGGGTATTCAGGTTCTGCTTAATAATGGTTACTTTATTAGATGTTTGCAGTGGATTTAATAAAGAAGCACTAAAAAATCTCCTCTGTGCTCTTTTAAAGTTTAATGATCATCTTTTCAGTTGTTCATGTAATTGGGAGTCGGTAATCCTTAAGAATATCTTTACTTTAACAAAAACAAATCCATGGAGTGGTTTGTTTCTGAGGAGAGTAGAACTGAATGTGTAGCTTTACTTTGTCGTTTTTAAATAGTTGACTTGCTTGTTGACTTGTGTGCTACGTGTCAGCTTTCCTAATTCTGCAAGGTGGTGATTGTTACACTTCTCTTTGAATTGCTTGCGGTGACCTGGATGAAAAGAACGTGTAAAGCGTTTGACTTTGATACTAGGTTGAGAGCAACATCATTACCAAGGAAGGTGAGTTAAGAGCTCTGGTGAACCAGGAAGTGAATTAGAAAAAATAGAATCCACTCGTTTTCGTCCCGTTTCTGTCATTGTTTAACTGACCTTTAGATTACATGATGTTAAGGGAATGCACTTGTTATATTACATCGTAAAGCCGCATGATGTTGCACATTTTCAGCTTGCATGATCATTTTCATTTTTTTTTGTGTATTGTCATGCATCTTAAGAGTGTTAAATTCAATTCTCCGTTCGTACTCCATCTTGGAATGCTAGCAAACAGTGGGCGGCGTTGTCTGAAAAACAGTACAAGCCTGAATCTGCGGTCTCCGGGTCTGCAGCAATACCCATGTCGGTTTAAGAGCAGCAAAAAAGGTCGATTGTCCAGGTGGAGCAATAAGAAAAACAAGTCTTTAAACTACAGAAAAATCAGTTTTTCTCCATCCTGTGGAGTTACTGAAGGACTTATTTAGTTCTGATTTGTAAAGGGGGTCGCTCCCCCTGAGCTCTCTGCTGCCCCCTGGTTGGGAACCACTGCTGTTGCGCACTCATAGTTTTGTGTGTCGTCCATTTGTGCTTTTCTTTCCTTTCAGTGTTAAACAGATTCATAAAAGAATGAGTAATCCAAGTTAGATGTGATTGTAGCATAAACACCAGCCGGGTTTGTGCATGCTGCTTGTTTGTTTATTTGTTGTAAACTCGCTATTTGTTTAGATAAAACTCACTAACAAAATCTAGTGTTGACTCGTATCGTGAACCCTTTTGTGCCCCCCCCCCCCCCTGCTTTCCTGTAACTAATCCAAAAGCCTGTACTTGTTCTCTTTTTATCCTACAACGGCTCAAAGATGTCTAAGAAGATCCCCCAGAGCTCTGTGAAGGATCCGTCTGAGCAGGATCAGCCCCCCAGCCGTTGTCAGGTGGATCCGTCCTTCAAGGCGTCTCTGAGTTCTAGGAAAAAGACTGAACCGGGTCAGAAAAACGGAGAGACAACATCGTCATCCCCAGAGAGTGGTAGCCTGAATGGAGATGGAAAGCGCAGCGGGAAAAGCCGTCGCCGCAGGAGACGTTCGTCTAATCCTGGGAGCCGCCCAGAGGGCAACATGGAGGAAGTGAAGCCTGATGAGAGAACCAGCCGCGCGGCGCTGATGGGTTTGCAGTCAGAGTGTGGTAACGTTTGGTTTGAACGAAACGTCCACGAGCGAGCGGAGAGCCTCTACCAGTCCTGGCTGGGAAGCTCTGGTAACAAAACCCCCCACAAAACCCCGTCCCACCAGTCCTCAGGAAAACGTTCAACCACTGTGGCTCCATCCTCCTCAGGACTGACGTGCCACCATGGCGGTCAGGTGGCATGCCACCACGTTGTCCACACGGTGTGGGTCAACAAGGCCACGTTTGACCAAGCAGAAAGCCACTTTGTTGAAGAATCGGCTCAACCATCCATCCCAAACTCTCTAGACCTGCCGTCCCTGGCCAACCGCTCCGCTGCATCCGGAACACCTGATGAGGGGTATCAGTCTCTGGCCCAGACCCCTGCAACGCCCATCACCCAACAAGCGGCGGCCACGCCGACCCCTCGGCAGTCGGTCAACGGGCTGCCCCGCATCCCCGTGGAGCTGCTGAGAGAAGTTTGGTTGGACAAGCCGCAGTACGACCGCGCCGAAGCAGCCTTCTACCAGAACCTCTACGGGAGCAACTCCTTCAAACGCCCAAGCTGCACCTCCACCACCAGAAGCAACGAGCTCCCCCAAAGCCTCGTGGAAGAGGAGGAGGAGGAGGAGGAGGAAGACGATGGGTTGGCGGTTGAGGAGAAGCGAGTGGTCCCGCTGTGTAAAGCGGAGGTCTTCCACGCTCTTCACCCCATCCAGGAGGAGGAAGAACCAGCTGATGTTGCAGAGCTGGAGGAGGCATCAGGAGAGTGCTTTTTCCTCCACCCAGACAGCGAGCGGGTGTGGCTGGACAAGTGTCGGTACGATGCTGCGGAGAGCCGTTTCTATGGCAGCGGTGCAGATCAAGCCCACACTGTGACGAAGAACCGAAGAGCTGGAGCCTCCATGGCCCCGCTGAGGGACAAGTATGACCAAACCGGGAGAATAGATCTGCTCCAGATGTTTCTGTTCATCTTTGCTTATTTTTCTTTGCCATCGTGTGTTTCCCCCAGCTGTAAATGCGTTCATCTTCCTGTTTTTGTCATTCATCTTGGTTGATTCATCCTTTTTTAGTTTCCTGAGTGAATGATGGGCCATCGCTGTTTCCATCTTCCTTTAAGCACTAGTCTTATAGTGTTGGGTAGTCTGGCTGCATGGAGAGCAAACTCAAAACAAACTGAAATCCTCTCAGAGGCCTTTTAAGTATTAAAGTACCAGACTTTTAGGTTTAATGATAAATGCTAGTTGAGCCCAGGATGACTTTTGCAGTCGTGGTAGTTGTACCATCGTCTTTTATCCGTTTCTCACCGCCTGCTCTCATCCTCCCTGTAGAAAAATGAGCTCGGTGGACTTTTTGGCTCAGGAGAAGATCTGGTTTGACAAACCTCGTTATGATGAGGCGGAAAGACGGTTCTACGAACGAGTGAACGGATCGCCTCAAGCCACACAGGTACCAACCGGTAACCATAGAAACAATCAGCAAAAGTGTTGAACGATGGTGAACGCCACACCTGTCCCACTGCAGTTATTTACTAACATGACCAGGCACAGAGGTGGGCTGGATCTCAATTCAGTTCAACTCAAGTTTATTCATAAAGCGCCAAATCACGACGAGAGTCGTCTCAAGGCACTTCACATATTAAACACTCCAATAAAGGTCAGGGGTCTCATCTATCAAACATGGCGTAGAATCCTTACTAAAACCGTACTTAAGCTCAGCAAAAAAAATGTACTTACGCCAAGTAGGTTTGTGATCTACCAAACATGGAGCATGCACAGCTGCACGCCATCTCCGCTTCATAAATCGGAGAATAGCGAGAATGTTTCTCAGCTGAATTTTAGTCACATCCCGCCCTCACCGCGCCCACTTACTGCCATAAATGGTCGATGCAAAGTGCCTTGTGAATCTCATGCATATACATAAGGCGGCTGTTGCAGCGCTCCGCCAATGACATGGCGACCGTAGATCAAGGCAGATCAAGGAAGCGCTACTTCACAGAAGCAGAAGTTGAGGTACCTGTGGGTGAGGTGGAGAAATGAAAGGAAGTGCTTTTGCAAAACAAATAATAGAACATCCACGGAGTGGCACAGCATTGCTGAAGCCGTCAATGTTGTGAGTTCTTCAGAGAGATGAGTGGCGCCGGATGTAAAAAAAATGTTCCAATCGGGATTCAATCCCCAGACTCAGGTGAAAGTCATGCGTGCTGATCAGTCACCCAAACGGAGCTCTCCCCTGTTCAACTAGCCAGGGCGCATGATCAGTCGGGTCACGGTGACAGGACACACACACACACACTGTCACAGACGCATGACGTTCTGTCTCAATCTGTCCCCCTGCTGATATTCTGCATTTCGTATTCTGCGCTTCAGGCTGTGTGTGTGTGTGTGCGCACGTGTGTGTGTGAGTGTGTGGGGGGTCTTGTTCTGTGTGAAAACGAAGAAGTACAAGTGATAATGCTGCAGGATTTCATAACTTTATCCTTCTCAGCAGCAGCACTGCAGGTGCTCTCCATGTCCAACATGTGTGTAAGCCAGGTCCTTAGTCAACTTAAAGTTGCGCACATTTTTCCGCTACGTTTTCTTTCATAAATCCCAAAGTTTGAGTGGAAAGTTGCTTACGCAGTTTTCCGACCCCGTTTTGTGCGTAAGCTAGCTTGATAAATGAGGCCCCTGGTCATTAAGCCAATCAGAAAAAAGTTTCCTATATAAGGAACCCAGCAGGTCGCATCGAGTCACTGACTAGTGTCAGAGTCTTTACAGCAATCCTTATACTAAGCAAGCATTTAGCAACAGTGGAGAGGAAAACTCCCTTGTAACAGGAAGAAACCTCCAGAGGATCCTGGATCAGTATAAGCAGCCATCCTCCACGACTCACTGGTGATGGAGAAGACAGAGCAGACACACACACACACACACACGCACGCACACACACCACACACACACACACTCACACCAAGCAAGGTGTCTATAGTTATATTGTGATTTCTTAGTAAATATTCTATTTGGCGATAGATAAACTTTATTGTATTTATCCTAGTGGATCTATTGTTAAACGGGTAAACTAGTAGTAGCACATTCAATGTCAAAGAGAGTAAAAAGTTATTATCAGGAGAGGGAGAATGTTTAAGTGGTTAGCAGCAGTGTGCTAGCCGATGGCCCCCTCCATGAGGCCACCACAGCTCAGCAACAACAACACAGACAAGTAGGACTTAAAAACTACTGCAAGTGTGTGTTTGCTGGTCAGATCATGCACATATCCAGAGGCTCGTCTCTAATGATGCAAGTTTAAACATTTCATTTGCAGGAAAACTAGTTTTGATCACATCGCCGGCTTGACTAGAAGTTTAAACCTGACTTTGTTTCTTTATTTGAACCCTTTTTTTCCCTTGAAGGATCTGGGAGCAAACACCATTCTGCAAGACATCGCTCGAGCTCGAGAGAATATCCAGAAATCTTTAGCTGGGGTAAGCGTTGACGTCACGTTTGCATCCTTACTTCAGACGTAACTCGCTGAATTCTTGATGCCTCATAAATAAATGTGATGTAATTGTTAATTTTCCCGTTTAATGAAAGGCACTCGACCACAATGTTAAATATTAACAGTGAATTGTTCATTTAATCATTTAATATGGTTACAACCAAAGATAAAAGCTGATGAAAGCTTCTAAATGATTGATTTATCAAAAGGATTTTATGACGAACACAAAGATGAAATAATTATAAAATAAGCAACAAAAACAACAGTCTTATCGGCTCGGGGGTTTCCCAAGGCATCATGGGAAATTCCAGCCGCTTGCTTCAGCTTCAAGTTTAATCAGAAATAAAATGTTTTCAGTCCAAATCTAAAGGAGAGTCAGAACGGCTTCACCAGAGGGAAACATGACTTTTATTTGTCATTCATTCATTTTCACCATCTCCATCTTTAACCCTTTAAGCGCCAAAGTCGCAGAATTGTGACAAGCAGCCATGTTGGATTTAATAAGCCACAGCAGCAGAAATGAGCCCTCATGCAGTTAATGCGTTACACAGCGGGGGTGGCAGACGCCTGTAACTTCAATCCAAGCAGCATTTGTGGGTGTGTTACTATTGAAACTTTTGGAGTATTTAGAACTTGAACCCCGCCCACCTGTCGCAGAGCCGCGGGGCTTGTCAGAGCAGTCAGATGAGTGAGAGCGAGCGAGTGGTGGAGGAAAGAAACAATGCCAAGAGGAATGTTCAGTGCTGACGAAGCTCTTCGTCTAGTACTGGCAGATTCGGATTCGGAGGAAGAATCATTTCCTGTCCGAGGATGATCTGCCGTCTTCTAGCGAGACGGAAAGCGTGGCTTCAGCGCGCAGCAACAGAGAGTCCATCAGCAACGACACGGTTACACAAGCAGCCCATCCAGCCCTTGTCCGATGTTCCGCGTCGGGCAAAGAGACGGGGGGGGGGGGGGGGGGGGGGGGGGGGGCTCGTACCGGGTCTGATCCTTTGATCCACTGTGCCAGGGGGGAGGGGGGATGTGGTGGCCATGATCGGGCCGGTGAAAACTCCGCTGGTGATCAATTCAGCCTCTGTCTGTCTGTCCGTTCGTCCGTCCGATTATAAACAAAATAAACTAAAGAAGGGATGAGTGAAATGTGTTCATGACACTGAAGCACCAAAAACAGTGTTCTTGATTGATACGCCGTAAACTTAAGAAAATGCCAATAAAGTAATGAATATTATATATATATATATACATACATAGTTACATATGTCTACATAGGAATATGTATATATGTATCATAAACAATAACAACACTAAGAAAATAAGACAAACAAAAAAAAATCTGCAAATGTGATGCAATCCAATATGGCTGCTGCCTGATGACGTCATAACATGCAAATTATGTGAGTGAATTTGTTCCTGTCACAAAACTTGGCTCATACTGAAGATTTTTCTAATTTACACTGTTCCTCTATCTCTAACCAGATTTAAGCTACGAGCTCTTTAAAGGGACATTATGGAAGTGTGACAGCCAAAACATGTATAGAAATAATAAATGTCTTCTTCATACATTCTCCTGCAATGCCCTGGTCCTGTAGAATGAGCCCTGGTATTTTTACTGTGATTGCCTGTTTTTCTGTAAAATCACAGAAAAAGAGAGATGCTCGGGTCGAGCAGGCTGCTTCATGCACGTTCACGCTCAGGCATAGCCCTCCGAACCGTTCTTAAGTGGTACAGATACAAGGAATGTCACTGGTGCTTTAGCTCGTCTAGTAAGACGTCGGACTTCCGTGCAGAAGACCCGGGTTCGATTCTGGATGTGAACATAGTTTGTTTAGAGTTTCTTTTTTACATTAATGGTATATTTTTTACAGTAAGATGCCCAAATTTTTATTTGAGACTCGCTGAACGGCATTGAATTCACAGATAAAAAAGATGTGGGTTCAACTTTCATTTTGGAACAATTTTTCAAGCAAGGGAAGGGAATGATCTGAGCATGCAGGAGGACTGACCCATCATAAACCTTTGTCGGCTGTGCTGAAGAGAAAGGTACAGAACCACATTATTTAATTAATTAGCTGCGTGTTCTCCTGTCCTCTGTCCTGCGGGCCCCACCCACACACCCACACACACACCCACACACACACCCACACACACACACCCACACACACCCACACACACCCACACACACACCCACACACACACACCCACACACACACACACACACACACACACCCACACACACACACCCACACCCACACACACACCCACACACACACCCACACACACACCCACACACACACCCACACACACCCACACACACACCCACACACACACACACACACACACACACACACACACACACACACACACACACACACACACGACTGTCTCAGCTGTTTGTTAAAGGCCCCGTGTGTGAAATTCACAGAAATCATAGTAAAAAGATCCGACTCTTTAGCACCACGCAGTTTAGAGTCGGTATTGCAGCTATTGGAGCCCCCGAGGATCAAAAAGGTTTTTTTTTATCATTATTTAAAACTTTATTAACAAATATAACAAATACAATACAAAATCGTGTTGCTGTAAACGGCAGCATGTCATCATCTAATTCCAGCTTTCAAGTCAGCGAACAGGTTAGTTGTTTTCATCTAACTTATTTTATTAATTTAATCTAAATAGGTTTTGAATAAGAAAAACTTTTTTATGTCCGTTATGTTTGCTAATAGCAAACGGCAGCTAGTTAGTGATGACTTCTGACTACAAAAAATGACAATATTTTGTTCATTTTATTTGAGAAATGTTATATTTCTATTTGCCATTTTGGAAATATACAAGGTAGTGTAGTCTGTAATTGTTTTCTCTCCGTAAACAGAGTCAGATATCATCCGATGGTTCATCAGTGGAGACAGACAGAGGACGAGGGAGAGGAAGAGGGCGAGGAAGAGGGAGAGGACAGACGTGTGCCGGCGCACAGAGAGGCAGAGGTGTTAGACATGCGACAGAAGCAGGGCAAGCATCCCAAGATGAAGGAGCCGAATTTGCTCAAACCAGCCGCAACGTCCCACGCACAAGAGGAAGAGGCAGAGCTGCAATAAAGTCTAGAAGATCGGCACTTTCAAGCGCTGATGAGGAGAGAGTCGAGGAGCTTCAAAGGGAAAGAAGAGCAGAAATTGAGGTTTGTGTAAGATAATGAGCAAATTAATAATTATCTGGGTCAATATATGCCGTCCTGTCACTCATTTCATTCATATAAGTACATACGGTAATTCTATTTAACCGTATAGCAAGTGTTTGGAATTATATGTAGTTTTGTAAAACATTCAGTGTCCTACTTCTTTCCTAATACATATTATTTGTTTTTGATAGTACCTTTATTTTAGGAATTAGCCATTTAATATATATATTATTAATCAGCTACTCTTATAAACTTGTTAAAACATTTACAAAACATTGCTTTTTACTGTAATTCAATTAAAATAATCTTACAAAAATTCTAATCCTACTTTTCCCCCCAGCGCCTTGTACAGGGCATGAGCCTGGAGGACCACCGTCATCTCACCTCTCAACTTTTGGAAAGACAGCCAGGTCTGGTTTTTGATGTTTTGTTGAACAACCAACGCCGAGATAGGCACACCACACCCGTGCAGGCCCCTGCGTTAACATGGTGTACTTGTGGCAATTGCACAGATATGCCAACAGATGCAGAGCGCAAATGCTGTGGACAAGACTCTGTAAACTGTATAAGCCTTCTGCCCCATTTTAGACTTTACTGTTTGGATGAAGGTGTCCTGAGGATCCATCGTCAGTACAGAGCAGACCTCACCGTATTAGGACAGATTAGGGAACCAGGCGATGACAACAGGGAATACAGGTATGCTGCCTACCGGCACTTCATTTTCTGGCAGCATGGGTCACTTGGACATGGAAGTCGAAGAGTCATCCCAAGTTGCTGTGTGGTCAAAATTAGGGAGAAATTTCCAGACCCTCATGGACAGTATACTGGTTTTCTTCCGGGAGTGTAACTGGTCAAAAGTTTACATGGGTTGTTGAAGTGTTTCTGATTTTTTGTACACCTTTATATTGTAATTTATTATGTTGAATAAGTATTTTAGATAAATATTTTTTGAAACCCCAATGTTAGTGTTGTGCAATAATGACAAATTTAGAGGTGGCTACTCTTCAGCCATGTATACTCGTGTAATGTGAAAAATAAAAATCACATCTTTACAACTCCATAGTTTTGCATTACATTAGTGAGCTATTAATTTACACTCTTACAGGGTCAAGTCATGAAACAAAAAATATGTAATTTTCTGAAAGACATAAGAAATAAAGAAATCAGTACACATGCACTTTTATTTGAATTAACCTTATTCAGAGTTTGAACAGACAAATTTGGAACACATTTTAATCTTGAAACATGATTTTACACACTTTAGGATAATAAAGAATAGATCTAACGTAAAAGACTGTGCAGAATTTATGTGCTACTTCAAGTAAAAAGAACAACATGTTAGCACAGTAGGAAAGACATCAAAGTGCAATATCTACATTTTTATGTACATTACATTAGTAACACGCAGCAGGTATAGAATACTCCATGTAAATGTAGACAAGATCGTCACTGGAGGCCTGTAGCTGTGTTGAGTTCTGATACTGTGAAAAAAGTATTGTAAGACAAGTGTAGGTAAATAACTGAGCTGTAGTCAAAGGATGCTAAAATGACACGTACCAAGACCTCGGCTGACTTGGATCTGCACTAGCTCCGAAATAGGTGGTGGAGCGATGGGTGGCACAAGACCGAGCCGTCTGGGGTCATCATCCCTCATTGATCTGGTACGAGGCATCCCGACTCCTCTCGTCAACCTCTCGTTGATTATTTTTTGATTGGAGTACTGGAATGTATTCGCAGCCCTTTTCTGATTTTAGTGAATACACACTGTACCTTCTGGCATTCTTATTGTACTTCCGTTTGAATCTAAAAAATAGGACAATTGCATAATGAATTTCTGTCACGACAATGGGACAAACTTAAATAACGTGTAGTAACGTTTATACAGCTTTTTAATTGTAAGTGGTAGGCATTATTTTGGCTCAACTCTGACTGAAAAAAAAAGGTAAAACCTACATTAGTTGGCCTTCAGCATTCCTGATTGCTGGTCGATTAAGGTGAAAGTTATAATCCAGTGCTGCAAGAAGAACTCTGGCTTCATACACTTTGTAGGAGAAGGCTTGACGCTTGCTGGCATACATCAGAATGTGGTTCTGAAATGACTCAAGCAGGGCTGTTGATCTGTACAAATGAACAGTCAGTATGAGAGAGGACAACTGGTCACATGGCTAATAGCAGGGATGCTCCAAGTCAGTCCTGGAGGGCAGCTAACATGCATATTTAGTTCTGTCCCTGGTTAAATACAGCAGAATCAAATTTATCAGCAGTTCCATCAGCAGGCCTCAGTATAAATTAGACACCTTGAGTGTGTAGGCCAGCAGTTATATCTTCTTTAGTGTCTGTATGCACTGTTATTGTATGCATTATTTTCAGGAAATGTATTTGAGCAATTTTTAAAGTGACACTCAGTTGCTGGGAGGCAAAACAGCTAACGGAGCACCCCTGGCCTACAGCTTCACAAAAAAATACTTAAATAAGTCTCACATGTACCTGAAGTGCAGATATTTATGCACGTCCTTCTGCCAGCGTTTGTTCAAGACAATCTCCACAAGAGCTTTGTGACTCCTGGAATCCTGGATGTGACCATAGTTCATTTAGAGTTTATTTTTTACATTAATGGTATATTTTTTACAGTAAGATGCCCAAATTTTTATTTGAGACTCACCGAACGGCATTGAATTCACAGATAAAAAAGATGTGGGTTCAACTTTCATTTTGGAACAATTTTTCAAGCGAGGGAAGGGAATGATCTGAGCATGCAGGAGGACTGAGCCATCATAAACCTTTGTCGGCTGTGCTGAAGAGAAAGATACAGAACCAAATTATTTATTTAATTAGCTGCCCGTTCTCCTGTCCTCTGTCCTCCGAGCCACCCACCCACCCACACACACACCCACACACACACACACACACACACACACACACACACACACACACACACACACACACACACGGAGCTGACTGTCTCAGCTGTTATTTTCGTTAAGGAGTGTGCACGTACAGCATGCGCGCCTCGTGCACGAGCCTACTATTGAAGCTGCCGTTACGCTTTTGGCCTGAGGGGGCAATCGCGAGCATAAAAATTCAAAACTCCGTAAAGTCCCTTTAAATAGTGATATAAAAAATTCATATTTTACTGAAAAAAACTATGGCGCCTAAAGGGTTAAGTTTCCTTCCCTGCTTTAGTTGTTTGATGCTTCGTTTGCTGCTGAACCTTTTTTCGTCTGATTTCCTCCATCACCTCCCAGTTCTGTGTCTGTTCCTTCATTCACTCCTCATTTCCTTCCTTTCCTTCTCCCATCATTCCCACTTCCCCAAGCTGAAGACCACACTGTGTAACAGAGAGTCAGCTGACCGCTCCCGTCCTGTAAGTGCTCCGACCCTCGTGTGTCGCTGCTGATCGGGCTCGTCGCGCTTCCTGAAGGTGCTGCTGAGTTGGAGAAAATGTTTTTTTTTAGTGTTTTTCCCCCGTTTGCCTTCGCAGAGCACCAACAGCAGCGGTGGCACAGCGGATCAAGGAGAGTTCCTTTCCCGTATGAAGAGTCTGGAGCTGGAGAATCAGAGTTTACACAAAGGTTTAAATGTTTTTACCTGTTCTGATGTCATTTTAAGATTTTATTACCTCAGTCATAAACGCTGGAAGGAAGAGTGGAATTGGATGGTTGATTGAGCCGTGATGGTGTTTGATGGAGCCTTCACAGGTGCCTCCATGTCTAAACAACATATCCCACACACTGAAAGACCTCCAAATAGGAATACACACATTCACAAGTCTTTTAGTTGCTAATAATAGCAGACCTGCCAACCCGTACGCAATTTGGCATCTATTTACGCTGGTACGACTCACCCGTCTAAACCAGGGATTCCCTGAGTGGTGCGCGCGAGCTGCCGCTAGGGGGTGCGCGAGGTGAAAAGTGTAATGGCTGTTGAGCTCAGAGAAGTCTGTCATATGTCACCATTAGCGTAGCCAGAAACTCATTGTGGGTGGGCCAAAGAAAAAGTAAGTGGGCCCAATAAATGTAATTGAAAACAAGTATATTTAGCGTCCGTGTCCTCCACATGTGCCCTAGCTTCATAATAACAATGCACCGAGCTTCAGCACTCTGGCCTGCGCACGCCGATATGTTCCGTATTTGATCATTTTTAACGGCGTTGGAGGAATCTGAAGGTGGTGAGTCATTCTGGCAGATTGTAATTAACACCTGTCTCATGCAGGTGTTCTGACATTGTAAACCTCACACACAGAACATTGTGGATGTAACTAAATAACAAGAAATGATTCCCATCTGAGCATTTTAGCATCATTATATTATTATATTAGCACAATGACTGTGGGACAGCATTCTAAACGTGTCAGGCTATTAACAGCGCGCTGAAGATCTGAAGTTCAGAGTGTGTCTGTCAGAGGTCAGATGCGTTCCAGCGGAACCACGGCTCATGGGGTGCACATGTGAGCACATCTGGGCTGGGCAGAAGTCATTTTGCATCATTGGTTTAAATAGCACCATAACGAGACGCGGTGACTGGAGCGGCTCATGGAGCTGTGCCGCACACACACACGCACAGATTCAATAAGCGCGCACGCTGCACAAACTCCAGCGCGCCGTCAGACTGAAGGCAGAAATGAGTGCTGCCTCCTCCATGATAAAAACTTTTAAGAGGTTTTATAACAACATTTTTCATTCAAGGTCAAATTAAGATAATAGCTTCTATTTGGGATGACGTATTAAAGTCGAGATCGATCATATTTTTTTTTAACCCTGTTTGTCGAGTGACCGTTTGGCTTGTGGGTGGGCCAAAAGAAAAAGTAAGTGGGCCCAATGCATGCATGCATGCATGTATGTATGTATGTATGTATGTATGTATGTATGTATGTATGTATGTATGTATGTATGTATGTATGTATGTATGTAGTATGTATGTATGTATGTATGTATGTATGTATGTATGTATGTATGTATGTATGTATGTATGTATGTATGTATGTATGTATGTATGTATGTATGTATGTATGTATGTATGTATGTATGTATGTATGTATGTATGTATGTATGTATGTATGTATGTATGTATGTATGTATGTATGTATGTATGTATGTATGTATGTATGTATGTATGTATGTATGTATGTATGTATGTATGTATGTATGTATGTATGTATGTATGTATGTATGTATGTATGTATGTATGTATGTATGTATGTATGTATGTATGTATGTATGGTATGGTATGTATGTATGTATGTATGTATGTATGTATGTATGTATGTATGTATGTATGTATGTATGTATGTATGTATGTATGTATGTATGTATGTATGTATGTATGTATGTATGTATGTATGTATGTATGTATGTATGTAGTATGTATGTATGTATGTATGTATGTATGTATGTATGTATGTATGTATGTATGTATGTATGTATGTATGTATGTATGTATGTATGTATGTATGTATGTATGTATGTATGTATGTATGTATGTATGTATGTATGTATGTATGTATGTATGTATGTATGTATGTATGTATGTATGTATGTATGTATGTATGTATGTATGTATGTATGTATGTATGTATGTATGTATGTATGTATGTATGTATGTATGTATGTATGTATGATGTATGTATGTATGTATGTATGTATGTATGTATGTATGTATGTATGTTGTATGTATGTATGTATGTATGTATGTATGTATGTATGTATGTATGTATGTATGTATGTATGTATGTATGTATGTATGTAAGTATGTATGTATGTATGTATGTATGTATGTATGTATGTATGTATGTATGTAGCCCTGATGTGGGGCTGGGGGCTGTGAGAAGGGGGTGCGCGGCTAAGTAAGTTTGGGAACTGCTGCTCTAAAGTACGCAAAAAGCCTGCAAATACGTGAGTTTGAGTTCTGTGGCAAATATGCACGTGTGGTACTCGTGTCTGACAACACGACTCAGCTGCGTGGTGAAGAAGTTTAAGCCAATCATCGTAGAAAAGCAGAGAAAAACCAGAGCTAACTAACCTGCCTAGCCCATAGCGTAACCCCCCCCCCCCCCCCCCCCACCCCCCCCCGGCTCCCCTCTCACTCCGGTTCGCCACTCGCTGCTGTTCTGGGTAAGGTAGACTGCCAGGACTCCCAGGTGAAAGTGTGTGTGTGTGTGTGTATTTTTGCCTTTATCCATTGCAGAGAGATTTGGCCTGTGTGTAAGGAGGAATGTGATTATTTATACAGTTTAAACATGCAGCCTTTTTATTTATTTTTTTCGCAGCTCATTTTGCAACTCATGCTATGGCAGATGAGGGAGAAGCAGACATGGAGGGATTGGTTATCAGACCTGCCAAAGAGATGAGAGTCCATGTGTTTCAGAAGTTTTTGTCCAAATATCCAAATATCAAGAACAGTGCATGCCTTGCAACCCTCTAAACGACCTCAGCTTTTTGCTCAATCTGCAGTATGATGTGGACATAAGCCACCAGGGAGCTGCAGGTAATTAGTAAATTAGCCCTGGTGATGCGTGCAGATGTGCTTTAAGCCAGTTTTATATTACATTCTTGAGAACAGAAACACCTATTGCAATTTACAAATAAACGATTACATTAAATACTTATAAATGTTTTTTTAATAATTTGTGTTGAAATAATTAATGCAAGTAACTTTGTATAAGCACAAATATATAGGGAAACTTTAGAGTTTTACTGTTTAATATTAAAAATACATGATACTTTGAAGTCAGGTCAAACATTAAAAATGTCTATAACCTGTGTGTGTGTGTGTGTGTGTATAAAATTTTCCATCCAATGAATGGGGAGATTAAAGCGTGAAAAAGCAATGGAGTTGCAAAAGGTCAGCGAAAAAACGCCGCACATGTGGTACTAAAATTTTTTTGACAAGGTTGACAGGTCTGTAATAGTGAAAATAGAATGAAATGAAAACCTCACCAGGGAGGCATCCAGACCAGATGCCCGAGCCACCTCAACTGGCTCCTCTCGATGTGGAGGAGCAGCGGGTCTACTCCGAGCCCCTCCCGGATGACCGAGCTTCTTACCCTATCTCTAAGGGAGAGCCCAGCCACCCTGCGGAGGAAAACTCATTTCGGCCACTTGTATCCGCGATCTCGTTCTCTCGGTCACTACCCAAAGCTCGTGACCATAGGTGAGGGTGGAAACGTAGATCGACCGGTAAATCCAGGACAGATCAGTACAACGCCCGCACACCGCTCCATCTTTCCCTCACTCATGAACAACACACCTAGATACCTAAATTCCTTCGGGTTTGGGGGTTGCCGCCACGACCGGCCACAGATGACCCTGCGGCCGCAGCTCCCGTCAGCCGCTTTGACAATAGTGGCATGGAGCCATTTCCCACTTAGACTTGGTGCACCTGCCTACCCTGAGACGCGTTTGAAGTCTGTCGGAGGAAAGAATTGAGCTCGCTCAGACAGAAGATCGCCAGACATTCCCAGTTTGGGCCTGCCAGGTCTAACTGGCGTCCCCCCATAAAAGACCGATCATTGACCAAAAGCTAAATTAAAGAAATGCGTCTTTAGGCTGGATTTAAGTTGTACCAGTGAAGAAGCCTGGCGTACCACCAGTGGGAGTGCGTTCCAGAGTCTGGGAGCAGCAAAGGCGAACGCACGCTCCCCACGAGCTTTATACTTCAAAAACCATCTTTTTGGGCCTTTCCACTCTGCAGGCCTTATGCAGAACGAAGGGACTCACCGCCTGCCAAGATCCAGCATGTAAAGTGCAGCTCCTGGCCACCATGTATGATGTGAAATGTGTTGTACTTCATATCTGGAGGGCAGTCATTGTGTGGGATGTTTTGTTCTATTAAACACCGACTGGGCTGCAATGAAACTGAGGTAGGGTCAGGGTTTACAGCCGTTTAGTGTGTTAGCACAGGAAAGCAGCAGAGCAATGGAGCTGATTTCCTGTGCAGGACGTAGTTTCAGGTCCTGATAATAAGAAGCCCAGTAGTTTGTGTTAAATGAAAACAAAACGATGTGCAGGAAGGGAGATGTAACTGGTTACAGGAGAAAAGGTGTGCATGGAAACGCTTCCTAGAAGCATCTTTTTGTTTAGGTTCAGAAAAGCCCTCAAAGATCCCG